GCTTCCAGGAATGACTCTACAGGATCCACCAGGGCACAGGATCTCCCCCATCTGAGTCTCAGCATGTCAGGAAGTGGAAACACATGGCGTGGGGCCCAAGGCAGGGCTGGACCTCATTAGGCAGAAATCAGAGCACTCAGGACGGCCACCCCCTGGAGGATCTCAGATGCCTCCGTGCTCTGGAACTTTCACCCTGGAAAGATAATTGAGGGAAAAGATAAACCACAGGCTGGGTGGAGGAAGTTGGTGCTGGGAAGCAGCTCAGGTTGTGATACACATTTCTGAGCCGGGCCACTCTCTTGTCTGCTAGAAAAAGACACTGCATTTCTTATTAAAGTGTCATTTCCATCATGTTGGCCTTGAATGTTATAATAAGATAATTAATTTTTTTTTTTTTACTTTAAGAGAATTGTAGGGTTAGATGCAGTTGTAAAAACCTGTACAGAGATCCCACGAGCCCTTTATCTGGCTTTCCTCAATGGTAACATCTTGCACAACCAGAGGACAATCCCAACTTGGATGTCACATCTGATAAAGATACAGAACATTCCATCGCCAGGGTCCCTCCTGTGGCCTTATTCTAGCACAGGCTTCTCCCTCCTCCTCCAGAATCGGCTGTCCAGCCCTATAACGTTGCCACTTCAAGAGTGATCCTACAGGACGTACCCTGAGCTTGGCCCTTGCAGGCAGCAGAATTCCCTGAGACCCACCCTGGTGCTGCACACACAGAGAGCCTGTTCCTCCTCAGTGCTGCGTAGTATTCTGCAGACGAAGGCCCTACGGTTTAGCTGTTTTCATCGGTGACGGCTATGGGGAGGTTTCCCTGCTTCGGGGTATCACAATAAAGCTAGGGGCATTCATGCACAGGACTTTGTGTGAACACTGGTCTCCATTTCTCTGGGATAAATGTATCGTTTCTGGTGCCATTCCCAGATCCTAAGTTTTCATGTTTCATTTTTTTTTATTTTTTTTTATTTTTATTTATTCATGATAGTCACAGAGAGAGAGAGAGAGAGGCAGAGACATAGGCAGAGGGAGAAGCAGGCTCCACACACCGGGAGCCCGATGTGGGATTCGATCCTGGGTCTCCAGGATCACGCCCTGGGCCAAAGGCAGGCGCCAAACCGCTGCGCCACCCAGGGATCCCTCATGTTTCATTTTATAAGAAATTGCCTAAGTACTTTGCAGAGGGGCTGTGCCACTTTACATTCCCACCAGCAGTGAATGAGAGACCTGGTCTCTGCATCCGCACCCTGTGTAGAGTCACTGCTCTTCCCTGAGCCACTGTTATGGGTGCGGGGTGATGCCTCACCGTGGTCTCACTCTGCATCTCCCTGGCAGCTGCTGAGGCTCACACCTTCTCCCGAGTTTCTGGGCGTTCTCTTCAGTGAACTGTCCAATCTTGTTTTGGTCTTTCTTTCTTTCTTTTTCTTTCTCTTTCTTTCTTTTAAAGATTTTATTTATTCATGAAAGACACAGAGAGAGAGGCAGAGACCTAGGCAGAGGGAGAAGCAGGCTCCATGCAGGGAGCCCGATGTGGGACTCAATTCCGAGACCAAGGATCACACCCTGAGCCAGGGGCAGGTGCTCAACCGCTGAGCCACCCAGGTGTCCCTTGGTCTGCTTTCTAATTGGATTTCTTGTAATTCATTATGGAGTTCTGAGAGTTCTTTATATATGCTAGATACTAGTCCTCTGTTGACTGCAGTTTGCAATCTACAGTCGTTTGCCCTTTAAACAGGGTAGGGTAGAGAGCAAAGCTTCCAGTTTTGATCTTGTGAATTGTGCTGATGTGTTTCTTTGGCTCTTTTTTCAAGTACGTTATGGCTTTATGTTTTCCATTTAAGACCCTGATCACTTTGAGTCAACTTTTTTAGAAGATGTGAAGTGCAGGTTGAAGTACTATTTTTCTCTTTTTTTCCTTGCTTCTGACTGTCCAATTGCACCAGCACCACTGTTGAGAAAGCTGTTCTTCCTCCACTGAATTATCTTGCACTCCCCGTCAAAAACTGGTTGGGCCTGTTTGCGTGGCTCTATTTCTGGATTCTCTGCTCTGTCCCCGTGATCTCTGTGTCTGTCGCTCTGGCCCACCGCACCGTCCTGACCATTGCTGCTACCTGGCACAGCCATCCCTCTCAGCTGACTCAGCATCCAGGAAACCAGCAACCCGTGAGGACTATGCACTTTGGCACCCACAGCCTTAGGAGCAAAACCTGGGCCTGCTGAGGTCATTCGAAGGTCAGCCCACATTCCTGAAATTCGACAACCAAGTTTCCTTGCTCCTTGCCCAGCCTCGGGGCCAGGAAGATGGTGCAAACGACAAGCAGTAAGGTGAAGCTGCCAGAGTCAGCACAGATGTCCGGAAAATGGCCGAGCTCTGCTTGCTGCACAGAAAGCCTCCCTAGGGCCTCTACCTTTCTGAGGCCGAAGGCCAGTATTTTAGTGCCATTCAGCCAGTTTGGCACGTAGATGATCCACAACAGCGGGAGGCATCGGGGAGAAGGTGGTCAGCCGGGGACAGGGGTCCCCAGTCTACAAATCTGGTCCAGTAAATCCCCACACTGGGCGGTGACTGGTGACACGCTTGGGCCTGGCACAGCCACCACGCCTGCTGTAATTAGGGCCCTTTCTGTTCCACTCGAGAAAGACGTAGGAGATGCCAGGAGGGGAGAGTGGGGTCTGGCAGGGAAGCTCTAGCCTCTGCTCTTCCTCTCCCCTTGGCTCCTCCTTCAAAGTTCCTGCCTCACCCCTTGACTTCATGATGTGAGATGAGCTCCTCAGCACCCATCCCTGAGGCAGCACCCCGAGGGCACCACGAGGGCAGCCAGTTCACTAGAATCTACCAGGGTGGACACTTACTTCCCAGCCACTGGGAGATGGGGCCAGTCCTTTGCTAAAGGTGTGGTGCACAGACGCCCGTGTGGTTTCACGGGGAGGCCCAGTCGTGCTCCTGTATTTTTTTAAGATGTATTTATTTTAGAGAGAGAGAGAGTGCGTGGGCCAGGGAAAGGGATGCAGGGCGAGGGAGAAGCAGGCTCCCCCCTGAGCTCGGAGCCCAACTGTTTGGGGCTCGATCCCACAGCCCTGGGATTATGATCTGAGATGAGACCAAGAGTCAGGTGCTTAACCGCCTGAGCCACCTAGGTGCCCCTTAAACTGCCATTTCAAGGGGCAAAAAAGAATTCACTTTTGGTTATTACCTGATCTTTTTCAGAGTGAAAGAACTCAGATGATTCATTTCTTCTGTAGTTTTTGTGATAATCAACGGGTCCTAACATGCAAACGTTCGTTCTATGAAAGCCTCTCTACGGGAGGATCTGTGCAGAGTGAAAAAATAGAAAGTCTGTGAAGTTTTTGTGTTACTTTTGTCACCCAAGTGCAATTCCTCAAAAAGCTGAAATTAATTAAAACGACAGGGCCCTTGTCTGCAAATGGCTGCAGCTATTCAAAGGTATGTGTGATGGGTTCCACACCTGGAGGTGACATCCAGGTGCCGACCCCAGGGCCTGCGGATGGGACCTCACTCTGCAGATGATCACATCAAGATGAGACCCCGTGGGTGGGCTCCAACCCCAGGAAACCGCGTCCTTTTAAGACACATAGAGGTATGTGCTCGGGGTCACGCCAGGGAAACCAGAGCTGCGGGGTCCCCGGTTGAGGCACTGGGGCGGGGGGCGGGGGGCGGCCTGGAGCAGGCCCAGCCTCCCCCACCCCTACCCCCACCCCTGCGCCCTCAGAGGCCACGAGGCCGAGCGGCACCGCGTCTCGGATCCGGGCCCCCCCACCGTGACACAGTACATTCATGTTCCGGAGGTTTTGTTGCCGCAGCCCCCGCAGACAAATGCAGCATTTTGCTTATTATTTTGGGAAATAACTGTGGTTTGAAAGACTCTTTAGCTAAAGCAGAAACTTCTCCGGAAGGAAGCCAGCTGACAGCGTAGTTCAGTCTTGAGGAATTCAACTTCCTTGGCCCCCGCTACGAGATAATTTGGTTCGAGTAAATAAATTATGTCTTCATAGTAACGCAGAAGTCCTGGTTTATATCCATCGTGTCTCAAGTGCTACTCTAGCGCACATCTAAATAAAAAGGGGATTAACAATAATATTTCAACCTTGCCGGAGCTCAGTCTGCCAGGAAGGAATGAATCAAGCCCAACAACAACGCTCTGTCTTGTGAAGTTATCACGGGCAGACTTAAATATAATCCCGAGAGCAGAGGACATTTATCTCTGAAGACTGTCTGCTTGAACATTTCCGTCTGGTTCTTTCCACCTCTAATGTAGTATGTGTTTGCAAATCACATCTGAATAGTTCTCTTGAATTTAATTAGCTTTTCTTGTGGTGTCCATGGAAGGGAAAAATTCCAAAATATACTTGGGCATGGAGAAAAGTTTAGGAAAGAAATAAGAACCATCACAACTAATCACACCCGTAGCTGCGACTCTAGAGTGTTGTCATCTTGCCGTTGGATGAGTCAACAGAGCCTTTCTGTTTATTTTCTTATTTTTTTTAAGTCAGCTCTGCACCCGGTGTGAGGCTCGAACCCACAGCCGTGAGATCAAGAGTCACACACTCCGTCAATCAAGCCAGGCCGGTGCCTCCGAAGCTTTTCATTTGGAAATCATCTCAGACGTATAAGAAAAATTACAAAAAAAAAAAAAAATTACAAGAATAGTTCACTGGAGCACTCCTGTACGTCTACTTGGAATCATGTATTAACATCCTGCCTGGTTATTTTGCCTCTTTCTACCTGTATCGACATTCCGGTAGCTTCTTTTTTGCCAGTAATTGATGGCTACATATTTACTGGGCAGTGGGTTCTGTAGAAAACACTGTGAGAAGAGGGTGAGACACAGCTCACGGGCTGCCCAGCAGGAATGCTGAGTCACTTCAGTCGAATCCAGGACAAATCTTGTGCTTCCAGACCGAGTGGATCTTGGGAGTTACAGGGGAGCACGTTCTTCCCAGGACACCTCATTTTATTCATTTATTTATTTAAAAATACTTTTATTTATTTGGGACAGAGAGGGTGGGGGTGGGGACAGAGAGAGAAGCAGACGCCCCGCTGAGCACAGAGCCCACACGGGGCTCAATCCCAGGACCCCAAGATCAGGACCTGAGCTGAAGGCACATGCTTCACCAACTGGGCCTCCCAGGCGCCCCCTAATTTTATTCTTTACTCTCCCTTAAAAAGATTTTATCCTTAAGTGATCTCTACACCTAATGTGGGGCTTGAACTCACAGCCGTGAGATCAAAAGTCACGTGCTCCACCAACCCCGCCAGCTGGGCACCCCAAGACCTCACTGTAATCCAGCATCTGCATCCTGAGTGGCCCCTCACAGCCTCGTCCTGCAGATCCGAGGGGGCACCAGCGTTGCTCAGAACTTTGCCCCCAGTTCTGAGATGTGCATTTTCCAAGTTCAGGAACACCGTGTCTTCTCGGCTGACACAGACATCAGCGGACCCCCACCCGCAGCCCCTGGAGCTGTGCCCGCCGCATCTCTTGGTGAACGAATGAAAACCCAGGCTGAGTGATTATATGTGAAGCCCCTGAGGAGCACCACACATTTAGGCACCGGGAGAGCCTCCTTTACCGGGGAGGACACCGAGGCTCAGGAGTGAAGTCACTACCCAAGCCCCCCACCCCCCGCCACTGGCCTCTGACCCTCACTCAGCAGGTGCTCCCCCACCATCCTGCCTGCCCCTCTGGGGGGCCCAAACTTTCCGGGTGCTCAGGCTGAGTGGATATTTCCTTAAGCTAACCCTTCATAACCCGTTTTCTTCTCAAGGATTCAAGTATTGAGTGTTCATGAGCCCAGAAAGCTGGGTTTACAGAACCCAGTTATGACCACAAAAAGTCCTGGGTGGGAGGAGGGAGCTGAGCAAACTTCCCGGACAGGTTTCTGTGACATTTGTAGGTGGTCCGTATTAAGGAAAATCAGGTCTTCTAAGTATCTCCTAAGATCGCCCGCAAACTGGCAAAGTTAAGGGAAGAAGTAGGAAGAAAATCCACCCTTTTGATGGCTCCCTGTGTCCTAACTGTCACTGACTCGCAGGACGCACACACAAACCTCCCTGAAAGCAGGGGCCACGGGCGCCGGCGTGCCAGCCTCCTCGGCAGACCCACGTCCACAGTCACGAGGACCCCGATGTGGAAAGTGAGTGTGGATCCACCGCGGTCACACCAAACGCCCAGTGTCCCTCCTGGCCGGCGAGTGCTAAGGAATTAACACTTCTTTGTAAAAAAGGACCAAACCCGCTGGGGCAGGCTATAGCCTGAGGCCAGGGTGTTTCTGACCTTCTGGATGTTCCTGCCTTACGTAGCCAAATTCATAAAGGTGAATCCACAGGAAAATATGCAGGAAAAACTGCTCTGGCATCTCTCACTTGCATTGAAATTTCAGTGGCCTGGCCATCCCTGCAAAGCAGCGTGCCCCGGGGTGGGGTGGGGTGGGGTGGCAACGGGGCTCACACATCAGGAAGAATTAAGAATTAAGAATTTGGGGGCAAAGTCCTTCTGCTCAGCGAGAAGCACCGCTGGGGTGTGGCTCTCCCCGTGGGTGGATCAATGCAGCCGAGGCACCCTGCGGTCGCCACGCGGGGGCGAGAGGAGAGCAGAGGGGGGCAGCCCCACCACATGTCGCTGCACTGACTCACCTGGAAAAGACAAAGAACAATGTGATTTGTAGGTGGTTCGGATAGCTCCAGGCATCCAACTCTTCCAGTTTATGATACAAATCTTAATCATTAATGGCTAAGATGAAAAACAGCTGCCCTGAAGTTAGGAAATTCAAATGGGTTGTTTCCTGAGATCACATCATACAAAAGGGGTCTGTCCTGTGAGGTCCGGCCCCGCCTGCTCCAATGCCGAGCACCGTCCTGGTTCTCTCCTGCTCCGGGCCAGCTGGTTAGGGTGCAGGAAGCTCCCACACCCAATGTGGGGTTTGAAATTGTGGGGCTCGAACTTGTGACCCTAAGACCAAGAGTCGCTCAGTTGCTGACTGAGCCAGCCAGCATCTCAGCAAAATTACATTCTTAATAAAGAGGATGAGCTCCAATCATGATGATATTCTTCTGAGAAAATGCTAAATTCCTAAAGTCCTGTTTTATGATTTCTAGAAACCTGCTTCTAGGGATTCAGGATCAGTATGCACTTGGCATCACGTTGGAAGGCAGCCTCACTGCCCTGTTCACTGGACGCCACCAGCTCCAGGAGGAGGGGCAGGAACGTCCTCTCTCCACGGTCTCCACTCACCGTGCAGGATGCTCAGCCTATTGAGCATAAATGTTGGTCGAATACTTGCTTGTTCATCTTACGAAACTGATCTCTTGAGTCAACCCTTAACTTGCTCCATGTATTTTAGAAATATACTCGATTTATATGCTTTTCAAGATTCTCATGATAAAGAAGCTGGATGTGACTCAGCAACTTTGTGATAGAAAGCCACCTGTTCTATCCAATTCTCTGGCAATCCAGGGTGTGAAATGAGATGTGAAATGTGGTTAAAACCACAGAGTTGCACGCTGCCCACCTTCCTCCGATCGAGAGAAGAGATTCCATATTTTGGGCCTGGTTCCCTGGAATCCTTGGTTTCATGAATAGGGCTCGTTCATTTTATGGATTTAGGTATTCTGGTATCAAAATCAATAAGGCCTGGCATGTGGTTGTTCTGTCTTTCTGAATCAGAGATGTTGCTGCCCGGTTTTGACGTCAACACATCACTTAGTCCCGCAGAAGCACACCTGGAAGCTCTCTCTGTCTCTGCATTCTGGGACCGTTCAAAGGACATTTTGAACTCAAGTGTCTCGGAACAGTTTGATCCTACGTCCCCTGTGGAACCATCTGAGCCAAGATGCCTTGGAAAGGAGTCTTCACACAGGGCTCGCAGCTTTGGTCCGACGAGTCAGCTGGCGCATAAGGAGCATTGAGGGCTGTTTTCACGTTCCAAATATTTTATAGATCATTTAATTCCCCTAACTTTTGCTTTCTCATTTTTATTCTGTGCATTTCTTGTACTTTCTTCCATCATATTTAGCTATGTATTAGCTAAGAATTTATCCATTGTTATAAGGTTCCTCTCAGGTTATTTTTAGCTGATTTAATTAAATTGCATTTTCATCTTACAAATTCCTTCCTTCTAGGTTTACTTAGTTTACGCGTGCAGGCACGTGTATACATATGTGTGCATGTGTGTGCATGAGTATGTACGAATGTGCGTATACACGCGTGTGTGCGTGTGTATATGTGTGTGTGTGCATGTGCATTTGTGCACGTCCACGTTTTCCTGATGATTTCAGTTGAAGACACATTTACTTCACTTTCATTGGCTGCTACTCCATAACATGCCCTATTTTCCTCTGAGCGCTAAGTTAGCGGTATACATTGTCCTTTGTTTTAACTCTATAATCTAGAAATAATATCATTGACCTCACGGTGTGAATGAATACAAATGCACAGAATCATCTTTCTTCTGAAATTTTGTATTGAGCCTTTCCATTATTTCATGTTACAAAGATAGTGAGGGGCACCTGTGCTTTTTTTTTTTAATAGATTCTTTCTCTTCAAAGTTTCCCACACAACTGGATGCCATATTTCCTATTCTGTAACAATTCTGTTTTTCCTATCATTTGCCCAATTTTCTACTGGCATATACATTTAAGTAGTTTCTCATAACTTAAATAGTAATTAGTAAATAACCGTTAAATAATTTTAACTACTTGGAAGTGACTTGATTTTCGGGAGGAGGGAAGGCATCTGGAAGTCAGTAAGATATTTCTTTAGTTACTTTATTAGGATTGATTCTTGTTTTAATAGATTGGAATCTACGGAATCCATTTCTTCCCTGGGATAGAATCACTCTTTAAATATATAGATCTAGGGATCCCTGGGTGGCGCAGCGGTTTGGCGCCTGCCTTTGGCCCAGGGCACGATCCTGGAGACCCGGGATCGAATCCCACATCGGGCTCCCGGTGCATGGAGCCTGCTTCTCCCTCTGCCTATGTCTCTGCCTCTCTCTCTCCCTCTCTCTCTCTGTGACTATCATAAATAAATAAATATATATATATATAGATCTATATCTTTAGTTCAGGAAAGTTTTTGTAAATTATATCTTTAAAAATTTTTTTTTCTGCTCAAACTTCCTTCTCTGTGAGGGAGAGGCAGACACTAGTTACATACGCCCTTTCTCTGACTTCTTTTTTGTCTGACTTCTATGTGTATGATTTCCCCTAAAATAAACTTTTAACTTTTTGTTTCTTAGATCCCATTTTGTGGAGTATTCTCAAACTTGCCATCCATATCCTCCACTCTCCGTTTTGTGACTCGGTTATGTTTTCCTTTTGCTCAGCCTGTGTTTCTGGCATCTGTTCCCGTTCTTTCCTCGACTCTGTCAATTCCCCTTTGTGCTCCCAATCCACTCTTTAGCTCTGACATCTTGGCTCTGTACTCTTATTTCAGAGAAGTGACTTCTCTGTGCATTTAGTCTTGTGTGTGGAGAACATCATGCCTATGATCTGACCTGTGTGTGGAAATCCTTTTTAGGCCTGGTCCTCCTCATGGTCATCTTTAACAACTGCTTCTTGGGTAGCATGACGCATCATCCCATGATGATCTGAGTTTGTTATGAGTGCCCACTTCTGCACGAAGGGGTCCATCCCACAGTGGCCAGGGAGCACGCCCATGACACTGGGTTTTTTGACTGTGGCTGCTCTGGGCTCCACAGAGTCTCTCTGGATCTCAGGGAACCCCCTGAGAACACACTGGAGCCCCATGCTCACCTGTCTTTTCACTGTGTGGCTACCCCAGCGTGTGTGTCTGTGTGGCTCCAGGTCTGTGGGCCACCAACAGCCTTTCTCTGGCTACCACATCAACAGATGGTTTCTTCAACAGATGGCTTCCCTTCAGCCCTGTGTCCTCAACACTTGTGTTCCAAGGGGTTCTTTTAGCTGTTTTGTGTTGTATTCTCTTTTCTTCCAAACCAGGGGCCTTTGTGTGCTGTTGAGATTGGAGAACTCTGTGTGCTCTTGGAAATGGCAGGGTCCTCTCTCCTTTTGGTCCAATTTTCTCTGCAGTGGCCACCACTTGGGGGCTTCTTGGTCATGTTCTGGGGCATGGATATTTCCTGGTGTCTGGGAAGATGGAATTCCCACTTCTGTTTCTCAGTATTTTTGTGGATCCCAGCTGTAATCAGAGGTAAGGGAGCACAGAGATATTTCTGCCACCGTTATAAGCTGGAAGTCATGTGACACCTTTTCCATTATTAAGTAGTTCTTTAGTTCTGGCCAGAGCACACCTGCCTACCAGCCTACCTCCCCAGAGGAAATATTTATGCAAATCGACCTCATGATTTGGAACAGCAACCAGTTCATACCTTCCCTAGAACTTAAAAAAACATTCTTGCTACAAAGAAGAGTGATAAAAATAATTTCTCATTTGCTTACCCCAGTGGCTTGTTAGGCAGAAATACCCGCTGAGGAATGACCTTTTGCCCTGGCCTCTTGCATATCACAGAATTGCTGCTCTGGAAGAGGAAGCTGTAGGCTGTCAGACAAAGCATGAATCTTTGACAGAAGTTCATCCAGCAGATCAGAAACGTCATCCAGGTAGTAATTCTGAAGCAAAGAAAATCAGATTAGTGAATGCCTTCAAGAAACTGTTTTTTTTTTTTCTTTTCCCCTCATTTTCTGAAGTATTTTATGATACTGACTTTAGATGGTATTGTGCTTTGTTAGAAAGCTAACTGGATCCTGGAGTCAGAGGCCTGGATGCTGGGCCGGAATTCTAAGCTCTCTGTTCCCTGATGCCCCAGGTCACATACAGGTGTGCACACTAGTCCCTGACTCCCCAGGTCACACGCAGGTGAGTGTTGGGGTTCAGAATGCCCATATGAGGACTGTCCCGTGGATTTAAAGGCAATGAGGGATGGTAAAATATACGATAAAGAGTGAAGCCCTATAAAAATGCCCAAGATCACAACTGCACATGATTGGCTTTGGACCTGTACTGAGTGATGCCCAAGTATCAGTCAGTCACGGAGGAGTAGCCTGGCCTTCAGTGTGCTGCGGTCTGCTTTGATTTGCTTACATTCATGTTGGGGTGACTAGGCTCAGACCCTGTGCTAAGTCCTCATGTTTGGGGAGAAGTTTGGCCCTGGTGGCAGAAACCGAAAGCAAATGGTTGCTCTGCAGGAACAGAATGTGGGGCGGGGGGGGGGGGGGCGGGTTAGCAGAGGCCAGAGTCCTAAACCCCATCTTTCTAGCCTTACAGGGTCATCCGAGGATATCATGAGCTAATGGAAGAGACTGTGCTTCTAATCTGCTAAGTGCTTTAGAATTTCAACTGGAAAAGCCACGGCTTTGCAACAACACTTGGCAAAGAAGCACAATCACACTTAAATAACCAGAAGCAACGCTGTGCAAGGAAAGCATCGTCTGGATGAGCCATCGCGCTTGCCGCCCCAAGACCCACAGCTTACATGACTCTCAACCATCTCGGCCTCTTCCTGCGGTGGCCTTTCCAGTCCCAGCCAGGCCAGGGCCTCTGTCCACACATAGGCAGTCACGTCTGCCAGTCTCACAACAGATTGGCTTTGAAAAGATTTCCTTTTTCGAGCAAGAGTCGTGAAGGAACCTCTCAGCTGGGGAGAATTAAAAAAAAAAAAAAAAAAAACAGACAAATTTCATGTTATCAACCAAAACATGGCTTCCCTAATGTGATAGACTATAAAATGGAGATTATAGCTGATGATGCTATTCTATCACCTTTTAATAAGACGGTAACTGCTTAGCAAAAAAGTCAGGAAATAACTCTCATGCGTTGAACTAAATTGCAACAAGATGAATTCAGTAATGAAAATGGATCTTATGGGCACCCGGGGGGCTCAGTCGGTTAGGCTTCTGCCTTCGGCTCAGATCATGATCCCAGGCTTCTGGGATCAAACCCCACGCCAGGCTCCCTGCTCCATGGGGAGCCTGCTTCTTCCTCTCCCTTTTCCTTGTGATCTCTCTCACTCTCAATCTCTCTCAAATAAATAAATAAAATCTTAAAAAAAAAAAAAGAAAGCAAAAGGATTTTTCTATAAAGGGTGTTTTCAGTGTCTAACAGTGGAGGACAAAGATGGTCAACACGGTGGACATCTCCACATGCAAACTTGGCTTCAAGGTGCTCTGCAGCCCCGCCAGGCTGGGGGCAGCTACCCCCGCCCCCTACCCCGCGAGGCAGGGAAACGACGTCACGGGGCCTCTGCAAAGCAGCCCAGCTTGTTTCTTTCTCGACTGCAGGCTGAGACCTGTTAGGTCAAAAAGCCTGTGGGCACAAAACTCAAAGTTGTATGCATTCAACTGTTGTAAAAATAGTCCAAACAAGCAAAGTTTGAGTCATTTTGAGCCTGCTTTGCATACTCTGCAGAACCTCAGGGACGGCTGTTTCCCAGGACTCCAAGACGCTGCTGCCCCTGGGCGCTCCGACTCAGCCTTCCCACTTGCTGCCGGGCGCCATCTACCCACGAAAGACACACACGCTCCCCTCCACATCCCCCTGGCCTTCTCCCCCTTCTTCTTTTTTTTTTTTTTATTTACTTATGATAGTCACAGAGAGAGAGAGGGAGAGAGAGAGGCAGAGACACAGGCAGAGGGAGAAGCAGGCTCCAGGCACCGGGAGCCCAATGTGGAATTCGATCCCGGGTCTCCAGGATCGCGCCCTGGGCCAAAGGCCGGTGCCAAACCACTGCGCCAGCCAGGCAGGGATCCCCCTTCTCCCCCTTCTTGATGGTGGCCCTGAGACACAGCCTCTGGATGGTCTCCTGCCACGATGCCTGTCAAGATATGGCCACATAGAGCTCGTGTGGGTTACTGTCTCTCGTGGTCATATCTTTTTCCTGCATCAGCCCTAAATCCCTGAGCCCTGGCAATGGGTCAGAACCCCGCAGGGACGCCTAGGTGCTGAGCACAGGACACTGTCCGCTCAGACAGCATATGTGGGCAGCAGGCTTCCTGCCCTCCCAGCCACAGGAGCCACAGGTAATGCGTCCCCGTTCCTGCACTCAGAGACGCCGGGCACCACCGCCCTCCTGCTCCTGATGACAAAGTCCAAGCACCTCATGACCTTAGCATGACATTCAGTGCCCGCCACACCTGGCTCCAAGCATCGTTCCCCAAACCACATCTGCTTGACCCTGAGCTCCATCGTGGGCTTCACCACCACCTTTGTTCTTATGCTGCACCCCCAGCCCCCCACCCCAGCCTACAGATGCCGCCTCCAGGTGTCTCCATGGGCTGGTCCCTCTCATCCGCCAAAGGCCACCTCAACTATCCCTTCTGCTGTGTGAGGATGTCCTGGTCTCCTCAGGAGGACGAAGTGGTCGCTATTTCCCTTGCTCTTTGAGGAAGCTTTAGTTAGGTTCTAAAACCACAGACAATTTGTGGAGCTCCTGAGTGGTTCAGTTGGTTAAGCAGCCAACTCTTGGTTTCAGCTCAGGTCATGATCTTGGGGTCGTGGGATTGAGCCCCATGTGGGGTTCTGCGTTCAGCAGGGAGCCTGCTTGAGATTCTCTCCCCCTCTCTCTTTCTCCCCTGCATGTACACTCTCTCTCTCAAATAAATATAATTAAATATTAAATAAAGTAAAATTGCATACAATTTGCTAAAAACTACTGAACACAGGAGAAAAACAACAAAGACCTAAACAAATGGAGGTACAGGGGCGCCTGGATGGCTCAGTGGTTGAGTGTCTGCCTTTGGCTTAGGTCATGATCCCGGGGTCCTGGGATCGAGTCACACGTTGGGCTCCCCACAGGGAGCCTGCTTTTCCCTCTGCCTGTGTCTCTGCCTCTCTGTGTGTCTCTCATGAATAAATAAATAAAATCTTAAAAAAGTAAAGAATGAAACTAAACAGCTTCCAAGAGAAACATAGGAGAAAATGCATGTGACCATGAGGTTGCCATTCATTTTCAGATAGGACACTAGTAGAATTTATAAAGGAAGAAATTGATAAATTGGCCTTTATAAATATTAATAACTTCTACCAAAAAAAATCTGTTAGGAGAATGACAATGACAAGCCACAGAATGGGAAAAATATTTCCAAATCACATATCCAATAAAGGAAATGTACCAAAAATCTAAGAATTGCTATAATTCTTTGTTTTTTTAATTTTTTTTAAATTTATTTATGATAGAGAGAGAGAGAGAGAGAGAGAGAGAGAGGCAGAGACACAGTCAGAGGGAGAAGCAGCTCCCTGCAGGGAGCCCGACGTGGGATTCGATCCCGGGTCTCCAGGATCGCGCCCTGGGCCAAAGGCAGGCGCCAAACCACTGCACCACCCAGGGATCCCTATAATTCTTTGTTTATACACGTGTCTTCCTCTATGGACTATGGACCGTGTCTTCCTATGTTTGTTTCACCATTGCCTGAATAGAATAGGTGTTCTTTAAGTAATTGTTGAATGGGCACATGATTGAACATATGAGTGGATGGATGGATGGATGGATGGATAGATGGATAGGTGGATGGATGGAGGATAGGTGGGTGGGTGGGTGGATGGGTGGCTGGATGGATGGAAGGAAGGATGGATGGATGGATGGATGGATGGTAGGTGGATGGGTGGATGGATGAATAAGTCTATGGATAGATGGATGGATGGTAGATGATGGATGGATATATGGATAGGAGGACGGATGGAGGATAGGTGGATAGGTGGGTGGGTGGGTGGGTGGGTAGATGGGTGGCTGGATGGATGGATGGAAGGAAGAATGGATGGATGGATGGATGGATGGATGAATAGGTCAATGGATGGATGGATGGATAGATGGATGATGGATGGATGAATGGTAGGTGGACAGGTGGGTGGATGGATGGATGGAAGACTAGGTAGATGGATGAGCCGTGAGTAGGAAGCTAGGAACACTGAAAGAAACAAAGGGCTCAGGTCTGAGCATTGTCAAGGTCTGAGTTTATGGTGTGTGTGTGTGTGGACATGACTAGATTTGCAAGTGATGGATCAATAGGAGGCTGGGAAACAGGGAGCCCCATTCCTAACGCAGCCCTGAGGCCAGAGAACCTGTCCAGTGAAGGCTAGCTGATAGACTGCAACCCTTATAAGGTGGGAAGATTGAAATAATAAGGCAAGTTAGCAGCAAGTGTGAGAGGAGGTTGGGAAAGAGACAGGGTGTGGTTCGGTGCCTAGAGGGCCGGGGGCTCCCTGGAGGAGGCAGCTCCCTGGAATGCTTGGTCTTGCTGGACCTGTTCAGGTTGCAGCCATGTCCAGCCCCTGCCCAGCACAGGGCAGTGGCCTCGGGGAGCCATGGCCACGTGGGAATGTGCACACAGACCAAGGAGAAGGTCAGCCCGACAGCAGGTGGATCCCAGGCACACCCTGACTTCAGAGTCTGGGCAACAGGCACGTACCATTCCCAACCACGCGGTGCTCATCACCATGAAGAGGGCCCCGCAGCACCAGGCTGGGGCCTGCAGGTCGGACCTGGAAAGACGGGACCGCGGGCTTCGGGAGAAGTCTGTGAGGGTGCCCGGTGGCACCGCACGCAAGTGGCTGTGCGCGGCCAGCGCCAGGACGCCTGCCAGCTGCAGGGAGAGAGACCGTGACCCCGGGCCCTGGGCCCACGGAGCCTGAGACAGGCTTGCAGGCTTCCAGAGCTTTACAGTAACAAGAAGCTTGGAGAAGCAGTTATTGGAGTGTTGGTCATGTCATCCCTCGTGGCCCGGCTCCGCCTGGCACGTGCCCTCTGAGGCCCTGCTCACGGCCCCTTCCTCCCCGCCCCCTTCCCCCCTCCCCTGGCCCTCCCCCAGAGCCCCCCACCCTGCTCCTCCTCCATCTCCAGTGGGGAAGGGTGCCTATCCCTCCTGCCTCTCCCTGCCCTGTGCCCTTGCTGCTGGCGGCCGCGCTGTCCCAGGGGCTGGCCCTGTCACCCGCCCCGTGGCCTGGCGCCCAGCAAGGCCCCAGTAAAATAAACCACTTACAGAGCAAAGAGAGTTCAGTTTAGCTCAGGTGACATTTTATGGTCGGTTGTTGGCCTGGGAGCCTGGGGTTGAGCCCGGGGCCCAGTGCGTGTGCACACGTGTGTGTATCTAATGCACCGGCACGAGACGGCCCCGGTGGGCGGACTGGCCATCGCAGCACCCTCCTCGGCTGCACCCCCCAAGCCCCTGCCGCTCCCATTTCCCGGCTCCCTGTCCCGGCCCTGCACCCGGGGCCTCCCTTCGAACACGTGGGCGCTCCCTTCACTCGCCGTTACTCCCCCAGTGGAATCGCTCGCTGCCAGCGTCTGGACCAAGCAGGTGCTCTCCCTGCATGCCCGTAATTTCTGGACGGTTTGGATTCTCTACTTAATTTGGGCAAAATTTATTCATGACATTCTGAGCTTTTTTTCTTAATTTTTTTGCACTGCTTGTATTGCTAAGGGCTATAATACAGACGAATTTAATAGATAAGCTCCTCACACGTAACCTCTGGGCCCGGGCAGCCGCCAGGCACACACCTTCCATGTGCTTCTGGAGGGAGAGCTCAGGGAACCGGCCCGCGGGTGTGACAGTGGGTTCAGGAGAGGTGCAGCCGGGCTTGAAGCCAGGTCTCCAACTCCTGTGTCGGCTTCTCCTGCCCTGGCCACCGGGCATAAGGCCAACGGGGTCTGGGGACCTGTGCTTGGTGCCCTGGGAGGCTGACAGCCAGACCACCTCATCAGGCCAGCTCGCCTGCATCCTCGCCCGCCTGACGACAACCTGGCTGCGGGGCAGGATCGCCGGGAACCAGGTCAGAACCACCTGCACCCCAGAACGTGGCCAGCATCCCACGTGGGGCCCTGGCCCTCCTGATTCTGGGTATCAGCAGCCTGCCAGCGTGGGGCTGAGCCCTGGACCGCCCAGGCATGGAAGCCAGGCTCTCCGAGCACCCACGCCTACAGGTGCGTTTTCTTCGGAGGCCCACTGAGGCACGATTCTGTGGGGAAGGGGGAGTGAGCAGCTCGCCAGTGGGCTTCGGGCAATCGGAGGGGCATCTCCGGGTGCAGGGCCAGAGTCGGGAGCGTCACTGGCGTTAGTGCCCCGCTCCTGCCTCCGAGAAAGGACCCGGCCTGCCACACAGGGTTGTGATGATTCGGGGAGGGAATCACGAGAGAGCCCTGCATAGGCTGCATCCCGCTCGAGAAGGTGCCAACAAGAGGGCACGGCCTGCACCCGCCTCCCGGAGAGACCTCTTACCGCTGCCGGGAAGGCGCCGGTGAGCGAGTGCCGCATCAGGGAGGAGCAGGACGCCGTGGTGCCCTGGACGCTGACAAGGTGGACGCACTTCAGGGTCAGGAGGAAGGAGAGGGTCCCCTGCAGCCACGTGACCCTCTGAGACAGGAGGACAGAGCCGGTCGGCGGGTCACCCCGGCCAGCGAGGGTGCACGACGCCCAAGCACCTGCCAGCCCTGCTCCGGGGGCACGTCCCACGGGTGGGTGTCCACCGGGTGTGACGTCTGCGGGACGGGAGGCGACCGTCTGCACAGCGGGAGCAGGACGCGGAGTAAGGACAAGTCGCGACGCAGCTGCCAGCCTGGGACCCTGACTGGGCCAGCTTGATGCAGGTCTGCACGGCTCAGACCTGGCCGGCTGCCCTGTCTGGGCCTCAGTTTACCGGGCTGGGAAAAAGCAGCCACAAGAAGGGCCTCACGTCCCCAGGCCGCAGTCGGGGAGCACTGTGCACCGTGTGGGGGGCCGGCAGGTGGGACCGCGCTCGTGTCGGTCGGCCCCACGCTGTTCACGCCCCTGCCCACGTCGGGGAGGGTCACTCACGGACCAACGCTCTGGTCTCTGTATGGCTCCTTCCTGGGGGCCAGGCCCCCTCTCTGCATGGGGGCATGGGTGTCGGCCACCAGCCCACGGTCCCCGGAACTCAGCCCGGCCTCGCAGCCACGGCTCTGGGGTGGAGCCCAAGGAAGGCGGAGGGGCCACAGAGCCCAGACCCGCAGGGGGGGCGCGGAGCAGGAGCCCAAGGGAGCCCACCCAGCAGGTGAGCAGCAGAGCATCCGCCTCCCCACCCCCTGGAGCCTCCAGCCCCGAGGAGAGAGCCCCCTGAGGCCGGGCTCAGGAAGGCCAGGAGGGGCCGCACCGCCCCCTGAACCTTCGGGGATGTGCAGGAGCTGTCCCCTCGGGCGGCGTCACGGGCACGACCCACCGAGTGGCCCCGGACACCCGCCGTACCTGGTTCCATGACGCCGCGAGGCTGAGGTCCATGGACCCTCGGAAGTGTCCTCTGTGGAGGCGGTCGGTCACTGCGCCCGCCACGGTGGCCAGGTGGCAGGAGGCGGCATAGTGGGCGAGACCGGCCCCAGCGATGGCGAGCTGCGAGGGCGGAAGAAGGTGCCTCAGGGGGCGCCTGGGGGGGCCCACCACGGCCCCCGAGGCTCAGCGGGCAAAGGGAGCGCGGGGGCAGTGAGGGGACGGACAGCGATGCCGTGCAGAGGGTCAGCACGCAACCGGGGGGACTGCCTGACGGCCCGAAGGAGCCGGCACAGTGGGTGGCATGTCCGGGTGGGGCTTTACTGTCCGGCTTCTCCTGGGGAAGGGGACGGGACCGCTACCTCCAGCCAGCTCCCGGGTTCGCCCCAGTAGCTGCGGACGCCCTCCTGGGCCGCGCGGTGCAGCTGCAGGCACGACTGGGTCAGGCTGAGCACCAGGAAGGCCAGCTGCTGGGGGAGCGGCGACGCGGGGGGAGAAGGAGAGGGCGGCAGGACTCGCGGGGCGCCCACGCTCGGTGCTTCCTGCGGCCTCCCCACCCGTCACCGCTGGGCGACCTGCCAGGTGTGAGAGCGCCTGGGCCGGGCGCACACACAAACCCTGAGCGTGAGCCGGAGGGTCCCCGGGGCCCATCCCCAGCAGCTCTGGAGATTGAGCCGTGGCTTCTCAGCCCTCGGCCAAGTAGGGCCCTCGAGGCTCCCGAAGCCCAGCTGTGCTCCCCTCCGCGCCGTCAGGCCGTGCCCTCCCTCTCCCGTGTCCATTCACTGAGCCGGGGGGGGGGGGGAGGGCACAGGGCACCCAGGAGCCCGTCCTGTGGGGGCGGTGAGCTCCCCGGGACCCCCAGCTGGGGCTCTGGGGTGAAAACCCCTTCAGGACATCTGTCTGCCTCCTGGGGAGCAGCGGGGCACGGGCTGAGGTCTACGCAAACCAACCCGCTATCTGGGCACCCACTGTGCCCAGCCGCTGCAGGGGAGCCCTGTGAGCCCCGGTCGGCGAGGGGCGAGAGGACCCACCTCGGGAAGCGCAAGGCGGTGCCACAGGCCCGAGTCGCTGTGGAAGGCCGCCACCGACTCCACCAGCGGGGTGAGGGCCAGGCCGCCCGCGGGGAGCAGCTCAGCGTGCAGGGCCACACTGGACAGCAGCCGCGTGGGACAGTTGTAGAGGACGAAGTGCACGGACACGGAGCTGGTGCCGCCGTCGATCCACCCACCGGCCCTGAGGCCGCTCAACGCTGCATGGGCTGCCGGCCTGCAAGGCGGCGCATCAGGGGGCCCGGCCGCGGCTGCACACACGCCCCTGCGGGTGCCTGCCTCCTGCCGCGGCCCGAGGCCGGGGCCTCCCCTGCACACGCACGTCTGGGGAGGCCTGGCCCTCTGCCTCCCGTCCTGGGTGCACCCACCCTGGCACCGGACTGAAGCCCCCTGACCTGGCAGCACCCGGCCGCGGATCACGGCTGCGAGGCGGGTGGCTCATTGGGGCCACATGGGAGAGGCCTGCCCTGCTCACGAGGCCCCTGAGGACCAGGAGGCCCGTGAGCATCCGCGAGGCACGAAGCCAACAGGACGACGCCCATTAGGCTCCCTGAGCGCCAGCCTCGGGCGGATTCGGGAGGAACGTGGCTCGCTGCTTCCCGTGCTCAGGGCCGAGGCCCCGTCAGCACCGTCTCCGCCATCGCCTCCCCGCCCTGCCTTGCCCTGTGATGGGCCTGCCGCTGCCCCACGACGGACGGACGGACGGACGGACGGATGGGGTGGAGCCAAACTGAGCCCACCGACCTTGTGCTGCCCAGGCTGAGCTCCCAAGGCTCCCTGGCCCCGCAGCCTCTGGAATCCCCGGGGGTCGCAGGCTCGGTCATGGGGGCGCCGTCAGGGCCGCCAACTTCGGGGGGAGGGTCTTCGGGGAGCGCCAGGGCCCGGCTGGGCAGCTGCGGGAGAAACCACTGGTTGGAGGGAGAACCAGACGCTAGGCCCCGTGGCCTGGGGTGCCCGAGCCCCGGCGCCGGCTCCCGCACGGCCCACCTCCTGTCCTGGGCTCCCGCTGAGCCCAGCGGATCAGGGCTCGGACGTCAGGAGGGCTGCGCAGTGCAACACGACACATTAGTCCACTTCGAGGAAGCCGACGACTGAGCAAGAAGCGAGCCCGGGAGAAGGGAACCCGAGCGGGGCAGCTTACCTGGCCCGCGCTCCCCGAAGGCCGCCGCAGCTGTCTGATTACCAGGGAGCCCAGCAGGTAGCACTTGCCGCCAAGGGCCCGGGGCTGGAGGGAGAACAGAGGCGGGCAGGTGGGATGTCGCGCGGCCCCCACAGCGCTCCCCGCCAGCCGCCGGGTCAGCAGCCCCCCCCCCACAACAGGACGCTCTGCGGGATCTCAGCTCCCCTACGGCCTTTGCATCACAGCTGAAGGGCCACCTGGCCTGTTCCCCTAGACCCTGCCCAGCGCCGTCCCATGCGACGACACCGGGGCCCGGAAGCCCGCGGGCCCTTGGGCAGCACGGGTCCACTTGCACGTGCATTTTTTTCCGATAAATACAGGACAGGACTGTAGTCGTATTTCCTCTCCCTTAGGATCCTCTTAATCACACGTCTCGTCTCCAGCTTCCTTCATTGGGACAAACAGCAGATGGCACGTCTAACACCCACGACATGTCCTCGCTGAGGCTTTGCCCCCCCCCCCCCGCCAGCTGCGAAAAGCCCGGTTCTGGGGGGACTGGAAAGTGCCACGGAGGGCGGGACCCGCACCCTGCGCTCCCCAGAGGTCGCTGCGTGGTGTTTGGGGGATGCAGGACAGAATCATGTTATTATTTTTTAAAACAAGGTAGAAAATGGAAGATAAGCAGGGAATAGGGCTCTATTCTCTGAGATGCGTAACTGGTCGCTTTTTCTCAGAATTTAGGGCAAGCCTGGTCTCTTGGTGGAAGCTTCCTGGATGCTCCCCCTCGGTCCTGGGCTGCCCTGCACCCCCGTGCCACAGCACTCTGTGTGCGGATACAGCCCTCTGTCCCGCCGAGCCCTGCGCCCAGCCCGGCCCGGCCCCCGCAGGTGTGCACCTGACAAGGGTGTGCTAGGACGCAGCAGGGCCGCGCTGGGCCGAGAAGCAGCCAGGTGACCCACGGCAGGCAGCCGCTGGCCTACGACCTCGCGGTCACTCAGGAATACACACGGCGGGGGCATGGGGGGTGACGTCGCTCGAGCGTCTACCTTGGTTTCAGCTCGGGTCGCGACTCAGCATCTGCTGGGGAGACTCTCTCTCTCCCCTTCGCCCCGCCCTGTGCTCTCTCTCTAAAGCAAATAGATCTTTCCAAAAAAAAAACAAAAAAAAACAAAAAAACAAAACAACCACCCCAAACCAGAGGGCACCCGGTGCTGCACGCTAAGCGTCTGGCGGCCTCGGCCGTCTGTGCCGTGCCCTCCTCTACGGCCCCGGGTGCAGGCGGAGCCCACCTGAGCGCCCGGCGGGCCGGCCGGGGGGGCGCCGCCTCCGTGCAGGCCGTCCAGCAGCGTGGTCAGAGTCCAGCCCCACCAGTCCGCCACACTTCCCAGGCCGCCCGAGGCGCTGCTGGCACCCCTGAGCACGAGCAGAAACAAAAAGCGATTATTTTTTCTCGCATATGGATTTGAAGTCCCTGCAGGAGTGAAAGTGAAGCCACGCGCAGCGTGAGGTCCGGCGTGACTCCGGGGAGGTCTTTGCCGGGAGCGCCGCCCCGGGTGATGCCTCTGCCGCTTGCCCTGCTCGCTCGACCGCCTGCGCCGCGCAGGCACGGGGTGGCCAGAGCAGGGCGAGCATGGGGACAGGAGCAGAGGGCGGGGGCCGGGACCCTCAGCAGGGACACGGCTCGTTCACCACGGCCTGCGGGCACAGCATCGCCCTGCCTCTCCCCGGCCAAGCACCCGGAACAGCCGCCAACCCCGCGGCCAAGACGGCACGAGCGTCGGGCGAGGGGGCGCAGGCTAAGCGGGGGCCGCGTGCGCTGGGAGTCCGTGGGTGCCGGCCGCTTTCTCTCCAGCTCATTTCCGTTGCTCCCTTCAGATACCCGTTTCACCTCCCAACCGGGGGCTGCTTTCGGGAGCACTGAAGCCATTTCAGACTCGCAAAACGGATCATTTTTGCTCGCTGGGACGATAGGCTGGGGCCGCGTGCCCCCGGCTGCGCTGCACGCACACGTCAGGAGCGCCAAGCCGCAGCCAAAGGGAGGACGAGAAGGCGAATCTTTAGAGAGCGGACCCGTGTCACCTCCTGGCACACTCCCTCCCACGTGGCTTCTTGGGAAGGACCCGTGGTAGAGCCAAGGACGCTGCGCCCCTGACGTCCCCACAGCAAACAGCAGCGGGTCCCCGTGGCTCCACGCCCGAGTCTCCCCGAGGACGGGGGGGGGGGGGGGGGCAGGACCTTCTCGGGGGAGCTCACGGCGTCGGAAATGACGGGACGTCAGGGGGAGGTATGCACTCAGGGCAGCCCAGGTCACAATTCTCATTGTCCCGCGTCTCCCGGCAGCCGACCCATGAAGGATACGTGGACTATGAGCTGCTCCCGCAAGGGCTCCATCCAACAGGGGGAGCGCGTGGCCCCTGAGCACCGGAGATGTAGACCCTTAAGGCCTTTAAGGCTACGTTGGGGGGGGGGGGTATTATCGCTTCCTGACACTCGCTCTCCACTGGAAGGAAGTGAAAGAAACGAAGGCTTGAAGGAAGACCCGGTGGGGGCCTCGGGGGCCCGTCGGCAAAGCGCCGACTCTTGGTTTCAGCTCAGGTCGTGACCTCGGGTCGTGGGATGGAGGTCTGTGTCGGGCTCTGTGCTCAGCAGAGTCTGCTTCCCCCTCCCTGTGCCCCTGCACCACCCCGGGCACGCTCTGTCTCAAATAAATACATAAATACGATTTTTAATAGGAAAATAAAGACCTGTGTGTGACCGGACACCACCGTCACGCCCAGACGGTGCACATCTCACGTCTCGGCACGTGCGGAGAGCAGGGGGTGAGCCCAACCCCCCAAGAACGTTCTCACCTTGTATTAACTAGAGCTATTAAATGAAACGGGCCTACAGAGCTAGCAGAACACTGCAAAAATAGAGTCGGCCGTGATCTCTCACTCGCGGCCCTTGGACAGAGCGGCTACTGCGTTCATTGCTGCTCTATTCGGTGGTTCATTTCTGCTTTACTTGGACTTTCATGAACACTTGATGGAGTCCAGGAAGACCTCAGAGGAAACTTAAATATGACAGAATCCGATATCGTGATCGTTTTTTCACAAAGACATAAGACATCAAGCGGCTCCACCACCTCACTTTGCAGACGGGGATACGCAGCCCGGAGTCGACGGACTGGCCCACGTCACCTGCTAATCGGATAAAACCGAGCGGGTCCCTGAACGACCCTTCCTGGAAGCCGACGCACTGTAAACCCTAAGGTGCGGTCGAAGCTTCAGGGTCGGACCCAGGAGGGTGGAGGGAGCGTCGCAGCCCCAACCAGGACGCGCAGGTACCCCTGCCTGGTGGCCGGCACACCCAGAAGGACGGGGATCTCGCATCGTGGTAGGAATTCGGGCCCACGCACACCCAGGGTCGGCATCGGAGCCGCGGATCTCCGCACAAGGGGCGTCGCACAAATATTATCTCAGCTGCGGTAGTTCTGATCTGAGCGCCGAGGGGCCACACTCCGCATGAGAAGTACGTCAGGTGGTGCTGACTTACGAAATAGGAGATAAAAAATAAATAAACGCTCAAAGCCCAGAAATAGCTCAGGTTCTCATTTCCGTTTTGCAGAGCCGGCGACCCAAACAGTCGCTTTGCTTTGCGCACAGTGCCCCCTGCTGGCCCGGGCCGCGCCTCACGGGGGTCGGGGTGGGGCGGGGGGGTGAGAGCTCACAAGGGGTCCTGCGTGGGAGGAAGAGCTGTGTCTGCAGAGGGGGAGGCAGCGTCACCACTAGGACAGTCCCCTGGGAGCAGCCGCAGCACCGGCTTCCGCAGAGAGTGCAGACTCCCGAAGGAGACGTCCGGCTCCCACTGCGCCACGGGGCCGTCCTCTGGGTGACTACGGGTCACCAGCCCTCTCGTGGGAGATGAGCAAATACATCCTAGGGGCCCCCGGGGGCTCCGTGGGCGAGCACCTGCCTGCAGCCCAGGCCGTGACCCCGCAACCCCGGGATCATGACCTGAGCCGAAGGCAGAGGCTTCACCCCTACCCCGAGCCGCCCAAGCGCCCCAACACCTACTGCTAATACACGTGGGGAGAATCAGATGAGCTCCTGAGGAGAGGTAGGGACGTCCAGGGGCACGCCCCTGCTTGAGCCGCGAGCCGCTTCTGTGACTCGCGGTCAAGAGCCCAGATCGCCTCCACAAAAAGGCAACTGCGACGAAATGACCCATTCGCAACCGGACCTCGAGGAGCCTCCGAATTTTACTCTTAATCACTATTTCACTGCGATCAAGGGGAGACGCTCTGCACCCGCCCGAAGTCTGCAAAGCGAGGCCTCCTGTTAAGAGCTGGGGAGACGGGCCCGAGGTGACCTGACCACGTTGTCCATGCGTCACGCGAGGCAATGCCAGAGCGCCTCCCCCGGGCCTCAATTTTGCAAAAGTTAAACGTCATGAAGGAGCCGATTAGATGACCCGGAGGGTCCCCTTCTCTGCCAGATTGTGTGCGACAGCAGACGCGCGGTTTGTTCCAGGCCAAGCGGCCCCCGCCCTGGACCCGTCTGCGCTGCCAGCCACGCACAGGCCTCTCCCAGTGCAGCGGCCCGGCCTGAGCAGCTGCCAAGCGTCCTACCTTGTAAACTCGGTCCGGATGGCGTGATGCAGGGAATGCGCATCCCGGGAGCCCGTCCCGCAGAGGATAAGCAAATGCAGAAGCAGCAGGAGGGTGAACATGCACGTGTCTCTGAGAGAAACGAATTTTAAAATCAGCTGTGCCGCCAGACAAAACAGCAGGACCTATTTCGGACCCGGCCTTTCAACGCCTTCGAAATCCCCGCACGAGTTTTTGTAAAAGGATCTTTTTTTTTTTTTTTCTGCGCATCAATGCCCAGGTTCCCTAGCACCATTTTTATTTATTTATTTATTTATTTATTTATTTATTTATTTATTAAGATTTTTAAAATTTATTCATGAGAGACGCAGGCAGAGGGAGAAGCAGGCTCCGTGCGGGGAGCCCGACGCAGGACTCGATCCTGGGACCCCAAAGGCAGATGCTCCACCACTGAGCCCCCCGGGCGTCCCTCATACAGGCAAGACCACACCGCTTGGGGTCGGGTGTGCCCGAGGCATAATATCCGCTTCTCCCTCTCTCTCTCTTTACGTTGGCCTTTGTCTAGGATCAACGCTTGCACTCGTTAGTTCACCAAAGGCTGCAACAATGGCCCGGGCCTAATTCCATCAGTTTGTCTTCCTCCAGGAACTCAACGCGTCCGTAAGGAGAAACGTTCCCTCTCTCGGTACATGATTTCACGGGGCTCGGTTCTTCGCCGCCAGCTTTGTGAGAGTCGGTTCCCACGCGTCTGCCGACACCCGCCGACCACATTTCCGGTGTCGCTGCAAACTCAGGGCTTTGGGGACGTCGGATGAGCTCCAACTCGCGGTCACCACGGTCCCCGATTTCAGGTCGCATCGTCAGTGTTTGGCCCCGTGAGCCTCTCCAAAGGGGCCTCCGCCTAGCTGGTCATTATTCCCTCGCTCACGACGTGTCCTGGGCTCCCCTTGTCCGTTTCCTGCCACAGACCTGAAGTCGCGAGGCCCAACGGCGCCCGTTTCTTTTTGGTGGAAAATGATATTTGTGGACCAGAATCTAGGTGCCACGGTTGCCAACTGGCCCCGGGCTTCTTTCTAGGCCTCTTCTTGGGGGATAGATGGAAGAAAATAATGGGTTTCCCTTAAAAACAAAACAATAGGGGCACCCGGGGGGCTCAGGTGGTTCAGTGTCTGCCTCCGGCTCAGGTCAGGATCTCAGGGTCCTGGGATCGAGTTCCGCGTCGGGCTCCCTGCTCGGGGGGCGGGGGGGCCCTGCTTCTCCCTCTCCCTTCACCCTTCCCCGTCCCCTGCTTACACTCTCTCTTAAAATAAAATACTTTTAAAAACCCAACATGATTTCATACCGATCCTTCTGATTCCCACTCAGGACTACAGGGTTCTGACTTTCTCGGACTTGAGTCTGCGCCTCCGCCGTCCCGCACCGAGGGCATGAGGGCACGAGGATGGCAGGCACACACCCTCACCGGCTTCCTCCCATGTCAATGACCAACGCTTCCAACAGGAAACACCGTTAGTGGAAACAGCTTTATGTCTTTTTCTCTGTCCTTAGGTACCAGGCTTGTAAGGTCAAAGCTTTTAATCTTAAAACAATTTTTTTCAGATTAAAAAAATAATAATAATTTTACTTATTCATTTGCAGGGGGCGGGGGCAGAGGCAGAGGGAAGGGGTGTGAAGCCGGCTCCGTGCTGCTGAGCGTGGAGCCCAACGCGGGGCTCGGTCCCATGACCCTGAGGTCATGACCTGAGCCAGGACAGGTCGGACCTCACCCGCCCCAGGAACCGGAGGCCCAGTAGGCTCAGCTGCACCCGCGTGGGGCCGAGCGTGGGGCTGGACTCACGACCCTGAGACGGAGGCCCGCGCTGATGGCACAGAGCCCCGGGCGCCCCAGTGTTAGGCTGTCTCTATCACAGGAGGCCCGGCGCCCGGGGCCTGTTGCGGGTTTGTGGCTGGCTCCCTGGGGCAGGTGCACCTGTGACCGTGCTGGGCCTCCCCAGGTCCCCACGGGAACAGCGGCGCTCACACCCGCTCCGCATGTGGCACCTCTTCTCCGTGAGCTCCCGCCCCGGCACGGGAGCAAACATCCAGACTCCGGGTCTTTCAATTAGCGATTCCTCATCACGTCCACATTAACTTTTGCTATGAGCCGTCCACTGGCTTCCTGAGTCCAGTTTCGTTCTAAAGACGTTGTTGGTCTTTTTCTTTCCAATTTTTTTTTTGAGCCTCTTTGTACCCGAAGACGAAGCACCGTCGGCTACAATATGTTCCCCGTCCCGCAACCGTTTCCTTACACTACGTGCAGCCTCCTTTGTGACGCAAGGCGTTTGTTCCCTCCCAGGACTTGTATGGTTTGGTTTTCACATCTAAACGGTTTTCATTCAGACTTAACCTGAGTATTTTGTGACAAAAGCCCGCACTTGTTGGGTTTTCCCCGCTCCCCTCATGACCGTCTGCTGATTCCTCGTGGAAAACTCTATGTTTTCCCCAGAAGCCGAGACGGTGCCTCCCTCGCTCACGGCGCTGTGACATTTGGGTGTGGGTTTGGGTCGGCCTCGGGGCTCGTCTTCTGCTGCGTCCCCCGTGCGTGCAGAGCCGCCCTCCCGGGGACGCCCACGGCCTAGGTCATGCGGGGCCCCTCGCTCCGCCTCCCGGCTCTTCCTGGCTGGCCCTTGCACTCGTCCCCACCGAGTGGCCTCAGCACCGACCAGACCCCGCCAAGGGCGAGCAGGGGGCGGAAAGGCGAGGGGTCAAGTGTGAGGTCGCACATGGAGTTCAGAGCTTGAGAGGACGCGGCGTCCTGCCGTCCCGCACAGGTGACCCTGGGCCTCCCGGGGCCAGTCACGCTCCCTGTGCAAGCTCTAGGCGACAGCCCCTGGCAAGCCCGCGTGTTCGTGCTGCCGTTCCTCCCCCACGCCAGGGAACCTCTGCTGCCTTCTCCGCGCACTTGAAGCCACCGAGTCTCGCGTTTTAGGGTCGCAACCTGTCACCTTACTAGGTTCTCGTCGGTCTGCTCTTCTCCTTTCACTTCTGTGGGATGTTCCAAGCGCCAGGGAGCAGCTTCGCCTCCCGCCAGATCTGCTGTCACTGTCGACCCGACCCCACTGGCCCGTTGGCGTCCCCTCCCCTGCGCCTGGGTCCCCACGTGTGCGCCCAGCTCCCAGGGGCTGCCACCCACCTCAGCGCCTGCCGCGTCCGGGTCTGTCGCCGTAGCTTCTGTCTGATGACGCTGAGCTGGGCAGCGGACGGTGGCCGTGCCCGGCGCAGGTGGCGCGCTCGCTGCCGGGCCGCCAACACCTGCAGACGACAGTGCGGTGAGCGGCATGGATGTGGGCAGGGCTGCTCCCCTGAACCAGGTCGTGGGGGCATGTACAAACCCCTGCCCTGGGCCAGCCCTGCGGCCCGTGTCCCTGTACAGGACAGCCCGTACCAGGTTGGGTCAGGGGCCCACATGCCTAAGGAGTCAGAGGCCTGTATCCTGGGAATCACAGGTGCGGAGCCTGGGCCAGGACGCTCCTCCCTTGCAGCCCATGCAGCACCCTGAGTCCAATAGGGACAGGACCCCGCCGCTGGGTGACGCTGGGTGTCGCAAGGTGCCGCAGGGCCACGGGCATCCCAGGCTTGCTGACCTGAGGATGCGACCTCTATGAGAGACCTGTCCCCCGAGGCAAGGTCACGGAGGGCAAGGAGCAGACCGCGCCCCCACCCCCTGCACCAGCCACGGGGCAGGAAGGGGAGGAAAGACCCAGAAGGTGTGAGGAAGTCAGAGCAGGGGTGTGACCCGGAAAAGGCTACACACCCACAATAGGAAATGCTGACGCCCCACAGCAGGGGGCGGGGGGAAGCGGTGAGTTTCTTGTGGGTCCACTGAAATGTAACTGACTTACAAGTTCTCTAAGATTGTGGCCCAGAATTCTATTTCTCATTTATTTGCTTCCATATTTAAAATAAGCTCATGTTCTTGATATTCTGGTGTCTTGGGGGGGGGGTGGAGGTGAGGAGGTGGGTCCCGTGCGTCCCCCATCGCAAGGCACATGCGAAGGAGCATCAGAAACTAAATGCACTCAAAGATGCAACCGAATCTGAGCCCGAAGAGTCAATTCCGAGGGGCTGGGTGAAGCTGGAAGGCGACGCGGACGCGACACGGACGGTGGCCTCACCTCCTCCATCTGGCTCGCAAGGTGGGGCGGGTGGGGCCTCGCACGCGCTTCCAGTTCAGGGCCCAGGTCTTTGGTGGCCGCGTGCAGAGCCTCAATGAAGAAGTGCGGGTCGTGTCTCCTCCTCCAGGCAAAGCCCAAGGCCAGGAGGCTCACCTGGAGAGAGAGGCCCCGACAGTGCATCCCACCTCCCGTGACCAGTCGCCCCCCGGGATCTTACACGGGCCAGTGTCGTCTGCCTGGGAGTCCCCAGCCAGCCACTCCCCAGGCCAAGCTGGGCCAGAGCCTCCGCTCCCCGTGGCCCTGTGTCCCTGGGTGAAAAACGGGTTGGAGAGGCCCCCGCTCCCCGCCCTGTCCGGGGCTGTGTGCGAGGACCAACGAGCAGGCCCCAGGCAGCAGGGTGCAGGCCCTGCACCCCGAGCTCCTCCTCATGCTCAGTCACACGTGAAGGGATGTAAGGATGTGTCACGTGCAGCCCCCACCCCAGCTGATGCAGCCACTCCGTGGGAGCCCCCCCGGCCCCCCTGCTCACCAGCAGCGGCTGCGTGACCAGCACACAGCACAGCACAGAGGCGGCCAGCAGGTACAGCCAGCGCACACACTGCGTCGGGTCGAACCTGTCCCCGGGAGAGAGCAGCTGTCAGCGCTGCCTGGCTGTGCCCAGGGACAGCAGGCCCATGGGTGGCATGGCAGTGGGGGGGGGCGCCCTGTCCATCCTTCTGTGCAACAGACGGAGTTCTATGGGGAGGGGCGGGAGGGCACGTCACCCCGGGGGCTGCTGAGCGCGAGAGGAGGGAGAAGCCACCCAGGGACCTGGAGAGTAGAGGGGCGGGCGCTGGGGGCAGGGGCGGGGGGGTTGGGGGGGGTAATGAGGCTGATAGGGTTTGCATCTGCGGAGCACTGAGCAGGTGCCAGGCGCCGAGCCCGGGATTTCATCTGCTTCTCCTAAACCCTGTGACCTGTGAATGTCCCCATTTCACAGCTGAGCAAACCGAGTTGCAGAGAAGTAGGGTTTCTGTTTGTTTTTTAAGTCCCCTGTCATCACGTGAATGACTTTGTGCATTTGAAGAAAAAGAAGAGTCGGGGAGAGCAAGACGTCTCCCGGTTTTACAGCTGCCTCCCCCCCCCCCCCGGGGCCCCAGGACCCGCCGAGCCGCCTGGAGACCAGATGGAGAGGCCACGGTGCAGAGGGACCGAAGCTGAACCGTGGTGCCAGCACGCCTGGCCCAAGCCCGGCTCCTCGGGTGTAAGGGTCCCGCGGCCTCTTGTGACAGGGGCTGCATCCCCGAGCCCACGGCCCAGCGGCCCCGTGGGGCCTGTCGACACATCCCCCACCCAGGGCCGCGGGTGGGAGACACGGGGACCGAACTGGCAACAGCCATCAGGGCCCTCACGTTGCGCCCCAGACATGCTGGGATTTTTTTACTAAGCGCCAGACTCTCCATCCAAGGACCTGAGGCTACCTGAAGGCCGTGCACACTCACCTGTATCCTAGAAACGCTGTCCCTAGGCCACAGGCCACGGACACCGTCCCGCAGAGGACCCATGCCGCGGAGCCCGACCAAGGCAGCAGGGCCTGGGGCCAGCAGAGCGCAGCGACTCCTCCAAACCCGCTGCTGGCCGCTGCAGGAGAGCAGGGAAGAGGCATCACCTCCAGCCACGCGGGCGGGCCATGGGCGTGGACGTGAACGGGTCCTGCGTGGCCCGGGAAGGTTTCCAGAGATACGAACGCTTAACTGGCCAGACAGAGTGAAGCAGGGTGCCTGCCCCGCATGGGTGGGCCGTGGCCAGCGGCATGCAGCCTGCGTGAGCGCGGCCTCACTGCCTCACGTTCTCAGGGCACGGTGCTTCTTACACCCGAAATTCCCCCTCGGATGCCGCCAGGTCTGCGCCCCTTTACAGGTTTCACTGTGCCCCCGAGGGAGGAGGGGAAGAAGGGGGAGGGAAGGGATGGAGGGGAGGATGGGGGGGAGCAAGAGATGGGGAGGAGGAGGTGGACCACGAGAGGACCGGAGGATGGGGAGGGAGGAGCAGGGGAGGGGGGGAGAGCAGGGCCACACAGAGCAGGTGGGGACCACTTGGAGGCAGCCTCCTCTTGCAGGCCCCGCGGGGCACGTTCTGGGGAGCGGAGCACGTGTTCACAGGCCCCCCAACATCTGGTGTCTGCAAGAGGGGGCGGCCGGAGCCCCGCCACTCAGGGGAGCAGCCCGGGGCACGCGTGGGGCAGGAGGAGGCCTGCGGGCTTGGAGCGAGGAGCACCCGCGGGGGGCTCCAGGCAGGACGCTGCTGCATGCGCGGTGGGGCCGAGCTCAGCGACTGTCCTTTCCCGACCTCCACGGCCTGCTGGCCTTCGCGCCCACTCGCGCCCAGTGCACCTGCTGGGCTGTCGGTGCCAGTCGCCCTCCCCGCTCCCCGGGACCGGCCCGCAGACCCCCGCGCCCCCCGGCTGACCCGCGTCCACACCCGCGCCCGAAGCCGGCGCCGAGGACCTCGGGCACCTGGAGCTGGGGGCTCCTGCTCCCCCCGCGGGCACCTGCACCCGCCCCCGCCCCAGGCGCCCCCTGCCAGCGCTGACCGGCTGCCCCCTCCCCCACCCCCGGCTCCCTGCCGCAGCTGTAGCGAGTCACCCTGCGGCACAGCCAAGGTGGCCGAAGAGCCAAGGGCAGTGGAGGGTCCCTCCCTGACCCAAAGACGCGACCAACCCACGTGAGTGAGCGCCCGCCGGGAACGCCCGGGACGCGGGAACCAAAGCCTCGGCTGTTCCGGAGGCGCCTGCTTCACGCGTGGTCTGAGCGTCCGGCCTCCTCGGCTCCAGCTCCCACTGCGGGGCCCCGCGTCTCCCAGGAGCCCTGGATGCAGGAGGGCCCGGCCCTGCACCCCAGCCCGACGTCACTGGACCCCCGGCCCCAACGTCACCGCGCCCACGGCCCCGACGTCACCGCGCTCCCGGCCCCGACGTCACCGCGCCCCCGGCCCCGATGTCACCGCACCCCAGGCCCAAAGTCACCGCACTCCCGGTCCAGACGTCACGCGCCCCGGGCCCCGATGTAACCCCACCCCCGGCCCCAATGTCACCGCACCTGGCCCTGACGTCAGGAGCCTCCGGCCCCATGTAACCCCACCCCTGGCCCCAATGTCACCGCGCCCCCCCCAAAGTCACCGCACCCCAGCCCAGACGTCACGCGCCCTGGGCCCCGATGCAACCCCACCTCCAGCCCGATGTAACCCCACCCTCGGCCCCGACGTCACCGCGCCCTGCCCGACGTCACCGTCTGCACCTTGAGCCCCGCGGGTCCCCTTCTCCCTCCGAGCGCGCTGGGCGGCGTCAGCTCCCAGGTCCTCCCGCTCAGGGGGCGGACACCCTGCACCGTCACCCCCGGCCGCCCTCCTGCAGGCCCCGCTGCTCCCGGAGACAAGGTTGCCCTGCAAGGGACGAAGAGGACGAGGCCGGGCTTGCGGGCTCTCTCCGGAGCTGGGCCAGCGTCTCCCAGGGACTCAGCCCGCGGGGCCGAGGTGTGGGGCGGGCAGGGCACCGGCAGCCCCGGGACCAGCTCCTCCGCGTCTGCAGGGGTGGTGGGCGCCCCAGGCACTACGGGGTGGCGGCAGCCAACGGGGACGGACGGACGGGAGCGGCAAGACGGGAGCGGCCAGAGCGGTCGGTGCGGCTGACAGCCCCAGGCGGGGGAGCGGGCCCAGCGCCCGGGGAGGGGGCGCCCGGCAGGCAGGCAGGCAGGGGCTGCAGAGCACAGGGAGCCACGCGCCCGGCCCGGCCCGGCCCGGCCCAGGCAGGCCCCGAAGGACAGCAACGCAACGCTCGCCCGGCCTCAGAGGCGCCGGGCCCAGCCGGACCTGCTCGTGGGCACGTGTACCGGGCTGAGCCCCCGCGGCCCTGGCCCTGCCGACCCACGCCCCCCAGCCCGGCCCCCAAAGCACCTCTGCCGGTGGGCGCGTGGCCCTCCCGACTCTGGCCCACGGCCCCTCTGGTGCGGCCTCCACGGGGCTCCCCTGCGGTCCGGCCTGCTGGGCCCTGACCCCAGCTCGCGAGCTCCGTCCCCGCCCGGGCCTGGCCCACCGTGTCCAGAGAGACCCGTCAGGACGGCGACAGGACCAGGCCGGCCGCCTGTGCTTACCTCGCGCCTCTTCCCTGCCTCTGCCGTTCCTCCACGGGGGTTGGGGCCTGATGAGAAAGGGGTCCGATGGCGGTGTTCACCCGGGGACTCCGGGTTCTCTGGGAGAGCCTCCTTCAGGACACAGCCTCCCCATGGCCCCGCCGGGCGGGGCTGGGCCGCCCCAAGACACAGGACGCGCGGCCCGTGAGCCCTCCCCCGTGGCTTCCGGCCGGGGCTTGGCAGGGTCGCAGCCTCTCCCCTTGCCGTTGCCGTGATTTCCCGGCTGCTCTCCACACCCACTCACCCGGAGCTGCCCCCACGAGCGGGGAGCGGGACCGGCAGGCATTCACGCGGGAAGGTCCACCGGCGTCCTGCACAAGGGAGGCGGCCGTCAGGGCGGGCGCCCCATGACACAGGAGGACCGGGGAGCAGGGCGCGTGCACGGGCTGCCATACCTGGCTGAGCCTGAAGAGCAGCGACAAGAGCTGTGCCCCGGGAGAAGCCAGCAGGGTGCCCAGGAGGCCCGTCCACAGGGACCCGGCGGCCGCAGCATCGGGGGCGCTGAGGGCCCACGCCAGCTGTAGGGAGGCGCTCAGGTCACCGGAGTGCGTCGGTGTCATCGCATGGGCTTTAAGGTGAGCGCGCCGAGCTCTCTGCTGGACGCGCCGCCGGACGCCTATCTGAGGATCCCTCACCAGGGTCCCAGCAAAGGGGGGGCCCGCGAATGGCCGTGAGGTCGGCCTAAGAGGCAGGTGTGAGTATTTCCCACCCCCCAAGAGTCGTGCTGCACTTCTGCAGGAGAGCAGAGCCCCTACCCCCCCCCACCCCGCCCGCCACCAGCCACCCATGTGGATTCTGAGCAGCGTCTGCGTCACATGCGGCACAGTCAGGCCAGATTGCCAACCGCAGGCGGGCATCCCCTGGGCAAGTGTGGCCCTCGGAACTCCTCCCTGCTGCTTCTGGCCGGAGGATTTGTAAAATCTGAATTAACTGCCAGCCTTATAAACAGCCCAGCAGCACGCTCTGGGAAGCCCAGGCTGCTGCGCCCCTCGGGGGCCCAGGAGGGCGGGCTGTGCACTGCGGTGTTTGGGGGAGGAGGTCCGCCGCCCAGAGAGCACCCCGCCTGCACCCAGGCCAGCGGCCGTGCATCCCCTCTGGGCGCTCGAGGCACGGCCTCCCCCCGCCCCCCCACCCCGCTTAGGCCCTCCTCCTAGGACTGTGAGCCCGCGGATCCCTGGGCTGAGCAGGAGTCACACCGTGAGTCTGGGAGTCGGAAGCCACTTCCAGAAAACGTGGCGCCCCCCACCTGCTCCTGTCCTGCCGCCGTGACCAGGGCAGCGAGACACGCGTAGGCGCACAGCAGGGCAAAGGCCACGGTGAGGCGCGCCGTGGGCAGGAAGCCGCTGGGGGAGGGCCGGCTGTACACGGAGGTCCACACGTGGAAATCCTCCAGATACTCCGTGAACTTGCAGTACAAGAGCTGCAACAGACCGCGAGAGGGACGTCCGCTGAGAGGGACGTCCACTGACGTGGGGAGTCGCCCCGACTTCGGGAACTCCGGGGGACAAGCAGCCATCCCGGGGTGATGCTGCTAGCCCGCCACAGGACGCTGGGCTGTGCTGGGTGTTCGGGCCCCCAGGGCCCCCCGCCCTGCGCCCAGGCCCTGCTGTGGGCTGGTGCCTCCGAGGCCCGGGATGAGCCGTCGCTGGCTCCTGTACCACCCCCGAGGGTCCACACTCCGTGCCCACAGGCCCCCCCCCGTTCCCAGCATGCTCCCCACGGCCGGGAGCGCGCTGGCCACCTGGGCTTCAGAGGCCTCAGCGAATGTGCAAAATGCACACGTGCAGTCACACCCGTGTAAAGCACACTGGCGCACGGGGCGGATGGGGCCACGGGCAGAGCGAGTTCCATACGTGGCATTACTGCAGCCCCTCGCGCTTCTGCCCCCGGTTCCACCCTTGCTGCTTGCTGGTCATCCGGGGCCCGGGACACACAGGGCACCCGTCCTAACAGGCGGCCTCCTGGGCGCCGCAGGCCACGCACGGCCGTGAGTTCGGTGAATGTCCTCGCGGGGCAAGGTCGGCACCGCGCTCAGCAACGGCGGCAAGGATGGCCCCTCAGCGGCGGGCTGCTCGCTGGGCGCATCACGCTAACCGCAGCGTGGGTCAGAACGTTGCCGCAGGGGGACGCGGCCCAGCCCCGTGTCACGCCGGCGGCCCCCCACCTACCTTCCAGAAGCCGAGGCCCCGGCTCAGGCTGCCCAGCTCCCACGCCGTGTGGCCGTCCCGCCCGCTCGCCGCCAGCCAGCACTCGGCGGGGAAGAGCCAGCTGTGCCCGGGCCCGGCCGCCAGCTCCTTCACCATGACGTGGCTCACGTACCAGGCCGGGGCGGGCCCATGGCTGTCGTGCCAGAGGCAGATCCTCCGCAGCGGGCCCAGCAGAGTGGGGACGCTGAGGACACAGCGGCACCAGGTCAGGCCGGGGTGTGGGCGGTGGGGCCTGGAGCGTGGCGATTCCCACCCTCGGGGGGCCTCGGGCGTGGCAGCCCACGTGCGCCTCACAAGGGACCTCTGGGGCCCCTCTGGAGCCTGGGGCATGAGCAGGGAACCCCGCAGGCCCCCGGGCCCCTCAAAGCAGGTGCCTGGCTGCGCCGGGCGGGAGCACATGCAGCTCCTGTACCTGCCGGCCCCCCTGAGCCCCATCGCTCCAGGGCCTTCGTGCACCTGCCCCCGGCGTGGATGAGCCTGCAGGAGACCCCTCGGGGGGACAGGACCCTGACGCCCGATGCACCTGGGACACAAGCTCTCCAGGAGCAAGGGCGCCGAGGGTGGCTCCTCCACACCTCAGGGCCCAGTGGGGCTCGATCTTGGGTCAGTGGCCCCACCCGTCCAGCTGCTCGGGCTCGGCACGGCCACATGTCCGCTCTCCCCAAGGCAGGAGAGCTGGGTCAGGGCTGTGAGGAGCTGGGCACCCCCCCTTGCCGTGCGCAGGGGGCTCCCCTCCGCGTCAGCACATGGGAACGACCACGTAAACCCACGTGCGCGCTGGCGCTCCCCCCGGACTCCTGCCTTGGCCACCCCGTCCTCACGGGCCTCGCTCACCTCAGGACAAAGGTGTGCCTGGAATTCCTTTCAAACAGAGGCTGCTCCGGACAGTAGAGCTCCCGGGGTCCTGAAAGCCCGTGCTCCCCACATAAGACGATGTAAACCTCAGAGCAGAGACACAAGGGTAGGACTTTGAGGTCCTGGACACCACACACTATGCTGTTCCGGAACCTTCTGGGAAGGCAGAAGACCACAGCGCAGCCCTACCCCTGGCCACTGCCCCGCGCTCTCCCAGGATAGACCCCGGAAGCAGCGCCTGCCCGCGTCGGCCGGATTCCAACACGTTTGATCTAGAAAAGCCAGAGACGGCCACTCGGGTTCATGGGGGCACGTGCAGGTCTCAGAGGGAGAGGGCGGGCGCGGGCGCGTCGCCCTCCCGGGCTCCCGGGGGCCGTGGCTGGGACCAGGGTGGCCGCGGGCCCTGCAGCCTCGCATCCCAGCCCCAGGGCTGCCCATTGCCCACCGGGGCAGCTTCTGTGGCCCAGAGACACGATTCTGAGGCCTGCAGCTCATCAATCTTGCCTCCAGGAAAGCTGCTTACTTATTTCCAGTTTTTAAAATCCTCCCCCATTGCAAAGTACAGCTTCCCTTGAGAAGTTTCTAGATCTTGTTTCAATCTGTCAGTCTCCAGTCGCATGGAGCTGCTTTGGGGCACGTGAGGTGGAGGTTTAATAGGGCTTTTTGCGAATGGTCCCTGCCCCTCCCATGGGACCTCCCCTGTCATGCTCAGTTCGGGATGCGCCCGGTGCACCGTCCACCTGCCTCAGCGGGGCAGGGCGTGCGGGCTGGATGTCCGGGCTGTTCTCCACGGAGAAGATGGAGAGGGACAGCTGTTCGGGGCGGCCCCGCGGGTGCGGAGGGCTCACACAGGCATGCATGAGTGAGGGAGAGTGGGATGGTGGGAGAGGAGGGGGACGACGGAGCAGCCGGTCGGGCCAGTCCACTCTGGGCACGTCTGGGGCCATCCCTCGCGCCATCCGCAGCCTTGCACCCCGCACTGTGCGGCTCCTGGGGCGACCGGCTCACCTTGGCGCTACAGCGGGTGGGAGAGCGGAAGCCTGTGTCCACGACAACCGCGTACAGCTGGTGGCCGGGTGGAGCATCTTCGTGCAGAAAAACGTAACCGGCTTTCTTTCTCTCATGACAATCTACCCGTCTGCTTTTAGTAACCAGAAGCGCATAAAGAATTGTAAAAACTACGATCAAAACACCGGGGAGCAGGTTCTCCGGGTGTCTGTGAATGAAAGGAGAGGAATAAGTAGTGAATCATGAAAATAAACATTCAGGCAAAGACTAAGCAACTCCCCCTACACCGGCTCGCACTCGCACTCGCACTCGCACACCCACACACACGCGCTCAGAGGCCCCGAGTCTTCACCAATGTGTTTGTAGATTGTTGTCCGTTTTGTAACCGGAGAAGACAGTGGATTCTGGCCTCGGGAGGAGGCCAAGAAGGGGAGGGCGCAGGGCATGGCGTGGCCTCTGCATCCCCGTGTGCTTGGGCGCTTTCTTGATGACACACGGTCAGAGCACGGGTCCCGCCACCCACACGAAGACTCAGGGGTATGACGTCCATAAAGCACTTGGACATCGGGTGTGATGAACACCCCCTCCCTCCCGCCAGACCCTGCCCACCCGCCCCATCCCTCCCACCTTCCACGGTCGGGCTGATTGCCCCCCACACACAGGCCCTCGCCTCCTGCTCCCAGGACCACAGCTGGCCAGGGTCACCGACCCCTCCAGACCCACGGAGCGGGGTCCGCTTCGCGTCCCTGGTGCAGGACCCTAACCTGGAGTCTCACGGGCCTCTGACGGGGCTTCGCAGGGTGGGAGAGGGCTGGTGCTGGGCCGATGCTGTGCTGCCTCTGCCTGACTTGGGATGTTGCCCTTTATGTGGGGGTCCCCGGAGCTGCCCCTCTCCTTGCCCCCCCACGTCATATCCCAAAACACCGTTGAACAGCTGTCCCGAGTCCCATCACCGGATGCCTGGTGACCTCGTGGCCCCCACACCTGTGCTATCAGGGATCCACTCACTGGCCTACAGAGTTATCAATTCTTTGGTGACTGGTTAAATAATATGGTCCAGCGGGATCCCCATTACATCAACATAAGGGGGAGGAGCCAGACCCAACGCTCATCAGGAAACACAGCCTCTGCCATCCGTATTCACTCAGCAAACAGCGCTCAGTGCTGCCCTGAGCCAAGCCCATCCGTGCTCCAGGTGGGGGACGAAAGGGCTCCTGCCCCCACAAGCTCACCCTCTACTTACTCATGCTTCAGAATCCGAATATGCTTGTTCTGTATAAAACCACAGCCCCAGAAATGAGCTTGAGTTTCAATCTATTATCTAAAACGGGACACATTTGGGGCACCCGGCTCCTCAGTTGGAAGAGCGTGTGTCTGCTGATCTTGGGGTTGTGAGTTCGAGTCCTGCATGGGGTGTAGCGATTACTCCGGTAAATAAACAGGCACCTGGGGGGCTCAGTCGGTGAAGCGTCTGCCGTCAGCTCAGGTCACGATCCCAGGGTCCTGGGACCGAGCCCCATGTCAGGCTCCCCGCTCAGCTCGTGCTCACTCACTCTCTCAAATAAAAAAAGTCTTTAAAAAATTTTTAAAAATAAATAAACTTTAAAAATAATAAAGACAGCTCCCTTCTGTTTGGAAGAGAAAGAAGGATCTACAGACGTGCGTAAACCAGGCTGGGTGCACCACTGTGTCCCCAGCAACAAGAACGGCCCCGTCAGTGTGGACCCACAGGCTAAAAAGGATGCGGACATTCTCACGTTTCTGTGTCTCCTGCCTGTGGATGGAAGGACAGACGCCATATGATATTCACGGAAGATTATCTACTCGTGGGCCGGCCAGGATGCAAACCAGCGACGGCGATGTGGGCTTCGGGCATCTCAGGAGAACACGCGGGCTCCCGCGGGGGCAGCGGCGCAAGTAAAACCTTACTGATCTCCAGAAAACGGAGCTCACCTCTGCAGCTCGGAAATGTCACTCGCTGAGAAAGTGGCGTTTGGGCTTCTTCTCGAGACGGACACGGGCACCAGGCGGTCATGGCTAGGAGGGAGACGCGGGCTGGGGCACCAAGCACGGGCCGAGAGTGGCGTCTACAGCGTCATGTACGCGGGTGGAAGGAGGGCCAGAAGGGGTGCCGGGGGCTGGTAATCGCGACTTCATGCAGATGCCTCAGTGTCCACCCCCCGCAGCCTCCAGCCCAGCCCCGCTGGGGGCAGACGCGTGGCCGCCAACCAGACTCCCACCAGCACCCGAGCGCCAGTCCCGGGCTACAGGCCCCCGTCCCGCCACTCCCTCCGTGACAACTGCCGGGAGGCCGATTCTTTAGGTTTTAGTAAAACCTACTTGTCTCTCATTATCCTGGGAGCAGGCCCCACGCGCTGGTTGCTCCCGGGCCTCCGGCCCACAGACCGGTGCCCGCGGACGGCAAGACATAATAGGGAATAAATATGTCAGCGCACTAATGATTAATTTGATATCAAACTGAACTTCTGAGCCATGACCAGTAGGGTCGATGTGTCACTAGCCAGGATACCGGATAAATTTAAAAATGCAACAGAAGAGCAGCAGCGAGACGTGCCGATGTGGGGTAGGACCTGGACCTATCGGGCGCCGCAGCCCCCGATTCTTCGTAAGAAGGAAGTGACTGTTTCCATTTCTAAACGTGCCCGGTCCCTGTACCCGCTCTGGGGGAGGGGTCACGGCAGCGCCCCTGACAGAACGGTCAGCTTGGCCGCTGGATGATGAACAGCGTCTGCTCCAGCCGTGCGACCATGCACCCAACTCGCCCGAGGCTGACATGGTCCACAGGGACCGTGCACACATGGAGTTTGTCCCGGCAGTCACACGTGAGCTGGGCTCTCCGCAGACGAGCGGTGGAGACGGCAGAGGCCGCACGGCTGGAGGGCAGCCACGGCGGGCGCCACCGTCCACCCAGCAGCGCGCTTCGACAGACTCGGGGACGTGGGCCACAGCCGTCCCCTTGCAGGGGGCACCCAAGAGCACTGGACAGCCAGACCCGGCTCTCCTGGAGGCTCCCGCACCGAGGGCACCAGGCTTGCAGACGGGCAGGGGCGCACTAACCAGGTTCCCAGGGACCCACGGCCAGGGAGGCTCCAGGGACCCAGCCCCACGCCGAGGAAAACGCAGTCGGCTTCTAAAAACCTCGGGTTTGTCCGCAGCAGCACGTCTGTACCTGCAGTTCACTTTTCCTGGAGACGCTCCTGGCTGTGGGGAGGAGCTCGCCGGCCTCCACTCTCCGGCTTCCCAGACGACGCACTGCAGCCAGTGGAAGTGCACAGTGTAGTTCACGGCCTTGGCCGAGTATCTGTTCCGAGGGCTTCTGTCATAGTCAGCATCCAATAAGGATAAATAGCCCAAGCTGAGGTCTAAAAGGAGAAAATAAAATGAAATAAATACAACCCGAAGGTTGCAAGGTGTAATGTGTTCCAAAACCACTGGAGGAGTGGGCAGCGGCGCGGGGGGCAGTGGGGCAGGGCATGGGAGGCAGGGGGCCAGGGGCAGCGGGGCTGTGGGGCAGGGAGCAGGGCATGGGGGTGCTGGGGGTGGGGGCAGTGGGGCGGGGTAAGAGTCATGTGGCCACTTCCTCTCCCAGATTATTTAAACTGTGCAGCAAACCGGTGCAGACAAGCTGCCCTGCCCGCCCTCCCGCGGCCAGCAGCGTGTCGGATCTGTGCGCCTCTCTTCCAGGTGCACCCAGGTCCCTCCCCACCCTGACGGGGGAGGGTGAGGCAGGGAGGCCCCACAGGAGAGGCAGCAGCAGCACCTGGAAGGTGGCGGGGGGGGCCACAGGTGTGCACCTGCTGCTCGATGCCTCCACCACGACTCAAGCAAGGTGCTGCAACCCACACGAACCTTAGAACAGCCCTTGTCACCACGAGAGCAACTCAGACTGACAGGACGGGGTCCCTGGACAGCTCAGTGCACTGGGCGCCCAGCTCCTGGTTGCAGCTCAGGTCCTGATCCCCCGGTCATGGGATCGAGCCCCGTGTCGGGCTCTGCGCTCAGCAGGGAGTCTGCTTAGACTCTCTCCACCCCCTTCCCTCCTAGCTCATGCGCACGCTCACTCTCTCTCTCTCGAATAAATAAAAAAATCTCTTTAAAGATTTTTAAAGTAAAAATTAAAATTAAAACGAGGAGACCTCACCCACTGACCTCTCAGAAGCCCAGCAGGTATATGCAGGTGCACGGGCTGCTCATCCCAGACGTAGACCTTTTTCACAAGAAAAGCAGAAGGAGTGGGTTTCTCGTAGAACCTGGAAGGGAAGACAAAGCCCCAGTGTCCAGTCGTGTTTTGCTTTCTCCCCTCAAAGACCTCCACCAGACGCTTTTGTGCAAAGATCCCTTTGACGACAAGGACACAGGTGGGGACGCAGCTGCGCTCACTCACGGCACCACTGGGCACCACCCCTCGTGGCGCCGCAGAATAAAAACCTCTGAACGAAACACAGATGTGGGAGGAACACGGTGGCTCCACGGGCTCAGGAAGGTGGCGGCCAGGCAGCCTCCCCTGCTGGGGACAGTGGCCGCGGCCTCCGGGACGGCAGACAGCGGACGGCGAGCCCCACAGGGCCGCTGGGAACCTGGCTGCAGTCCGTCTACCTGTGTCTGTGTGACTTAAAGAATTAAGTGAAAATGCAAATGGAGAGAAGCGGCCTGCCCCAGCTAGCGGCCCCGCTCACGTGGCAGGATGAGGGCGGAGCCACAACACACGCCGAGCCCAGGCGCCAGGCGGTGTGGACGGCGCCCCGCGGGAGGCACAGCTGGCAGAGGGGCCCACCCGGGCGGTGGGGGGGCTGGAGGGAAACTTTGTCGGAGGCCCAGGGACCCGGCCCTGTGACTGCGGGATCGCAGGACACCCTCCCCGCTGGCCAGCTGCTCAGCATCCCCTCGCGATCCGCTCGCGAACTGGGCCTACCTGAGCCTCGCAAGCTCAGCATCGTGGGGAAGGGGATTCATTAGCAAACCTCCTCCTCAGATACATCGGTTTGAACACATTTTTTTTCCATTAAAAAAAATAAATAAAAAGTAGAATTCTGACCCAGGTCTACACTGGAGAGAGAACCGGATTCCGCATGGGGCTGCCTGTGTGATAACAGACGCTCAGGTATTTCTTCTTCTAAGCTTAGCAGGCAGGAGCCGCATCTCAGAGGAGACAGCGTGGGCTCCCTCCGTGAGCCAGTGACCACGTCACGTGGGGCCATTGGATGACAGCGTCTTGACTGCGTGCAGAGTGGGTTTCCCTCCCTGCTCTCGGAGACGCTCTTGCTGCGGCCTGGCTCCGGGGTGGCGGGTCGCCCCCCCTCCCCCGGCAACGCACCTCACCAGCACCATGACCGGGAAAGCTCCTGACGGGGGCCTAAAAAACTCAATCCTTATGTGCAGGGACTCCCGGGGGGTCGCAGCGCCCGTGAACTCATGAACGTTCACTCTGTCCCGAAGCAGCACAAACGCCGTCCTGGTTCTTCCGTTGTCCTGTCACCAAATAGAAAGCTCGGTCAGCAAAATCGGCCTCTGCAAAAGTAGAGGCAGGGGAAGCGGGTCAGCGCGGCCGGCGCAACCCCGGGGGCTTGCAGGGCCCTCACCAGGCCGCCTTCCTCCCCGAACTCCACAGCCACGGGTGCCCTCAGCCGCCAGCCGCCGACGGGCCTCCTGCTGGAGCAGCCGAACAGGGATGCAGAGACCACCTGGCCAATCTGCGGAGACAAGAGCCCCGACGTCCGGGGTCGCGCTGTGCACCCGCCGGGAACCGGCCAGGACTGCAGGGCTGCGGCACCGCTGCTTCGCTCAGGCGAGGACCCTCACGACACTGATCATTTCCAAAGCCCTTAAAGCAGTTTTTTGCCCCGACAGGAGAGAGAGGCAGAGGGGGAGAGACTCCCAGGAGGACTCCCCGCCGCGTGTGGAGCGCCGTGCGAAGCTCAGTCCCACGATCCCGAAATCAGGACCTGAGCCAAAATCAAGGGTGGACGCTTCCTGAGCTGAGCCACCCACGCACCGGGGCGCTTCTGTTCCTTCCTTGAGGAGCAGCAGGAAGGCAGATTGCGGGCGGCCAGGAAGGTACAGAAGGACGTACAGACGGAGTGGAGCGGCTGGCCCGGAGCGGCGGCACTCGGAGGCCCCGCTGGGGGAGCCACGTCGAAGGCCGTGTCCGTGCGCCAGCCGTGTACGGGGCATGGCCACCCTCGCTGGTCCAGCCCGGGCGTGCTCGTGAGTGAGCATGGAAGAAGAGAGGTATGCTCTGGGCAGTCCGAGGTAGCCCCTTCTTAAGTTTCACGGGGCTAAAGTCCTTATTTGGTCACAGAAACAAGTAAACCAGGTTAAAACGGCCTCACAGGCACTACTGAGGGGACCCAGACAGCTGGATCCCGGGAGACCTAGTTCTGCTAAAAGTTTCTTCCAAGAAAAATAGAGCCAAGGGCACATTCCACGTGGGCCCTCTCTCGGCCCAGAGCAACACATGCCACCTGCACCCTCTCCTCGTCACCAAAGCTTCCTCACCGCGGGTTGGAGGTGGTTGTGGGAAGGGACTGGTCACCTGCCATTTCGTACCTGCCCAGGACCTCGTCCCCACGGATACAGGTTCTTCTTGAAGAGCATGAGCTGGCTAATGTAGCACGGGCCCTGCACGGCCCCCACAGGACTCTGCGCGGCCAGGTCTGCAGGCAGGTGCACCTGGACAGAGCCCAGGCTCTGCACGGAGCTCTGCAGGTCGTGGTGAAGACGCGTGCAGAACTCCATCTGCCCAGCGCTGACGTGGAGCTGGTGCTCTATGCTTGCAGAGAGGCCGTCCTGAAACAAAGCCCAGGGTCAGCGCCTGCCGTGCCCGTGGGTCAGGTGTCTCGGGCCAGAAGCAGGTGAGGGGCAGCGAACAAGGGGAAAGGTGGCCCATCTCAGGGTGCTTGAGATTCGGTGGCCCGAGCAAGCGCTGTGACATGAAGACCTAAGCACCGTAGGACAATACTAACACACAAACTGTTTTCTTTGCTTCTGACGCGTCCTCCCGTGATTTTATGCATTTTGCAACAAGTGTTATACTTTCGTTATTCCTCTAGGGGCTTCGTAGCTCACCCAGAAGCAGCCTGAACACTGCGTGGACCTGGCAGTTGACCTCAGCACGGTGCCACAGGGCTCAGCGAGGGGAGGGTTAGGTGTACAGCGCACAAATGCGTGACCGCTAATCGCGGTTCCTCTTACAAGATTCAAGTGGGAGCGTGTTTATTTTCGGATTTCCCAAATGTAAGCTAAACCAGTAGGTCTGGGCAGGAAGGAGGATAAATGGGTAGGAGAGGAGAAAAAGAAGCCTGTCTATGAACTCCTTACAACCTGGGGCCATTTCCTACGGGGGAAAAATCCGGTAAACCCCGCAGTTACTGAGCAGAAACAAACTTCAGTGGATTTTTTTGTAGTTGAATAACAGAGGGTTGCTTTTTGCATGAGTGCACATTAGGAATCCTTTGCATTACTTCAGTTTGCTCCTCGAGAAGAACGTGTGCTCAGAAATGCTGTCTCTGAGGCTGGCGGCACCGCAGACATCCCAGAAGGAAAGCTACCAAAACGTGGACGGATGGAGCAGAAGCAGCTTTTCATGGGAATATTACAATATTCCCATGAAATACTGATTTTTTAAAAGATTTTATTTATTTACTTATTCATGAGAGACACAGAGAGAGAGGCAGAGACACAGGCGCAGGGAAGCAGGCTCCATGCGGGGAGCCCGACGCCCGACGCGGGACTCGATCGTGGGACCCCGGGGTCACGCCCTGGGCCGAAGGCAGACGCTCAACCTCTGAGCCCCCCAGGCATCCCAGCACTTGGAATTCAAACCAAAAATTTCCAAGGGCCCCACGACCACCCAGAACAATCACACAGTACTTGAAGAGCCAATTCTACTTTTTGGTTTCTAGAAGCAGCTACACGAGGGGATGGCTGTTACCCGTGGAGAGAAATGTCTGATGTACCAACAAGAGATCCGAGATGATCTTGGTCCCCTCTTCTTGCAGGAAGCCCAAATTCCTGGGTTTCTCCCAGTCCGAGGCCTCCCAGACTTCGGATACGAGTAGGATGAGCTCAAGCATCAGCCCCTTGTCCACCGCCAGCCTCCCCGACAGCGGGCTCTGAGCGAGGGGTGCCCGGACAGACTTCAGGATGAGAGCCGCGCTCCTGAAGCTCAGCTGTGGGAAAAGAGAAGGTGTAAAGGGAGCTCTCCCCATCTCCCCATCCCCGCTTCTTCCATCTCTATGGGAAATAAAGCCACTCCAGGGCTCCAGGAACTGGGGATCGAGCCTGGGTTTGGTGCCCAGCGCATTATTGGCTAACTTCATTGGCGCCAACGTCCTCTCTCGTCTTCAGTTTCCTGACCCATGAAACAACCACAGAAAATAAAGGTCCCATGGCCGTTTATGCTAAGGCACTACTTGGTTTGAACCCAACAGCTGCTTTACAAACCCTTCTGAAATGGCCCCCACCACCTGCTGCAGGCATCTCGAGCCCACGGAACTCTTAAGGCTCCCAAAGGACCGAGGCCTCTCCCTGCAACGCCCTTGCCCTGTGTCTGCCGGCAAAATCCTACTCCTGTCCTTCCCAAGCACTTAAGAGGGACCATTTTCGAACACGTGTGAAAGTAGAGAGAATAATACAGTGTTCAACACGCCCCTCCCAGCTGTGGCCCGTACTCATTGGCAACAGATTTTCTATCCCTCCTTGGATTTCTTTTTTTTTTTTTTTAACGATTTATCCATTTATATGAGAGAGAGGTGGAGGAGGGGCAGAGGGAGAGGGAAAACCTTCGGCAGAGTCCTTGCTGAACGCAGAGCCCAACGCAGGGCTGGATCTCACGACCCTGAGATCATGACCTGAGCCGAATCCAAGAGTCAGGGGCTCAACCGTGAGCCGCCCAGGCGCCCTTTCCCCCTCGGATTTCTAGGACAATGTTTTAAAGGAAATCTCAAGCATCATTTTTATCCACGACACATCAGTGTGCATTGCTGACAGATGAGAAGTCGTTCTAAAGACCTGGCCATGACGCTCTGGTCGCACCGAACAAGATGAATCATGGTTCTTTCCCAAGTAGCTTTTAGAGCCAATTTCAAATGCCCACCGGGCAGAGTGCTCTCCACACTGCCTTTCTGGGACACTGGGGCACCCTCCTCCTTAAAGGACCCCACAGGTTTACCGAAGCAAGTCTGGTCCCACATTTAGCTTCGGTCATCTGGCCTAAAAGACAAAACCAAATATCCTCCTGCCTTGTGCCTTAGCAGCTCCCGGCAATTGCTAATAAATGCATATTGATGAAATGGAATTAAGATCCTCCTTTCTGACAGCGTGCTTGGTTAACCAAAATGTTAATGTTTCAGAAATACTTCCTGAAATCAAACTCTTTCACCAGCAGTAAAATTAGCTAGTCTGGAAATACCCAGAAACCACTACGGACGGCACCATACAGGAAGGAACTCATCATCCGTGTTTTCAGTGTTTTAAAGAACACACTACAACCATTTGTCATACTGGATGTTTTTCAACCAAAACTATCGGAATCGGTTTCTGGATATGAGAGCCACGGTCAGGTTTGTCGGGGCACAGTCAGGGGCAGGGAGCACAATTGGGGCAGAGAGGACAGTCGGGGGCAGAGAGGACAGTCAGGAGGCAGGGAGCACAGTCAGGGGTCAGGGAGACAGTCGGGAGGCAGGGAGACAGAGGGCAGGGAGACAGTCAGGGGACAGGGAACATAGTCAGGGGGAAGGGAGCACAGTCGGGGGCAGAGAGGACAGTTGGGGGGCAGGGAGCTCAGTTGGGGGCAAGGAGCACAGTCGGGGGGCACGGAGGACAGTCACAGGGCAAGGAGGACAGTCAGGGGCAGGGAGCACAGTTGGGGGCAGGGAGCACAGTCGCAGGGCAGGGACAACAGGCAGGAAGTGGATGTGAGGGCAGGGGAGGAGGTGTGGGTGCGGGAACCAGTGGGCAGCTGCAGTGACGGGCCTGAGCCCTGGGGAGGCCCGCGTGGAGGCCCCAGGTCAGCGTCACCATCACGCAGACATAACGGAGAAGGTGGTGATGAGACCCCTGTCCCCCTCCCAGGGAGGAGGTGCAGAGAGCATAGGGCCAGGGACACTGCCCTGGGGCACGGGCATGGGGCACCGAGCAAAGAAGGGAGGAGCCCCCAGCGGTCACAGCCAGGAGACTGTCCCGGTTGGGGGGAGGGGTCCCGACAGGACGGGAGTTGGCCGGCGCTGGGACAGGACAGGCTCCCTGCTGAGGCGGGGACAGCAGCCAGATCCCCTCAGCTAAAGTGTGCAGGTGCCACAGGCGAGAGCTCGCTTCCTGCAGGCCCGGCTCTGAAGAGGGGCCAGAAATGGGGTGACGTCCAGAGGGATTGTAAATAAGTGACATTCTGAGCAAGCAGGGGATCATCCCGCAGAGAGGGAGAAATGGGAAAAGCAACCAAGAGCTCCGACCCAGAGCCAGGGGGGTTGACAAGAAAGAAGGGTGGGGGCAGGGGGTCAGCGTGGGCTCAGATCGACATCTCGGGGTTGCAGAATCGAGCCCCATGTTGGGGTCTGAGCTTGGCGGGAGTCTGCTGGAGATACTCTCCCCCCTTCCCACTGTGGGCTCTGTCTTTCAAATAAATAAATAAAATCTTGAAAGGAAGGAAGGAAGGAAGGAAGGAAGGAAGGAAGGAAGGAAGGAAGGAGGGAGGGAGGGAGGGAGGGAGGAGGAGGGAGGGAGGGAGGGAGGGAGGGAGGGAGAGAGGAAGGAGAAATCTATAAACAACTTATAAAACTGAACACCCATAAAACAAATAAGTTAAAAATGGGCAGAAGAGGGGCACCTGGGTCGCTCAGCTCCGTTGGTTGAGTTTTAAAGTCTTGATTTCAGCTCAGGTCATGATCTCGAGGTTGTGAGATCAAGCCCGTTGTGCTCAGTGGGGAGTCTGCCTGACATTCTCTCTCTCCCTCCAGCGCTCCCCTATGCCCGCTCTCTCTCTCTCTCCTCTCTCTCTCTCTCACACACACACACACACACACACACACACACAAAGACATTTCTCAAAAAAAAAAAAAAGAACCCACTCAAACAGCAGAGACATGGAGAGATGCTCAACATCACTGGTCATCAGGGAAATGCAGAGCAGACCCCGATGAGGTCCCACCTGACACCTATCAAAATGGCTAAAATTAACACGGGAACAACAGGTGTTGGTGAGGATGAGGAGAAAGGGGCGCCCCACTGCTGGCGGGGACGCAAGCTGGCGCAGCCGCTCTGGAGAACAGCGTGGACGGCCCTCGGAAAGTTCCATTGGAGCTACCCTAGGACCCAGCAGTAGCACTGCCAGGTGCTTACCCAGAGGATACAGGACACTGATTCCAAGGCCCGTGCACCGCAGTGCTCACAGCAGCAAGGTCCTCCACGGCCCCACCGTGGAAGGAGCCCAGGTGTCCACCGGCCAAGGAATGGGTCGGGGAGCGGTGCTGTGCGCGCGGTGGAAGGTTACTCAGCCATAAAAAGGAATGAAATCCTGCCACGAGCAGCGGTGCGGATGCGCCTAGAGCTTATTACGTGAAGCGAAGTAAGTCAGTGAGAGGAAGACTAGCACCGTGTGGTCGCGCCCCCCTGTGGAATTTAAGGACCAAAGCAAGCAAGCGAAGGGGAAGGAACCAAGGAACGGACCCTGCACTCCAGAGAACAGGCTGCTGGTGAGCAGGGGGCGGGGGGGGGGGGGGGGGGGGGGAGGCAGGTGACGGGGACGAAGGGCGCGCGTGTGGTGTCGTGAGGAGGCCGTACAGGAGGCGGAGCCGCTGCACCCAGCACCTGAGGCTAACAGTACCCTGCAAGCTGGTTACACTGGAATTCAAATAAAAACTTGAAAGAAAGAAGAGGAAGCTGGAAAACCCTGTACCCAGGTTCGTAACAGAGAGCGACCCCCTTACCCGGAGCATGTGTCGCACGGATGATACCGCCGGAACCTCTCTACTTGGGGTTTCCTGGCCTCTGTATTAGGGAACGAGCTCATCCCCGGTGATCTGGGACGGGTGGCCCTATTCACGCGAATTCTCAGGGCAAGTCCCGCGTCTACTTTAAGTGTCAAACCATAGCCTGCGCTGTGGGTCCTTTAACAACTGACCGGGGGCCTCCCAATATGCAAAAACAAACAACATAGGAAAGCACACTTGGGAGGAGACGACTCACCTTACGAGGGAAGCGTAGGAGGCCCCTCAGCATGAGGACAGAGTGGGTCATGTCTTCCTGACCGGGACAAACAAGCAAACACATGGGGACAGAGAGAGAAGGAAAGTTCGTCACGGTCCCAAGCGGCATGGCTCCCAGCATCCTCCCGCACGCAGAGCACATCCTGGTCTCTGAGCTGAGACGGTGGAGGCACCGTCCCCTGGACCCACCTGGCCTGCTAGGGCCCTGTGTCCTCCAGGCGTCCCCTGGCTTCTGGCCTCCCCCAGCCCAGCGGGGTGTGACCAGAAGGGCCGGAGAGAAGGCCCGAGCTTGGGGAAGTTCGGGAAAAGGGTGAGAGGCGCCGAGGGGGGAGAAACAGAACTGTGCGGTTCTTGGGTTGGGGCTTCAGCGTCACAGGGCCCCGGGCATGTTCTGAGACGCAAGCACCCTCAGGCGGCCGGCGGCGGCGGGAGGCGCAGACGTGTGCTCATCGGGCACAGAGGCGCCCATTTGCACTTGCGCCCATTTCCTTCCAAGCCCAGATCATCATACACTTGACTCGGTCATTTCGTGGTTGACAAGTCAAGTCAGGCGGGATTCAACCCCCTTGGCTTAGAGAAACACGAGCAGAGAGATCTGCAGTGATACCAGGGCGCACACCCGGGCCCGGTGGGCTGGCCTCCCGACCTCCCTCCTTGACCGTGTTTCACAAGCTAGACGGCGGCGTGCTGGTGAGCCCGCCGGCCACGGGCCTGCCACGGGGATGCCACTGGGGACACGGAGCCCACCCTGCTCCCACCGCACCTGATCTGCCACAGGCAGTCCGCACGTGGAAGAAATCAGCGCATCCTGTATCCGCGACCACTGGCCACACGAGGGACTTCGGTCCTCCGCGGCCCAGCGACTCAGGACCCTGGTAATCGTGGTGATATAGTTCCTGATCTCGGTGTAACTGCCCATCAGCTGAAGGGTGGACAGGTGCTTCAGGCTGGAGTTATATCTGAAGGGAATGGAAGACTTGTGGGGATTGCTCCAGCCTGCTGCAAGCCTGCCCCGCCTGCGACCCAGAGGACTTCTACCTGGTATAGAAAACTCCTTGGGGGGTCAGGGCAGACGGGGAATGGCTCGGAGGACAGGCAGTCGGTGCAAGAGAAACTCAGAAAAGGCCGTGAGGCCTAACATCGGAACTCCGAAAGACCCCTGAGCAGAGCTGAAACGGGCCCAGCGCCAAGCACAATGGCAGATCTGCATTGCGGCGCATGACACAGGACCGGCCTGAACTAGTAGGAGACAGCAACGTGGCCACAGCTGGCTGGAGGTCCCCAAGCATCTGAACCCTGCACCCTGGTTACGTGGGGTTTGTGCCAGGAACGTAAGAGCAGCCCGAGTATGATAATCAGTCAGGGTGACAGCCCACGGTAACGGACCGAGGGACACAACCCACATCATCCTCTCCATGGAGCCAGCGAACCGCTGACAAAATCCAACACCCTTTCATGATGAAAAAATACCCTAGGGATCCCTGGGTGGCGCAGCGGTTTGGCGCCTGCCTTTGGCCCAGGGCGCGATCCTGGAGACCCGGGATCGAATCCCACATTAGGCTCCCGGTGCATGGAGCCTGCTTCTCCCTCTGCCTGTGTCTCTGCCTCTCTCTCTCTCTCTGTATGACTATCATAAATAAAAAAAAAAAATACCCTAAATCTAGGAATGCAAGGGAACTTCTTCAACCTCAAAACAAACACACCTATGGAGAACCTACAGCGAACACGACACTAAGTGGTGAATGATGAAAGGCTTCCGGCTTAGACTGGAAGAGAGCGAGCCCCACATCTCCATACTCGCCACTTCTATTCACCTTTGACTGGAAGAGTCCAGCCTGGGTGAGTCAGCGAGGGGGAAAAGAAAAAGTTATCCAGGTTGGAAAGGAAGGAGTAAAGCTCTGTTTGCAGAATAGAAAAATGATGTGAAAAATCCCTAAGAATGCACTAAGAAGCTACGAGAACAAATAAATGAGTGTGCAAGGCCGCAGGAAACAGGATCGATAACATAAACACCGATTGTATAGCTACACAGTAGCAATAAGAATCCAAAAGCAGAATTTAGGAAAAACAACTCCATTTACAATAGCATTAAAAAGAATAGGATGCTTATAATTACACTCCACCAAAAAATTCGATACCTGTACCCTGGAAACTATAAAACATTGCTGAAAGAAATTAAAATCTAATAAAGGGAAAACCGCAGATGGGTGGACTTCATGTTCTCAAGATGATGATCTTTGCAGAGCGACCTACAGACTCCAGGCAGTGCCTGTCGAGATCCCCGGGGGCTTTGTGCTGACGTTGCCAAAATAACCCCCAGGAGACCCAGAATAACCAGAACGGGCTTGAACAAGAAGAACAAGGCCGGTGGGTTCGTGTTTCCCAATTCCAAAATATGCTAGGAAGTTACAGGAGGGAAGACGGCATGGCTCGGGGTGAGGGGGACACGGCAGACGGAGCTGCACTGAGGCTCCGCGGCATTCCTGGCCAATTGATTTTGACCAAGGGCCTTGGACAGGTCAATGGGGAGAGATTGGCCTTTCCGACGCACGATGCCGGAAGAACTAAATACACCTGCAGAAAAATGAACTTGGAGCCTTACCTCACGCCACACACACACTGGCCCAGAGGGGATCACCAGGCGGCCCTGCGGCCCAGCAACTCCCCCTCAGGCATCCGCCACACCCCGCATCTCTGTTCCTAACAGCATTATTCCTAACAGTCAGAAGCAGAAACACATCACACGTCCACCAACTGATGAACAGATGAACAGGTGGTGGGCCCACAGCTGAGCACCACCTGGCCACACAGAGGCGGGGTCGCAACATTCCCGCAATGTGGATGGACCTCAAAGACGCCGCTCAAGCGAAGGAGCCAGGCACAAAGGAACACACGGGGCATGACCCTGCTTGCAGCCATGTCCAGGACGGGCAAATCTGTGGGCAGGACGTACGTAGGGGCTGTCGGGGCTGCAGGAGGGAGCCGCGTGGTCGGGGAAGGGGAGGGACGGCGAGCGAGCCCGAGGGTGTAGGGGACAATGGCAAAGCCCCAAAGCTAGGGGTCGTGATGCTGGCGCTCAGCTGTGTCGTGCACCGAACCCAAGGGGCCAAGTGCACGCAGGTGGGATCCTGGCACGGCGGGCGCCCTGCGGGCCGCAGCCACCTGGGCGCATCGCACACACCTGAGTCAGGGCTGCGGAGGCAGAGCCCTGGCTGTTTCTGTTCTCGTCCCCAGAGGACGGGTCCCCGGGAGCCACCACAGACCCCGTCTGTGGCTATCGGGGGACACCCTGCTCCCGAGGAGGCGCGGGCCAGCCCGAGGGCGTCCCTGTACAGCACACTCACGTGTCCTCGTCCAGGCAGAGGCTCCCGTGGAAATGGGGCAGCACGGTCACCGCCACCGCGCATGGGAGCGTCCGGGAGCCCACGCCGTCCGTGATCTCCATGGACACCATGACTGGAAGGGAACGTGGGAGGAGGGTCACTGTGGAGACCAACCGCCCAGCATCCAGAGTCTCTGGGTGGATCCATGCGCCCGGGAGGTGACGTCACAACACAGCAGGCCTGGGCCTAAGTGGGGGGCCACCCCGCAGGGGTTCCAACAGTGCCACGCGGCAGTATGGGGCCCTGGGCGCCGGAGAGCAGCCGGCAGGAGTGGCCGTGGGCCTGGAGCCGCAGACGTGGCCGCCACGGGCCTTGGGAGCCCGGCAGCGTCGCTCACGCACCCAGGCACTCCCTCATCCGGCCTGCAAGCCCGGTGCGCCAGCAGCAGCACTACACAGCAGTGACGGGCCCGGCCCCCCGGGAGACAGGGGCCACCCGGCCTCGAGGATCGAGGGCACAGTGATCATTCGAAGCAGCTCCTGAGCGATGCACGGAGAGGGCAGGTCTGGGGGCAAAGCCGGGACATCCGCACGCAGCCCCCGGAGCGGCCCGGCCGACGGCTGAGCAGGCCCGGCTACAGGCCCGTGACCAGGGCTTTGCGGGCGGACCCGAGCGGGCGCTGCTGCCATGGAGGCCACAGGGCCAGCCCAGAGCTTCGCCGAGGTGCAGACCAGACGCAGGCGGCCACGTAAAAGCCTTTGCAACCGGAAACACAAAGCCAAGGGTCTGGCACTTGATTTTGAAGGTCGGCGTTTCTCCAGACGTGGCCCCTGGATCCCGGGCCACCCAAACAGTCCAGGCACGTGCCCAGCGGGACGCTGAGCCCGCAGGCAAGGGGGCCGGTCCCGCGGTGAGAGGGCTGGTGCCACAGGGACGCGGGGCTCCCAGGGCAGAGCACGCGGCCCCCTGGGAGGCGGAGAAGGCGAGAGCACCAGCGGGCAGGTGGGCAGGCTGTACCCAACCCGCAGCCTGGGGAAGCCGCCCGCAAGAGACGGGTGGGCATAGGCCCAAGGGTGCAGCGCACTGCACCTGTTCCGCTCGCGTGCCCCCGCCCCCATGACCCTGGAAGTCAGCTCTTCACAGGCATCCATCACCCTGGTGTGCACAAGCCTCCTGCGCTTCTTGGGGTGGGGGGGAGGGCCTGAGTGACGTCACCCCCCCCCACCGGCTCGGCAGCCGTGGCCTGAAGTCTAGGTCTGCAGATTCACATCAAGAAGCCCTTTCGCCCGACACAGAGCCGAGGCCCTGCCCCAACGTCCTGCGGGGGTCTGCCCAGCCCTGGGGTCTGTAGGCCCTCAGATGGGGTCCCATGTGGCCACAGGGGGGCATGGGTGAGGGGCCTACGGGCTGCGGACCAGCGAGGGCTGCTCGGCCAACGCCAGCGGGTGGGGGAGGCGGGGGAGCATCCACGTGCAGGACCATTTCCAGGAGACATGGGGCGTGTGCAGCTTCACTGTGGAGGAATTCATAACCCAGGCCACGCACAGAGGCCCCTGCAGTCAGAACGCCCTTGCCCAGCGTCACTGACCTGGGTCCCACGCAGGGCCACCTCACGCCCCGTGCTTCGTGAGTACGGGCGGCTGGTCTCAAAGGCTGAATTCATGAATGCAGGTGTTCTTGGGCATTGTGGCCCTTGCATATAGTTCAGTTATAACCTCCAGGTACAAGAAATGAATCGACTTATGGTATTGCTAATGCTCTGTTTCGAGCTAAAAAAAATAGGGGATCCAGCTAATCTAAAAAGCACAAGATGTTTTAAGATGAATACATAACAACAGTAATTTCTAGACACATAGTTTGAAGACTTCCTAGGTTAGGGAGGGGGGGAAGGTCTAGGGCCGTCAGCGAGCACCGCCAGCCACCCAGACCCACGCCCGACTCACCTTTGTAATTGTCCGAGGGCTCGCCTGCCGGCAGCACGAAGTAATACTGGGTGTCTCTCCCATGGTACAAAGTGTGTTCGGAGGCATTTCCTATCCGGTAACTAAATTTGTAACGAAAGTCCTAGGATCCGTTCCATATGAGGGCAAAACACAATGTTGAACAAACCAAATTAGATCCCCAGTAAACACACGACCCTGCGTCCCTCACTCCACCCCGGACCCTTGTTGGCAGATGGGCCGGGGCCGGGTAGGGGCTGCTCGCACGGGGGTGACCACCGACCTCCGGGGCCCCTTGCCCAGCGCCAAGAGGGCCCCACGCTGTGCTGTCACTCAGGGCAGCGCGCTCCCCGGGCCTGGGAACCCCAAAAGCCACAGAGACACAGATCTCTGGGCCTCCTGGGGGTAAGTTCTGTCTCTTTCAAATGAATAAATAAAATCTTAAAAATAAATAGGACTTAATAAGGAAAAAAAAAAGAGCAGGGCACTTGGGGCCTGCAGGAGGCCAGGATCTGAGCCCTGGGGCCGCGCGTGGTGGGTTTGTGGGAGGAGCAGGCCTGGCACCCAAGAGGCTGGAGGGCATCCCCACGGCACCCCTGCGCCAACCCCGGCGCCGAGCTTCACACCCACAGCACTTCCCCGAGCACCTCCTCTGCCCCGGCCTCTGGGACGGACTCGCGTGGCCGCGCGTACCGGTCTCACCGCCATGCAGAAGACGCTGAAGACGGTGTGAGCCTCGAGGCCACGGTGCGGCTGCACCTGGCAGGCCACGTCCCGCGGGGCTGGATGCAGGGTCACGTACAGCTGCGCCCTCCCCAGCAGGCCGCGCATGGAGGCTACAGCGGAGGACGAGGCGTGAGGGCCGCACCCCCCGTGGGTGCCGTGTGCGAGGGGCGGGGACACAGCCTCGCAGCCCATCCCAAGGCCGAGGCCGGCCTGGCGAGCGTGGGAGCGGGGGGACGGGGCGAGGGCTGCTGGGGCGCACAGGGACACAAGCGGGACGGCGGGGACGACCCAGGCCTCGGCGCTCAGGCTCTGAGTCTCCCCACCCCGAGGCAGTGACCAGCCAAAGCCAGCAGCCCCCGTGTCCGCACTTGGACAAATGGCAGCGGCAGTGGGAGTGAGGTGTGGCCGCAAAAGCAAAGGTCTCCCACGTGCCTGACACAGGTGCCCGGGGGTGCATTTCTGGACGCACCGAGTGAGGGGCTGCAGGACGTTTGCAAAGTCGTCAGGCAGAGACGGGGCATGGGTGTGACGGCTGGGGACCCCTCGGGCTTCGGGAAGGGAGGCCCGTCGGGCTACGGGGGTGGGGACGCAGCCCAAGCGGCAGACTGTGACCCTAACCCATGCACACGCATAAGCCATCAGGTCATATGGAACCAAAAGCCTCGGGAAATGGGGCAGAAAATGTAAAACTGCCCCCAAAGGGAGATGTGAAAGCGGGTTACGGAGGAGCCAGAGGGGCACGGAGCAGGCGCCGTGCGAACAGGCGGCTCACAGGCTGCCCAGAACCACCGTCACCTCCTCGGGGCTTAACAGGCGTACAAGTCATTGGTCAATTTGCGGGGGAGAGAACCAACTTACACAGTTGTCTTGGGGAAAAAAAACCTAATGCACACGTCGTTTTCTGTCTTCCTAGAGGCAAACATCTCCACCTTTACCGTGACCTAAACACGCTGCTGACCCCATATGGCCCAGAAGCGCGGGGGGGAGGTACAAGGGGCGGAGGGAGCTCAGCGTGCTCTGGAGCGAGAGCCGGGGGGTGGACGGGGCTGCAGCTTCTAGAAGCGCCATGAATCACGACAACCCGCTTCCCCGGGCGCCTGGCAGCTCAGGTCTCCCCAGGCTGCCTCTCCCCGCTCCTACTCGCTCTCCCTCGCTCTAATAAAGAAAATCTTTAAGAAAAAGCAAACCCCGATGGTCCCTGCAGCAGGGCCGGCGGGCAGCAGGACGTACCCACGGAGGCTTGCACGACGTATGTCTCCCCGGGGCTCAGCGAGAACGGCTTTATTGTCACTGCGTGTCCCGTGATGCCTGCGGACAAGGGGGCGTCAGCGGGCTGCGGACACACAGACCCCGGCCCCGGAGCCGCCTGCGGAGCGTGCTCGCTGCCCCCGCCACCGCCCTCGGGGTGCGACCCGCCTGGCTGCAGGCCTGGGAGCCCCCTGCAGCCCCCCTGCCCGAGCACCCTGAGCGGGAGCCTGGGGTCACGTCTGGATCGCACTCGGCTCTGGCAGCGAGTGGACCCTGGCGGGAGCCCACACCACACTCGTGCCAGCTGGGGCGTCCACGGGGTCCCATGGGACACATGGGGTCTGCCCACGGCGCATGATTAAGGCGTTTCAAAGCAATGTTCTCGTCTCCAAGGGCACCGGCCGGGAAGCATTTCTTAAATCTGGGTGTGACTACTGCCCACTGGTGACGGGTCCCCTCCTTAGCGGCCAGAGGCTGACCCCAAGTGCGGGCTGGTGGTCTCAGCAGGGAAACCCTGGTTTCCCGAAATGTGGCAGGGGACGGGGAGGAGACAGCCATGTGATGTCAGGGGAAGCCCGGGGCTCCAGGGCGGGAGTGCGGTCCCACGCGCAGCACCGCCAGCAGAGCCCCCGTGCCCACGTCACGTGGTGGCCGCCCCCAGGGAGGACGTCTGGGTCCCCGGCCTCAGGGCGCTTCCTGGCACAGGCTTGGCGGCCCCTGTACCCCACGGCCTGCAGACAGGGCTCCCGGCGGGCCACAGAGGAGCCCCCCACCTTGGAGTGGAGCCTCTGCACCCTGTCCACAGAGGGACACGCGAGGAGAAAAGGCACAATGAGCCCTCAGGCTGCTCTCTTGAAAGGAAAACTTGCAGAGGAAACTGAGGTCTGGTCCCCAACCCCTGACCAGCTGCAAATCCCCAGACGTGAAGCGAGTGCTCCTACCAGAGGCCGTGTAGCTGCGGAAGAGGGCGCGGCCCACTGGGGCCTTGGGCCAGTCCACCATGAGGGCCGGCCCCGCCGCGGGGCGCAGGGGGCCCAGCAGGTTGTCCCCATCCCCCTGGCCCCCACCAGGACTCAAACTCGGGTCTGCTCCCGGGAGGCTGGCGCCAGACCCTAGGAAGACAAGCCAAGGCGACAGATGGTCAAGGGACAAGTCCCAGTTACGTCCCGGAAGGCCAGTGCCCCAGCTGAGCCCAGCAGAGCAGACAATGCTGGCCACCGCCATCCTACAGGCCGGACCAGGGCGAGCGAGGACAGACACGGCGGGGTGTGGAGGGGACCCAGCAGGTGGGCCGTGGCCAGGCCATCGCCTGGGGCAGGGGCAGACACAGGCCGGAGCCAGCTCTGCAGTGAGCACCCGGAGGAGGGGGAGAAATGAGACTTGAGGGGGTGAGGAAGCAGGAAACGAGGTGGGAGAAAGTGCCAGAAAGCCACTGAGGATGGCCTGCGGGGGGCCCGGCTGCACCCTGAAAGCAGCCAGGCGCGGGCTGTCCAGGCGGCGGGAAGGGAGGCGGAGACGGAGGAAGAGCTCACGGGTGCCCGGGCACTCAGTGGTGCCAGGATGCCGCGGAGGACGGACAGACTGACTGCAGACTCACGGTCGCCGGGAGGAGACGCCGTGAGAACACGACCCGCATGGGGCTCAGAACCGACTCATAGGCAGGAAGGCGATTCCATCAATACTGTGCTTTCCCTTCATTCAGCCTTATTTACGGGGCACCTGCTGTGAGCCCGGGTGAGCCCTCACACACCTGCGTGGACACGGGGTGGAGCCGGGACAGGCCTAATGACACTGTGGAGGCAGGGGAGGAGGGTGCCGACGATGCCGGGCAGGACAGATGGACAAATCCACCATGACCGCCTGGCTGTCCTGACACAGAGGGACACGTCGCCCCCTGAGCTTCCAGCCGTCCCGTCCAGTGATGGATACGTCATCCACCAAGCACTATCTGTCCCTCGAGCCAGAGTCCAGGCATCATCTGGATCGAAGGTCCACACTGGCCGTGGAAGCACGCCCGAGGGCAGGAGCAGGGCCGCAGGGGGAGAGCTGGCGAGCACCGAGAGCTTCAGCAGCGTCAAGGACGCGGGGCTGTCACAGGAGCGGAGCTGGCGGAGATGGAGGCGGGACGGCCCAGCAGGAGGAAAGCACCGGCGGGAAGGAGGCCGTGCTCCACGGGGACACCTCGGGGCTCCGGCCGCCAACACCCATGGACCAAGGTGGGGGCCATGGACGGCGCCTCCGGGGGCCTGGGGCTACCTGGGGCTCTGGAGCAAGGGACCCCGAGTACAGAGGAGGCTGAGCCAGAAGATCGGGGTGGACAGTGACCTGCAAAGGAGTCTCAGCTTTTCCCTGTGCCTCTGGGAGCTCTTGGTGCTCGTGATGCCGGGGCAGAAGGGGAGCTCTCGACTTCAGAGACTTCAGAGCCTGGGCTGGCGTGGGGACACGGGGACATGGGGAGCCCCAGAGAGAGCAGACACCTTGGTGCCTGGGCTGGCGTGGGGACAGCGACACGGGGAACCCCAGAGAGAGGGGACACCTTGCAGCCTGGGCTGGCGTGGGGACAGGGGGACACGGGGAGCCCCAGCACGGTGACGGTGACGACTCACAGTGGGCCGGCTGTCTCCCTGTGGGCGGCACCGCCTCCTGGATGTCCCCGTAGTCGGCTTCGAAGTCTATGGGGAGGAGCACAGCACTGCCCGTGACGCGCACAGGCCTCCCGAGGCGCCCACGGCCGCCCAGGCCTCGTGCAGGGTCCACCTGTGGCTCGGCAGCGTCACCCCGTTGCTGGGGCCGTGGAGGGGCAGGCGGCTGGGTGCGGGGCTCCCTGGGATGAACCGCCGTGGGTGCGGGGCCGAAGCCAAGCTCTCACTCCCCCCGGCTCCCCTGTCCCTTCAGAGAGCCTCGCACCCCTTCCCCTCAGCAGGACGGAGGTGGACACATCCCCGCGGCTGTCCTGTCCCGGGGGCTGGGGGTGCAGAGGCCCCCCACCCGCTGGCCTGAGGCCCGGGGCCCCTGGGGCGGGGACATCTTCCAGGCTGCAGCCCAAGGAAGGTGCACGTCGATGGCATCACAAGGGGACGGTGCTCCCCGACAAAGGGTCCCCTCTCCACTTGGGAGGCACAGAAATGGTTCGAGTGCAGCCTGGAAACTGGGGGGAAAGGGAAGGGCCGGGGCACCAGGACGGCCCTGAGCCCGACTCGGCCTCGCTGGGGAGAAGGGACCTGAGCACGAGCGTCCTGCAAGCTCAGCACTTACCAGAGGGGGACGGCGACGGGCTCCGGGGCGACCAAGTCCCAGGGGACCCCGCGTCCCGGCGAGCCAGTCCAGGGAACGCGGCGTCGCTCGCAGCAGGAAGTGGGTACGTGCTGACGGGCCCCGAGGATGGTGTCCCCGGGGTTGATGGTCCCGGCTGCACCCGGGGCTGTGGTGACTGCTTCCGTGAGGACGCCGCACCCGTCCCACAGGGCTCCGGGCAGCTCGGCGCCGTGGACGGTGCACTGGACGGCGGCAGCGTGGAATCGGCCCCCAGGCCGGCAGCGCCCAGCAGCCCCACCGCCCTGCAAAAGGGACCTGGACCAGACGAGCACCAGGGTCAGACGTTGGGGCAGGAGCAGTACGCGTGTCACCCTGCGGGCACCGGGGCCCAGGGGCCTGAGCATCTGACTCTTCGTTCTGTCTCAGGTCGTGATCCCAGGTCCTGGGATCGAGTCCCGCGTGGGGCCCCGTGCTCAGCGGGCGCCTGCTTCTCCCTCCCCCTCCCCCTGCTCACGTTTGCTCTCAAATGATTACATAGAAAATCTTTTTAAGCAAACAAATAAAAAGAAACAAAACTGCGTACGGACGTCATCGGCATGCCACCTTCACACACGTGACCCCCACTGGGAAGGACTCGCGCAGGAAGTGGCGGGGAGCTCGGTTCCCCGGGGGCAGCAGGGAGGTAGGTGGAGGAGCAGAGCTGGTGTTCGCATCCGTCCGCCTGCACCTGCCCTCCCCCGCACACCTGGCGCAGGTTAGTCCCGCCTCCTCTAGACACGCTCACCTGTGCCCCCCCCCACCCGTGTGGTCAATCTAAACGGCGCTGCCGTGAGTTACGAGAAAGGATTTCTATGGGGTCGCTCGGGGACGCCTCGCTGCCGTCACAGCGAGACTGTTGGGCGATAGAGGGAGACACTCACTGCTGTGCTGCGACCCGCGCACCAGCTGTTTGCCCGTCAGCCCCTCCGCGTCCCCCCCACTTTGGTTCTGAAAAGCCCACAGGGCGTGGGAAGGGCCCCTGCAGGAGGGGCGCCCACGTGGTCACGCCCACCGGAGGGCACGGCCGGGACACGGGTCCGGGCAAGTCCGCGTCTGCCCCGGGACCTGAGGCCTCCGCCTCCCCGGGTGGGCGAGGCCAAGGCAGCTGGGGCCTTACCGTCCGTTCGGGTCCCTTCCGTGGCGTTGACCAGGAACAGGTCCCAGGAGTAAGACAGGCGGGGCCCCGCGGCACACGCGTCGCACTCGGCGCGCAGGGAAAGCTCTTCGTTCCAGTTGACAAGCGCGTCCTTGAAGCTGCCCCGGGAGATGCGGACAAACCTGCAGCCGCGCAGACCGGGTGGGGCGTTAAGGGCAGCCCGGGGGGCTTCGGCCTCGCTCTCCCGGGGGCGTGTGGCACCGGCAAGGCCAGCACGACGGAGCCTACGGGCTGACCGAGCCCGCACACACTCCCCCAGCACCGCCTCGCGCCCCAGGCTGCGCACCCTGCCCGGGAGGCCGCGTGACCCCCCACGCTGCACGGAGCTCAGGCAGGGCCGGGCCGGCACCCTGACCCCCACCCTGGGCCGTGCACCCTGCCATGGCGGCCGCGCGTCCCCCCCACGCTGCACGGAGCTCAGGCAGGGCCAGGATGGCACCCTGACCCCCCTCAGGCCACGCACCCCGCCCTCCCCACCCAGGGAGGCTGCCTTCCCCCACCCCTGCTCCCCTCACCTTGGAGCCCCCCCGCCACCTGGAGCCTGACCTGGGTGCCCCCATTGCCAGGTGCATCCTTCATGCCCACGGCCCTGCCCGCTCTCAGCCGCCTGCTGCCCCGACCCCACACGTGAGACCCCAGCTCCCTCAGGCCTGCGGGCTGAGCCTCCTCCCCTCCTCCAGGCCCTGCTGCCGCCCAGGCTCACTTGCCGTCCTGCGGGACATAATGCAGTGCCCCGGCCCCCAGGCCCGCTCCAGTGGGGTGTTTGCTTGTGGATGCGGGGCCCTCAGCAGGTCAGCAGGAGGCCCCCGAGTGGGTGCATGGTGCCGGCATCTCCCATGTGAAGGTGCCGTCCGCACGGGTCTCAGACTGCAGCCCGTAGGTGCAGCTCCCGGCGCAGGAGGGGTGGGGTCATGGGGAGCGCACGGCGCACAGGCTCCCCGGGGCTCAGGCTGGCCCGTCCCTGCGTGTGCGTCCACCCATAAGTGCTCACACGTCTCCCGCAGGGGTGCACTCGGGCCAGGAGGGGCCCACCCGGGCCTCACGGCGGGCGGCGTCCACCCTCCTCCCTCACAACACAGTCCAGGAGGGTTTCAGAGTCAGCGCTTTGTCTCGGGGCCCTCGGGTGACTGACTCGGCTCAGGTCCAGGTCCCGGGGTCCGGGGATCGAGTCCCGACGGGCTCCCTGCTCAGCGGGGCGACCGCTGCTCCCTCCGCCCCTGCCCCTCCCCACATGCGTTCTCTCTCTCTCTCTCTCTCTCTCCCTAATACAAAAATAAAATCTTGACAATTAGTGCATTTGGTATCTTGCAAGGAGCAGAATTACATAGTGCTTTGTATTTTTTAGAACAAAAGTGTCTTATTTATTACATATGATCTTCTGATTTACAGCCCGAGGTTTGTGACCCTGTACGTCCCTTCACCTTCGGTCTCTAATTTTTTTTTAAATTTTTTTAAATTTTTATTTATTTATGATAGTCACAGAGAGAGAGAGAGAGAGAGAGAGAGAGAGAGGCAGAGACACAGGCAGAGGGAGAAGCAGGCTCCATGCACCGGGAGCCCGATGTGGGATTCGATCCCGGGTCTCCAGGATCGCGCCCTGGGCCAAAGGCAGGCGCCAAACCGCTGCACCACCCAGGGATCCCTCTAATTTTTTTTTAAGTAGGTCCCACACCCAACGTGGGGCTTGAACTCAGGACGGCGAGATCAGGAGTCACAGCCTGTACCGACCGCACCAGCGGGCGCCCTGATTCCCCTAGTTTGACTACACGTCAGGACTCCTGAGAAAGGCAGGTGGCTGGGCCTGCGTGGACCGTGGGCGGGTGCCCCATCTTGTCCACCTTATTTTTCATGGCTTCAGGCCTGAGCTCCTGGGGGGCATCTCCTCCAGAGAGGTCTGAGCTCGGTGCCACGGCTCATGTCCTCTCCCTCGCATCGGTCCTGCCAGCACAGCTAATTTGCTTCCTTCTCCAGGAAGCCTCCCAGGACCCACCCAGTTCTGCACACTTTTAACCACAGGCTGTCTTCACGTCGAGGTGGTGACTGCCCAGGCCCCTCGCAGGTCCGTGTACGGAAGCGGCCCGCCCGTCTGGGCCCGTCCAGGTGGCCTGCTTGCCCCCGGCCTGCTCCCTCATGACCCAGGCCCCCAGGGGTGACAGAAGCAGCTGTGGCTCATGCATCCAGGGTCTGGCCTGCTCGTTGCAGACCCGGCTGCCATCGGAGCCCTTCCCTACCCTCGCGCCCTGCACTGCCTCGACGTCACACGTGGCCCAGCCCCTTGATGCCCGCACGGCCCTAAGACGAGGCCCCGGGTACCACAGCCCTGAGCCCCAGCGCAGGCCTCTGCCTCGGGGCAGCTGCTGGGCTGGAGGGGCGCCTCCTCCTAGGAGTCCCCCACGTCAGCAGTAGCCTGTACGCGCGTCCCCAGGCCCCAGCCCTTGTCAGTCGGGCCCCTTGGCCCTCAGCACAGGGGTCCTGTGTGGCCCCAGGTCCCAGCGACCCCCCATCACCCCCGGGCCCAGCACGCAGGGGGCACGGGGCACACAGTACCTGAGTGCCGCGTCGGGGCGCGGGGACAGGAACACCTGCGCCTCTGAAGAGTTCCGGCCAGCACTGGACACGGTCAGCGTCACGAGAAACTGGTCATAGCTGTTGCTGAGAGAGCTGGCAGGAAAAGAAAGGGAGGGGGCCCCAGCACGCAGGCTGTGCGGAGAGGAGGTGGTGAAGCAGGGCTCCCCAGGGGCGCCGGCCGCGGTGCACGTCCAGTGGTACCTGTGGGAGAAGCCCCCATGGGGCGATCGCGCCAGCTCACTAAAAGGGCTTCCCTGGGCCCGGGAGCAGGCGGGGGGAGGCCCTCGGGGGGAGCTCTCCTCCTCCTCCAGGCCTGGTGGGCGTGGTCCCCGCCCCCGGGGAGCAGACGCACGCTGGACTCGAGCTCGTGGGCACCACGCGGGGCTCACACGGGGGGCGCAGAGTGAAAAGAAGCACGTCTCCTGAGGCCGGGCGCCGGACGTACCCAGAACACAAGCGTGTGATTAGGGGGCCCAGTGGCCGCCTCTCGCCTCCACCAAAGCCCACGCTTGGGACGCAGCAAATGTCCCCGCTAATGGGGTGAAGAGACAAAGTGACTCCTCTAGCTGTTCAGGAATAGTCGTGGAGGACCCACGCTGTGCCAGCCACAGCCCTGCCCTCCTGGAGTGGATACTGCAGCGGGGACAGAGCACTGACGGTGCCTGCAGCGAGTGAGTGAATATGGGATGTCACAGGCAGAAGGAGCTATGGACAAACCCTGCGGATGAGGTCATTGGAAGCCTCCCTGGGCACACGATGTCTGACGGAAGGAGATGGGTGGTGACAGTTCAGGGGCAAACTGAGGCAAGATGCAGAAGGCACCCCCACTGCCAAGGCACCAAGGGAGAAGCATAGCTGGGCGTCCGAGGGCAGGCGGGAACCGCAGGGCAGGGTGAGGACTCAGGGCGCAGGTGACTGACGGTGGACGCTGAGGCACGGAGAACGCTCTCGCTCTCCCTGAGCACAGAGGCAGTGCCACAGGGTTGGAGCAGAGCTTGACAAGACTCCGTCCACCTGCTCTGTGAGGCATGGTCTGATGATGGTCATAGGGAACATGGGGGCTGGGGAGGAGACCCCTGAAAGGAGCCCAAGATGCCACTCGGCCCGGATGGGGCCAGTGAGTTTTCCCAACAGACTGGCCAGGAAGCAGGAGAGAAAAAGAGAACTGCTTAAGGTTTTTGGCCTGAAAGACTGGAAGGATGCCTCCGTCGGCAGAGATGGAAAGGCCACAGAGGGACCGGGCCAGGAGATGGCAGGACACCCAACCTGAAGGCCAAGAGCTGTCTGGACAAAGGATGCATGCTCCAGGTGACCGGCACATGAATGGTGTCCATGGAGGATGCGTGTTCCAGGTCATGGGCATTGGGTGCCATCCATAGAGGATGCATGCTCCAGGTCATGGGCATTGGGTGCCATCCATGGAGGATGCGTGTTCCAGGTCATGGGCATTGGGTGCCATCCATGGAGGATGCGTGTTCCAGGTCATGGACATTGGGTGGCATCCGTGGAGGATGCGTGTTCCAGGTCATGGGCATTGGGTGCCATCCATGGAGGATGCATGTTCCAGGTCATGGGCATTGGGTGGCATCCATGGAGGATGCGTGTTCCAGGTCATGGACATTGGGTGGCATCCGTGGAGGATGCATGCTCCAAGCTATGGACATTAGGTGGCATCCGTGGAGGATGCGTGTTCCAGGTCATGCGAACCCCTTCCGCCCTGTGAGGACCAGCTAGGAACCAGGTCCTCCCCAGACACCAAAGCAAGGAATACCAGAAGAGCCTACTTGCTGAGCACTGAATGCCCCGTAAGATGGGGAAACCTAACGCCCAGGATGATGGCGGGGGAAGGGGGCTGTCTCAGGCAGGGACACCTGGTGCTCCTATAGCAGAGCCCATCGAGAGCCCCCGAGCCCCTTCCGCCCTGTGAGGACTAGCAGGGAACCAGGTCCTCCCCAGACACCAAAGCGGCCGGCACGTCCATCTGGCCTTCCGGCCTCACGTCCACACAGAGAAGTGTCCACTGTTTACAAGCTCACAGGCTGTGGGGTTTGTTAGGCAGCCTGCACGGACGGAGACGATATTTAAACTTCATTTTTCAAAATGTGCCATAAATGCCAACTTCCAAAGCTGCTCCGGGTTTCCTCCCGCCCCTCCCCCATGTGAGGGTCCTGAGTGAGACGTTAGCTCAACAGATAAAGGCAGAGGTCCCAACAGGGTGCAGATGATGCCAGCAGGATTCTACAGCCACCCATGCCGGCGTTCTGAGCCCTGGCTGGGAGGGGGCCACGGGCGAGCAGAAAGGCTGCCCCCACCTCGCCAGCGGTCCCACGGCCTTCCCGCGCTCACCTGAGGGTGGCCCCAGGGTTGTCTGGGTCGTAGGACTGGGAGCCGCTGAGGACGACGGTGACTGAGGGGGCCCTGGAGATGAACAGGTGCGTGCCCTCGGAGATGACACTAACGGGGGCCCTGGCCCGCACCTCCACCCCGACGCTGTAGTTGCTGTGCACGACGCTGCCATCCACCTGAACCTGCAACGTGACGACAAGGGGGCGTCACTCGGGGGCTCGGGCAGCATGCTCGCTGGAGCCGGACCGCCCTCTACCGCTGGAGGGACATTGGGGTGCCCGCCGGCTCTGAGTGGAATGTGAGACTCTTGAGATTGGGTCCGTGAGTTCACGCCCCACCTTGGGTGCAGAGATGACTTAGATAAATCAAGTTTTTAAAAAATAAGACAAAATTGGAAGGAAGCTGGTGAGCGTAAATGTGCCACCGGGTCCCGCAGCAGCTCCAGAGCGGCCCAGGTACCGGGAACCCAGCACATCACCTGTGTCAGAGGAACAGCCAACTGTGCCCCGAGTGGAGCCACGGTGGCCGGAGTGCAGGAGGGCAGGGGCGAGCGGGCACAGCTCCCGCCTCCGTGACTCGGCTCCCCATCATCTGCACACAGTCCTGAGCCGAGCCTGCCCTCCGACGGCAAGCCCGTCCACGGTCTTGGCTGGCAGAGCTGGCTTGCCCTAAGCTGCATTCCTAGGGCGGCTGCGTGAGCATCCAACTCCCGGTTTCTGCTCAGCTCACGATCTCAGGGTCATGAGGTCGAGCCCCACTTGGGGCTCCACGCTCAGCACAAAGTCCGCTGGAGAGGCTTCCTACCTCTCCCACCCTCCCACCCTCTCATTCTCTCAAATAAATAAATAAATAAATAAATAAATAAATAAATAAATAAATAAATGTATAAGTAAATAAATAAAATCTTAAAAAATCAACCTACACTTGTGGTCTCCACGTGATGGTCTTGAAGCAACGTAAATGAACTTCAAGACACATACTTGGAACCTCGGGAATCCTGGAACGTTCGATAAACAGGACGTCCCAAAGGGCTCTTCGAGGACTTTGACGCAATTTGGAAACCAAAGCAAATGAGAGCATGACACTCGCTGCTCGCTTCATGGGCTGCTCCTGGTCCTCAGTCTCCTTCAGAGGCGCTGCGGCTCCCTGCTGGTGGCTCCCCTAGGGCGACCTGGCGGCCGTCGAGCCCCCTGGGATCACACTCCCGCGTCTGCCGGCTCAGCCAGGCCCGCCCAAGGAGTGTTGCGCTGTCCCGGGATGGGGACGTGCAGGTGCGGGAGCTGCCCGTCAGCATGGTGGGATGGCGGGACCTCTGACGGTGCGACCCCCGAGCCATGCGACGAGCAGCTCAGATTCCAACGAAAGCACCTCAAAGCACCTCATCGAGGCAGGACCTGGAGGGAGACGCGGCCAGAGCCCGCTCCCCCGGCGACAAAGTGGCCCATGAGTTTGTGTGCCAGGCAACGGGGGCCCTTGAGCGTGGTGGCTTCACCCCTCCCTTAAGCCGTCCCTCGTGGGCAGGAACGGTGCCGTGACCCCACCGGCCGGAGCCTGGGAAAAGGGCGTCTCGCAGCCCTGGACACACCAGCCCACGGCACTCGGTCCCCTCAGCATTGCAGTGCCCATCACCGTGCACCTTACACAGCTGCGTACTTGCTCAGAGCCATGGAGGGAGGGGGGACCTCGCGGGCACGCTGTCCTGTCCCCTCCTCTCTTTGCCAGGTCGTCATTGTGTCCTTACACAGTAGGAACCGGGTCCTGCACAATGACCCCCGACTAACCTCCAACAGTATGTGTGGTCTGCATAGTCTCGGGCCGGAGAACCACCGTAGACACCTGGCCTCTCAGGAGCGGGACAGCCACCCAGTGCGGGGTCATGCCTGCACCTCATTCCTGCCCCCCTAGGGACACCTGGAGTCAGGCTGGGAGGGCGGCCACCACAGCCACAGGGTCTGCTCTGGGCCCCGGCAGCCCAGCTGCAATCTACCCTCCTCCCCCACTGCTCTGCCCTCCTGCTCAGGGACCCCAGCACCCCACCCCACTCCCAGGGACCCTGCCCCCCGTCCTCCCTCCTCCCCCACTGCTCTTGCCCTCCTGCTCAGGGACCCCAGCACAATCCCCTAGCCCCCCACATCCACCTGAACTCCCTCCACCATTTCCCACATGGCCCACTAAGCACTGAAGCCCGACCCCTTCATTTCTGCCTTCCCCTAGTCTTCAGAAGAAACCCACACTCTTGTGCTCAGACCCATATTCTGTTGCCCACCCTCTCAGAGCCCAAGAGCTTCCATGGGGCCATCCACAGCCTGGGCCACCCCGGGTCCTCTCCTGACCTGGCTCACACCCCACCCCGGGCTCCCCGTCTCATGCTCTCCCTCCCCCAGGAGCTGTCGAGCTCCGGGGGGCTAAGGCTACATGGTCCTCCCTGCATCCTTGTCTCCCTGGAGCAGAGCCAGGCGCAGACAGCCTCTTGTCACCAGGAAAACAGGGAGTGGCCTTGTTCCGCTCCACGCGCTCAGCCTCAGACCTTCCTTTGAATTTCCCAGGTCATTTTTACAAGCAGTCAGCAGGGCAGGTGGCTAAGGTCAAGTCCACCTACGTCCACCCACACTGCCACTGCAGAGCCCGGGTGGCAGGGGGTCCCGGACGCCCCCTCCAGCCTCTGCTCCCTGCCTGCTTTGCCAGCCTGCACCCCGGGCACGAGCCCCAGTCTCTGCCTGCAAAAAGACTCTGCTCCATGAAGCCGACTCTCCTAGAAGGGATCATGACACATTTTCACCATTTTTCCAGCCACAATACACCAAGTGCCAACAGCGGCCCTGTCACCAGGGTGCCCTCATGACCTCAGTTCTCCAACAACATCCCCTCCCTTTCCAGGCGGAAGCTCTGTGATGACACAGCTATTCCCCGGACATCCCGGGACTACCTCAGAGACACTGTCAAAGCGGATGCACAGGAGGCTTTTGTTACAAGAACAAGATTTTCACAATTAACTTTGCCCGAGTTCAGACATGAAATTTGCTCTCTCAGGGGAACTGAAGCATTTCTCAGGAGCCCAGCCACACTTGTGTAACCCTCCTTGTCTTGGATAGAGCAGGCTGGGGGGACAGGGGCTGAGCTCTTGCTCTGAGGCTGGTGGGAAGCCTGTGAGCCGGTCACGCACCCTGGCGAGAGCGGTGTAGTTCCCAAGCTCCAGGAAGTAGCCGGGGACAGTGATGGTCTGCCTGCGTGTGCTGACGCCAGGGGGCAGGGGCACTGGCCACCCCTCGGAGGTCCGGATGGTCCAGGTGTAGGAGAGGCCTTGGGAGATGTCACAGAGGATCGCAGACTCGAACGTGACGCCCAGAGTCACAGGCTGAGACCTCCACACCTGCGGGTTAAGGAGAAAGAGATCTCGAAACGTCCATTACGTCTAACGCCACAGAGAAGCACCAACACTTACTCTCAGCAGGGTACGCCAATTGTACACATTTGCACCATCACAGGTGGGATCCTTACAGTTGTAATATAAAGCACGGAAACAAATGTATGTCCTTTCTACAGACAAAAGTTAACAAGTTGATATAAAAACAAGAAGAATAAGTGACTATTTATACTTAAATGATCATGAGAAAAAATCCTAAGCATAACGTTAAGGGGAAAATACAAAAGGAGAGAGTTAAGAGATTTGATTCTCTTAAAAAATAACTTGAACATCAAAACTCATTTTAGGGGTGCCTGGGTGGCTCACGGGTTGAGTGACAGAATCAAATTCTTGATTTTGTCTCAGACCATGAGACCGAGCCCCACATCAAGCCCCACTCAGCGGGGGAGTCTGCCGGAGAGCCTCTCCCTCTGCCCCTCCTCTGCTCGTGTTCTCGTCCCCCTCCCTAAAAAAATAAATCTTTTTTAAAAAATCATTTTAAAAAGCAATCAACAGAGAAAAAAGAAAAGCGTTTGCAAAATACATGACAGTTAATTTTGTTTAAAGTCAGTAAGACATTTTCAACATCTCCAATAGAAAAATGGGCAAAGACAAACGTGGGCAAACCACAAAATGAAATTTACACTTACATTTCATTGTAGGCTTTTGGCTATGAAATCACATAAATGTTGTGTATATTCAAAAATCAAGTCAAAATGCAAAAACAAAGCCAAAAGAAACCAAAAATTTATTTGCTAACCGGGAACCCAAACGAAGGAATGTAACCACATTTCAAGGAAGCAAGAGAGAAAAGAGAAATGTTTCAAGTTACTTCAATGTACAGCGTCTTGAGGATGTATTCTAAGGGCCAAAGAACGAACCACAGATAAATCTGAAAACTCACAAAGAGGCTTCACTTCTGATATTGTTACTTTGAAAACATTTCCCATATATATTAGGAAAAGTGCTAATAATTAACGATGTTGATGTTATAGACGTAGAGCTTTTAATAGGAGAGAATTCAAGCATAAAATGTCTCAAAAACATGTAAATTCTGCATACGTAATGTTTCTGGATGGGAAACAGCAGGTGAATTCATGGCCTACTTTATGCTGAATGTGTGACTCCCTGCCATGTGCTCTACGGAGCTGGCACACGATGACGCCCCAGGAACACCGAGCACCCCCTGCACCAGATTTCCGCCCCCCATCACCCTATGCGAAAGCCTGGGGCTCCGTCGAGAGATGCCACTTCCAGGCGAAGGCAGCTGCCCGTGGGCAGGGCAGGAGCTTTCCAAGACCAGTCGGGAGGCAGAAGGCCCGAGCCCGGAGCGAACCCGACGGGCCCCAGACAGGCCACCCCGAGCCTTTTACAGACCATGTCTGCAACGACGGAAGGGCTAACACCACGTCGATCACGCTGAGAATCAGCGGCCCCTGCCCCCGTCCTCCCACGAAGCCCGCACAGCTCAGCTGTCACCATCAGAAGAGGCCGGCGCTCACCCTCCCTCTCCGAAGGCTGAGAATTAAGGGAAAGATTCCAGCGCTATTTTCTCGCTTTTTTGAACTAACAATATTTTAGGGAAACTTACAGATCTAGCTGGTGAAGAAAAGCTTTTTTTCCCCTATTCTCTCTCTATTTTTTTTTAAATAAGAAATCTTTGTGCATCTCACATCAAACAATTGCATCAAGAAATTCTGAAGACAGAGCAGTGGGATAATGAGCTAGGGTTAGGTTACCTTTAGAGATCACTGCCGGAGCACCTGGGGGCTCAGAAGTTGAGCATCTGCCTTCCACTCAGCTCAGGGCATGACCCCGGGGTCCTGAGATGGAGTCTCGCATTGGGCTCCCCGCAGGGAGCCTGCTTCTCCCCTGCCTGTGTCTCTGCCTCTTTTTTTTCTCCAGGAATAGGATGGAGGGTGGAGGATGGAGGAGGACTGAGGGCTGCAGGATGGAGGGAGGAGGACTGAGGGCCCAGGGAAAAGGGAGGAGGATGCAGGAGGGATGAGGAACGAGGGTGGAGGGTGGAGGGTGGAGGAGGGCCGAGGGCCCAGGGATGAGGGCTGAGGGCGGAGGAGGGCTGAGGGCTGAGGGCTGAGGGGTGAGGGTGGAAGGTGGAGGATGGAGGAGGGAGGAGGGTGCAGAAGGGATGAGGGTGGAGGGTGGAGGATGGAGGATGGAGGATGACCGAGGGCCCAGGGGTAAGGGATGAGGGTGGAGGGGGGATGAGGTTGGAGGGGGGATGAGGAATGACCATGGAGGATGAAGGAGGGATGAGGGGTGAGGGATGAGGGGTGAGGGGTGAGGGTGGAAGGTGGAGGAGGGAGGAGGGAGGAGGGAGGAGGGTGAAGAAGGGATGAGGGTGGAGGGTGGAGGATGGAGGAGGACTGAGGGCTGCGGGATGGAGGGAGGAGGACTGAGGGCCCAGGGATGAGGGAGGAGGGTGCAGGAGGGATGAGGAACGAGGGTGGAGGGTGGAGGATGGAGGAGGGCAGAGGGATGAGGGAGGAGGGTGCAGAAGGGATGAGGGTGGAGGGTAGAGGATGGAGGAGGGCTGAGGCCCAGGGGTGAGGGATGAGGGTGGAGGAGGGATGAGGACCGAGGGATGAAGACTTTGCCCCACTGGCAGGCCCCCCTCAGGGTAGACGGTGAGCACACAAGCTCCCCTGCAGGACTCGTTAATGAAAAACTCCCACAAAAGTGGGGAAAAGGATAAACTTCTAGGAGGAGTTGGGAAGTGGGATTTTAAGAAATACGCGATTCCTTCTAGGTGGGAATCGACCTTTGGCCTTCCTGCCGTGTGAGACACAGGAGCGCGCTCTTGCTGCATTTTAGGTGATTCTCTCTTTTCCTTTATCCTTTTAGAAAATGTGTCCAAGAAAAACAAAATAAAGAAAAAAATGGACTCATCGGTGTTGTTTCCTTTGCTTCAAAAGTGAAAAACCCCTAAGTACCTCTTTTTAGACCAGAACCCGGGTCGCACAGCCAGTACCGTGTGGACCTGGGGCTGCGGATGCCTCCCAGGACCAGGCTCACCGGGGAGAAGCCCCGAGCCCTGGCTGCACCCACGGTCAGGATTTAGGCCCAGACCCCTGTCGCCCTGGCTCTGGCCGCTTCCAGTCTCCACACTGGGGTCCCCCTGGACGCTTTGTCCCTCTCCCCGACTCAGCCCACCGCCCGTGCAGAATGCCAACCGCGTGGGTGCGTGCTGGCCTAGCAGCGCCTGTGTCTCACCCGTGGGCGGCCGTCACGTCCCGCAGGCCCCATGTGCCAGGACTACCGGGGCCTTGCCCTGGGGACGCTCTGTGTGTCCCCCAGGTCTCCACGCCCGACCCCACACCCAGGTCAGAGGCCCAGCAGGTGTCTCTGGGGCCAGAGAGCCACAGAACTCACGGGCGAATGCAGCGGCGCCTCGGGCCGTGGGTCGCCTGTGTCACTGGGCACTTCGGCCCCGGGGAGGGAAATCCGCTCCAACCCGGAGGCTCGAAGGAACAGAAGAAGCAGAAAGCTGCCCGGCGCTTCCTAAGCCCTGGTAAGTGCTTGGGAAGGAGCGACCGTGTCCCTGGGTGTTGACATCACGTGAATCCAAACATCCCTTTCTCCTGGAAATGCTCACATCTTCGTGCATCCATGCCTTAGTGATTGATTTGGGAGACAGAGTCCCCACTGCCCAGGGAGCCACACGTGGAGCTCGAACCCAGGACCCTGAGAAGGCAGACGCTCAACTGACTGAGCCCCGCAGACACCCCTGCACAAGCAACCTCTCCAAGCCCCTGAGAGCAGGCACACGGGGGCCAGGATGGGCCCTCCCTCGGCCAAGGCACCAGGCCCCAGAGGCCCCGAGACGCCCCCTCCACGTCTGCTGCAGCAGCTCCAGGTGCCAGAGCTCCTCTCCGCCCCCGGTTCCCCATGCCGCAATGACCACCAGGCCTGGCCCTACCTGCACCTTCCCCGGCCCCATGTTCTTCACGGGGGGCGGCTGGCACGGCTCCCGCACGACAAACAGCTGCTTTGCCAGGGAGACAGCACTGACGTCGTTGAAGGCTCGGACCTGGACGGTGAACTGTCCTTCCCTGGAAGGGCCGCAGCCACGGGAGTGAACACATGCGGCCTGGCAGGCGTCTGCTGCTCCCTCCTCCTCCAGAACACCCTCCACCCGCGTGAGGACAGGACTCGACGGCCAGACGGCGCATCCGTGAGGACAGATGTCCACGTGGGCCACCTGCCGTGCGGGGCGGGGGGAGCCAGGTGCCCGGCTCCCAGACCGACATCACCCACTGACGGAAAAGCAGCCGTTCGCGTGGGGACCCCCGGCAGCCACAGCCTGGCCCCTCCACATGCCACGGGCTGACCTCCATGCGATGGGCACCGCGGGCCCCCGACCGGGATGTCCGGGCATGGTATTCCTACCCAGCTCCCCGACCCACAGGGCCAGAGCCCCCTGCCTTCGCGGTGTCAGTATGGAACACATACTGCTCTGGGTCCTGCTCGGGGTGCAGGGGTTCGGGGAGCCTGGGGAGCTAGACAAAAGGTAGGGGCACGGGGCAGGAGCACACTGCCAGGAGCCGGGGCCGGGTGCCCATCGGGTGGGCCCACCTAGGCACTGTCGCCCACTCCTTCGCTACGTGAACACCCCCTCCAGAGGAGAAGGCACCAGTACATCAAGAGCTAGTGACGCGGCCCTTCGGGCATGTCCTTGCGAGCGGCAAGGCCAGGGGCTCTTGAGGAAGTCCTGCGCGGAGGAAGGACTGCCACCTGTCCCTGCTGCTGCTGGCGCCCTGGCGTCGTGCCAGCCGAGGCTCAGCTCCACCCAGAGGCCTCCCTGGCCTCAGCACCCGGGCACCCATGCCAGGGCTCGCCCTGTAGTGCGCATCCCTGGCCTCCTGTGGGCACGCCTGCCTCCCCCCAGCGGTCCCACTATGCCGGGGTGTCCATAATGCTCCAGTCCTCCTCCAAACAGGAGGCGCTCACTCGTGCTGGACACTCTCGGGAGGATGGTGAGCCCCTGGCGGTCCTACCCCTTGTCTCCCCGCCCTACCCATGCATCTGGCACTGAGGGGGTCAGTTTTCCTTCCTGCCGTGCCCGGGCCCCAGGCCGTGAGCTCCTGGAGAGCAGGGGGTTCATCTGAGTCTCCCCAGTATCCACCAACTGCATGTGCTGCTAGGTGGGCTGTGCAGAGCTGGGGCTCACATCTCCAGCACCACCTGCAGGGCTGCACCTGCACCTGCGCCTGCACCTGCGCCTGCACAGCTCACCTTTGGTAGGTGTGATGGGCAGAGCTGCCCCCCGGGCCCACGGTGCCGTCCCCAAAGTCCCACAGGAAAGCCACGTTGGTGCCAAAGTTGAGTCTGCACGTGAAGGTGACGCTGGCATTCAGCAGAGCTGAGGGGGGAGATACCAGCCGGTTGGCGACGATTCTCCTCTGCGTCCTGACGCGGCGGGGCTCCGAGGCCACCCTGCCCAGCCCGCTGGCCGCCTGCACCGTCACGCTGTACCTGCAGTGGGAACCACGGACAGGGCCAGGGGGGTGACAAGAGCGGGTCAGAGAGGTCAGAGGTAGGGAGCGGCCCTCTCACCCCAGAGAAGGGCAGGGGGTGCCTTTCGTCCACAGAAAAGGGCCTCCCCGACCCCGCGGCTCCGGCTTACCGGAACAGGTGGCAGGGACGCCGGGCCCACCCCTGTCATCGTGTCAGTCACTGGCAGAGCAGCGGGGTCAGCACTGTGACCCCTGCTTGGATGGGGATTGATTTAGGTGGAGGGGGTTGGATCTGAACCCAGGACCGCTTGGTTCCAAAGCCCCAGGCCCGCCCCCAGTTCAGGCAGAGGGACCTCCTCGTCCTATAACACTGAATGTGAGTCCCTCCCACTCACCGAAGCGCTCCGGAGATCATCCTGGGGCAGCCGGGGACCGACACACGACTAGGCCGCCAGCCCGTCACCACACTCGTTCACTCACCACTGGGGGATGCTGAGTCTTCTCTTAATGCTCCTGGATGTTGTCCTCAGGGCTGGACCTTCTCCAAAGGACCACACGAACTCCAAGGGGGTCGTTTCCTCTGTGACAGCCAGGAAAGTGATGTCGACATCAGTGGCAAACACGGTTCCGTTTGTGTAGACAGAGACGGCTGTGAGAGCAGGGGAGGCACAGAGCTTTGGCGCGGAGGGCGGGAGCCATCCAGGGACGCAGCATCCTCACCTCCCGTGCCCTGGGGCCGGGAGCGGGGTCCCCAGCCTGCCCACCCGCACGTACAGCTGCGATGACAGCCCAGCTGGGTGGTTCTGGCCGCAGACCAAAGGCCACCAAAGCCACAGCTCATCAAGTGACAGGGCCAATGCACAAGCATCCCCGTGACTTCTCCTCGAAAGGCCACGGGACAGGCCTGGGGGCTTGCAGAGGGCCCTGCTCCTGGACCCATCCCATGCCTTCAGGTCAGAGGCGCCACGTGTGTGGCTTCTAGAAAGCCCTAGAACGACCTGCAGGTGAACACAGGGCTGCTTCAAGGGCAAATATGAATCTCAACAGAGCGAGTCACGGATTCAAGGGTGTGCCGGGGCCCCCGTGACCTCGACGGACCCAGCAGTGCAGAGTCAGAGTGGAGACCTACGCTGCATCCGATACTGGACAGTCACGCTGGGCCAAGCCTGGCCGCCGGCCGCACAGCTCTGACACGTGAAGGACACGTTACACGGGGGACCGGCTGCAAAGTGATGTGTGACAACGGTGCCTGAACGGAAGACAGAACGAAACCCGTGCAAGGGCCCTGCAGTCGCTCCTTCGTCTCTCGCGGCGGGTGACCAGTGTCTCCCATCCGTTACGTTCCCTCTCTGAACCCCAAGGTCCTGCTGGGTCCCCGAGGGCTGTCGTGCAGGGAAGACTCCCAACAGCTCACCCATCTTTATGGGGAAAGGAGGCGGGTATCCTCTTATTTTTTTTTCCCAAGTACTGCTGTTCTGTGCACTTTCTCCATTTATAGCGAGAAAATGCTCATTTATAACAGTGATAAGACTCAGTGGGCGTTTCGTTCATTGGTGCTTTGGAATTTCTGCAAAATAAGTATCCCATGACTCAGTGACGTCACCCCACTAAGAACCTGAAGCTTCATCGTGGCTGCGACGCGGCAGTGACCGCGGGCGGAAGCTTGTGTTTGATTTGCACGGGACTCCCCGCTTTCCTGCCTGTGCCCGAGCTTCTGCCTCCCGCTCCCGGCACAGAACCCAAGGGCGGCGGCTAAAATACCCTCCCAGCCGTGCTTTCTGACTCCGCGGACAGGAGGCTCCGGGAGACCAACTGCCTGCGAAGTGTGCGTCAGTGCGTGGAACGAGCTGCGTGGGCGCCTCCGGACACGGCCCCCAGCGCCTTCCCCTCTCCCAGTCCTGGGAAGTGAAGCCCATAACCCCATCCCTCAGGCCGAGCACTCGGGTGCTCCTTCCTTCCACCGCTGCGGATATCCAGCTGGGGTTCTCCGTCAGCCCCGCCGGCCCCGAAGGCGGGTTCCTCTCTACGATGCTGAGCACAAGGGAGGCCCCTCATGGTCGCTGTGGGGCCTGATGCAGCGACGCGTGAGCAGAGCCCCCAGCGCCCCATGAGTGCTCCTCCATCCCCGGCGCCCGCCAGCCGAGCCGTGCTCTGTGCTTGGACTGGACCCAGTCCCCAGGGTCCGTGGGGACCCCCTTAGAGCTTCCTCATCCTGCAGCCACACCCCCCGAATCCCCCAGGCCCTGGCCACGCCCAGGAGAGGCCACGCCAGCTCCTGCTCTTCAGATGCACACCCGAGGCCCTTGCTAGGTGGCCAATCCCAGGGCCAGGATGTCACACGACTTCACCCTCACATGCCCCTCAGGGCACAGGACCAGGCAATGATCATGTTCTGGATGAGGCAGGTAGGCGGCGAGCGCGCATCTGAGCCAGGAATCGCTACGGCCTGGACGCTCACCGCCAGCAGGCCGGTGTGGGCCCTCAGACTCCAGATGCGTCGCTTACTTTTCTGATCCGCGTGGGAGCCAGCAAAGACCAGAAGCTCATCCCTGCGGATGCTGCTAGAATTCATGAACACCGACGCGGTCGCGGGGCCCATCTCCACGTAGTAAGGCCCGAGCTCCCCTCCAGGTCCACAAAGGTCGTTGTAAATAAGTGCCTTGAGCACATAGACTCCTTCTGGAAAAAGAAGCGAGAATGGCCGGGTGGTGAGCTGTTACCGGTGGGAGGACGATGATGGGTGAGTCTGCTGGGAACCGACTCGGCGGAGGTGGCCCTGTCTCGCGGGGGGCCACCCTGTGGGCCGGGGCCGGGCACGTGACACTGGCAGGGTGCAGCATCTCTGTGATGCTTCACGGTCCCGAGCATCTGATAATTCTTGTTCACAAAGGGCGCCGCGTTCTGACATTGCCCTGGGCCCGAGGGGATGCAGTCAGGCACACTCACGAGGCTGGAACACACCCTGGCCGTGCCGCAGCGAGGCGGACTGCCGTGGCTGTGACCATCACAACACGCATGCGACACGCGCACACAACGCCCTTCTATGACGTGGGGGGTGCCACGAGGGGTGGGGTGAGCCGGCTGGCGGGAGCGAGGGAGACCCCAGCTCGCCAAACACACCACGCTTAGGACGGGAAGTTCAGTACCAAGTCATAACCCACGAAGGACACCGCCCACGGGAAAAGATCTCCGGGATTTCACGTGAAAGAATCAGAAGCTTCCACGACACGAGACCACAGGGCAGAAATGCAAGAAAGGAGGACGACATTGCAAAGAGAATCGCGGGAAGCAGAAGCGACAGAGCAGGACAGGAGGCCTCTGGAGGTGAAGCGAGGGGCGTGAGCAGATGAAATGAGCGGACTCAAGACGCAAAGGCCCCCGGCACGTGCGTGGCCTGTCTCCCAGAGAGAGAGCGGAAATGCCAGCAAGGACGTGTATTTCAAGACATAATTAAAAAAAACAAATCTTTGCTGAAATGAAGGAAGACGAACCGTGTCTCCCTACTGGAAAGGCGCACCGCGTGCCGGAGAGAGTGGACTCGGGGCCACCAGCGCTGAGGCTCGGGCCCGGAAAGCTACGGGATCCCAAGTATAATCACTTTGAGCCACACAAAAGCATCAAGTCAGCTCTAAGGAGGGAAAGGGAAGCGACCGCAGGGCCCCCCGGCAGGGGCGCGTGGAGGATCACGCGGACGGCTCCCGAAGCACGGAGGACTCCGCCGTGCACCTGCACTCAGTCCACACGTCAGAGGTGGGTGAGGGCCGTGCAAGGTGCACCAGGGCCGCACTAGAGCGGGGCAGCTCCGCTCCTCGAGACGGGAACGTGCGACCACGGCCGGAAGCTGTCGTTGAAGTACAGCACCTCTGAGAACCGTGAGAAGTGACGATCTTATTCCCTGAATCTTCCTGACGCATTTGTTCCACAAGACCATCTGGTAACGACTGCCCCAAGCACAGGAAGGCTCTCGGCACTCACCCCACACGCTAGCGGGTGGCCTGAGTAGTCACGGCACGGACACGCGTCACCCAGGGAAACAGGGACTGGGAGCAGCACACGGCAGGATGCTCGGGTCACGCGTCCGGGGAGCGCGTGTGGGAAGCACGGGCACGAGGACGCGGACGGCCGGGGTCAGCCCCGACAACAGTGCCGGAAACAGGGAGCAGGGAGACTGACAAGGGACTTGATCCCGGGACCCCAGGACCCTGACCTGAGCTGCAGGCAGATACTTCACTCACTGAGCCCCCAGGTGCCCCAAACACCGGTTCTTTAACTAAACCAATGAAAAAAGTGGAGAAAGCTCATCATTAGTCAGCTCTAAGCCCAATGTGGGGCTTGACTCAGGACCCCATGGTCAAGAACCACGTGCTCCACTGAATAAACCAGCGAGGTGCCCCATGTCTCCGGATATTAAAAAAAAAAAAAAAATCCTGGGACACGTGGAGTGTGAGTGCCTGGCTCTTGATGTCAGCTCCGGTCGTGGCCTCAGGGTCCTGGAGTCGAGCCCGTCACGGAGTCTCTCCCTCCGTCCCTCCCCCTGCTCATGCTCCCTCTCTGTCTCTTTCAAATTAATTAAGTAAGAAAGTCAGTCCTGATAAAAGGGGAAAGATGAGAAGTTCCTCAACATCCGGCAAGTTCTATCAACCTCAAAGCTGGTACCAACTGCAGTGGGCGCCACTGAAGCGTCTCAAGACGAAGCCGCCGCCGACCATGGTCAGCCACAGCCCCGCTGAGCAGGGACACAAGGAAGGGACAGTGGCAGGTGGGGGCTTGGTGACGGCGTGTCCCGATCCGTGGCGCTGAGGGCCGCCGTGCACCTGGAGGGCAGGCTCGGCTGTCAGGACCCCGTGTGCGGACGCGGGCGGCGGCGGGGAGCGGGGCCAGGTGCTGCCCTCGGCCGGGATCCTGCCCATAGGGCGCACGGGGCATCGCGGAGGTGGAAGCAGCGTCGCCCAAGGTAGGAGTCGCACCTTCGAGAACGAACCACACTCAAAACATGATGTAAAACAATGAATGGAAAGCCGTGAGCTGCCGTTGGAGAGCAGGGAAGGGTCCGGATTCGCCCCCGCCCCCGCCCCTGCCGGCGGCCCTGGGCCCAGGGCTTTGTCCAAGCAAGTGGCTCCAGCACCGAGATGCCCGGACGAAGACGTTTGATGCCACTTGGCCAGAACGCAAGCGTTGGACATTTTATGCAAGTGACGAAGCGTGCAAGGTGCATGTGGGCAATTCTCAGGGAAGCTCAAGCCCTCCCTGTGGCGGAGTCACATGGCTCCGCAGGCGCGTGGCCTCAGCACACCCCCTGCCCCCCGGACTGGGGGTGCACCCCAGGGCCCCCGGTGGGAGTGAGCGAGGAAGGGCATATGGGGAGCGGTGCGGCGCAGGCCCCCGAGCCATCTCAACCCGGCAGGCGCCGCGGGGCCGCGGGGGTCTCCTGCCCGCCCCAGGGTGGCCGGCGCTCCCTCTGGGGTCTGCCTCCCTGCGCCCCGCGCCTGTGTTCTGATCCTCCCCGCTGAGCCCCCTACCTTTCCTGAACTGGTGGTAGGCGGTGACTGCGATTCCCCGGGACACATTGTAGATCGTCACCTGGACCCCGGAGCTGTCCCCGAAATCCACCCGCAGACACAGAGCTGCCTTGGGAGATGCCCGGACCCGGAAGCCCAGACTCAGAGGGGCCCGAGTGTCCGTGTCGGGGAAGCCACGGTCGGCAGCATCCAGCGTGTCGGGAGGACTGTGCATGGACACGGCTCCAGGGTGACAGCGAGTGGGGGGACGAGGCCAGGACGCTGAGCCACCGTGGCCGAGGGAGCTGTGGGGAGAGGCAGGACAGCTTCAGGGAGTACAGGGGTGCGGCCTGCAGGGGTGGAAAGCGTGGCAGGACCTGATGGCGGGGGCTACTCTCCCTGGTCCCCAACGTGGGGTCCCGGGGCCCGTGGCGCCAGCATCACATGGGCACTGGCGCCAAGTGCAAGGCAGGCCAGGAGCCCACGGGGATGCTGACGGCCGCCAACATCTCAGAGCCACTGCTCTGGCCCTTAGTCCCAGCAGCTGCGGAAGCCCCTGCCTCGTCGCTGAAGTGAGGCCCACACGCATGTCCCTCGGATGTTTCTGAGGAAACGCTCAACACGGATGGCGCCACTTCCCACAGCTCGGGCGGCGGCTGCCAGCTCGCAGGACGTCTTGGGCGATCATCGTTCACCTCGGTGGCTGGGCCCGTAAACCAGGGCAGAAAGCCCGCCAAGCGCAGAGAGAAAACTCTGACAACGTGGAAATGTCGAGGTGCCAGTGCCCACGTCCTCGCTCCCTGCGGTGTCCCTGCCCTGCCGTGCGCCCCGCGCGCCCGCCAGGAACATGCAGTCATCACAGCTCCAGGCTGGGCGGCTGGAGGACCGATCCGAGACACAAAGCACCCGCAGTAGCGTGGGCTCCCGTGGGAAGCAGTGGCCGGCTGCGCAGTCGGGCTCCCGGGGGCCTAGGCACTGGCCACACACACAACCACCACAAGTGACGTGGCCAGCTCACTGGCCGTGGCTCCGGGATCAGGGTGCAGGGTGGAAGCCGGCCCCCCCGCGACCCTCACCCTACCTTCTGGGCAAGGTGGGAGGATGTGCAGTTGGAGAGCTGGTCGGGGCGGACACAGCCGGCCTCACGGGGACCCCCGGGGACGCAGCGGTCGAGGCAACGTCAGTCCCTGGAAGCATGTCTGAGGCCACATCATCTGCAGACGGGCAGGAGGGGATCCGCACCCTCAGGCGGCAGGGCCCCGCTGGGGGACAGCTGCGCTGCAATTCAAGTGGAGGAGGGGTTGCGACAGGGCCGAGGCCGGGGTCGGCACTGGTTTCTGCACCGTCAGGAAGCCCTGGGGCCCAGCGGGGCTGAGGCTCCCTCCTCCCGGGCTGCGGGTACAGGGGACCTGTGCGCTGCAGACGGGCTGCGGGGGCGCCAAGGGAGATCAGCAGCCAGCACCAGGGCTTGGGGGCCGCCGTCGTCCCCTGGTCACGCTGCTCTCCGGCTCAGCTGCTCCGCATGAGCACATTTACAGGGTCAGCTACACACCAGAGCGCCCAGCCAGGCCGTGGTGCTCCTGCAGACCTCAATGATGCAGTGTCTTTGGTCCTTTACGGAGGCCCCGAGTCATGGCCTGCTCTCGGGCCGCCCAAGCAGCGTCCTGGGAACGGGCCTCAGCCGTGGGCCCCAGGGCCACCTGACCCCAGCGGCGCCCTGGCCACGCTCACCCGTGCCGGGCGGGCACCCACCTGGAGAAGGCCACAGGGCACACTGCTCCCTGGCCCGACCACACATTTCCGTGGGCGACAGGGTTCCGGGCCACTGCTGTTCCAGAAGCTCGTGATTGTGACAGAAGGTCCCCAGGAGTCTCTGAAGATGAAGGGGGAAAGGCGCAGGACAGGGGGGCTGGCGGCACTCGCGGCTCACGTGGCCCGTGGGCCCAGGACGGCCTCCCCAGACGGCACTCCCGAGCGCACCCCGGCCCAGGTGGGTCCCCGGAGGCCCGTATGCAGGAGCTCCGTGGGGACTCGCTGACATACCTGTCAGCGTGGTCGCCCGGGTCCGAAGCGGCCTGCGACCTCCTGCTGGCGGCACTTAACGGTGCTCTGCTGGTGGCTTTCACAATGTCCTGCGAGTGGGACAAACAGTGCTAGTTTGAGAGCTGCTCAAAACCCCAGTACATTTGGGAAAGTAAGACTGTTTCATTCACAGGATGGCAGCTGGCCCCGCTGGGCCGCAGAGCCCCGGCACCGGATAAAGCAGGCTAGCCTCCCGTCCCCACGGGGCCACGTCCTTGGGGCCACGGGGGGCAGCTGCAGGGCAGGGGGCGGGTGGCAGGCAGGGAGGTCAGTCGGGGTCTTCCGACCTGGGCCTTTGCATGTCCCTCTGAAGGGCGCAGGGGTGTGGGCACCAGAGGGCCACGGCCTGGCCACTGTTTTGGAAGCACCGGCCTGGCTGCCACACTGGAAGCATCTGCGGGAGGCAGGGATCCCAAAGTGGATACTCTGAACTGGCTCTCAACTCAGACACTGGATTGGCTCTACCGACTCGAGCAGCTCTGTTTCCAGCACCGCGTGGCCACGGAGCAGCCCCGGTACCCCTGAGGGAACCCGCACAGAGGCAGGGCTCCGTAGGACGTTTCCGTCCAGCCGAACACCGCACGTCTCCCTTGATTTATGACGGGGTTGTGTCCAGATGGACCCATCGTAAGTCAAAAATACTGTCAAGTGGCAAATGCATTTGAAGCTCCCAACCTCCCGAACGTCAGAACTCAGCTTGGCCTGCCTCAAATGTGCGCAGGGCACTTCCAGGAGCCTACGCCGGGCAAAACCCTCGCATACGAAGCCTATTTTAAACTAAAGTGCTGACTCCCTCCTGTAACGGATTGGATGCTGTGCAGACAGGAGGAAACGGAGTAGCTGTGTGGGCACAGACGGGCCGTCGGGGCATCGGCTGCGGACACTTGCGACCGCGAACCTGCCTGGGAGCTGCTACCCAGCACCCGCGGGAGGATGAACCGCACGTCGCCAGCAATGGGAAGGGATCTCCGTTCAAGGCTCCAAGTACGTTTTCTACTGAACGTGTATTATTTTCATGACATCGTCGAAAAGTTGTAAGATGAGCGATCGTCAAGTCAGGGACCGTCTGTGCAAGACTGTGCTGCTCCTAAGTGTGCTGGACACAGTGGGGAAAGGAAGGATGAGCTCAGGGATTCAAGGGGTCTCTGTCGGCCCCACGGAGTGCCCTACCTCCTGGAGCCGCGGGGCAGGGCCTGCGAACCAGGGGACAATGCCAAGGGCCTGGGTGGGTGCAGGCAGGGCGCCTGGAGAGGACCCAGCCTTGATGCCGTCACCCACCTCGGCTGTGCCCTACAGCTGTGGCTTCTGCGACAAAATCCAGCCCCTGAGACAAACAGGCAGCGCGGGGGGGTGGGGGGGTGGAGGGTGCGTCACAACTCTCCGGGGCGGCCACCACCTCGTCCCACATGCACAAGCCCCCAGAGCCCCCAACAGTGCTCCCCTGTGCGTGTGTGCCTTAAAGGAGCCAGCACCCTCGGGTGGAGGAGGGTCCACACGTTGTTAGCTGGTGCTCGACATCCGTTTCAGCGCCAGTGGTTTCGGCCAATGATGAACGAGGGCCCATCCCCTCTGGGGGACCCACTCATGGGCACTCGTGGGACTGCCCACGTGCACCCCCCTCCTGCTCTGAGGGCCGGGCTGGGCTGGGTGCTCACCCCCCAGAGGAAGGCACCTCAAGGGCCTGAAAAGGTCCCGCTGCCCCCCGCTGCCCCCATCCCCTCTGGAGGATAGGAAACCCAGGCTAAGGCAGCCCCTCTCCTGAGCCCTGGAGCCCTGGCAGGTGGCGTGAGCCGTGAGCACCCAGAGGCAATGGGACGGGGGCAGGGATGAAGCCCTGGGGCCTGTCCCCAAGGATTCCCTGGCCACATGCCCCGGGGCCTCCCTCCCATGAGCACTCCTGTTGCGGAGACCGCTCACCCCGCACACCCCACTGCTCCTTCCTCACCTCTGCCCTCCGCCCACCACGCACATTCCATTCCGCCCTCTATCAGCTCCCTGCAGCTTCACGTCTTGCCCATAAAGCCTCCCCAAGCTCCCCAGCACCTGGGTCGGCATCGCTGCTCCCGGAGGCGGCCTGCCCTCCCCGCCAGGCCTCATGGCCCAGGCACCCAGCCGGGGCAGGGAGCGCTCACCTTCAACCAGCAGGACTGAGGACAAGCAGGAGCCCAGGACACGCGTATCCCACAGGCCGGGGGGCAAGGCCAGGCCCACGGATGCCCAGCGAGCGTCGGCAGTGCTAGGGTCACAGGGACGCTAGTGCCGGGCGTCCCCTAGCATCCGGCGGGGGGGGGGGGCAGCTCTCAAGCACCCCCCAGATGGAGAATTCAGGAGAACCCCACCCGCTGTCCTCGGGTCCTCCCACAGCAGCTGATGCCGCTGCCAAAAGGAAACCACAGCCGACCCAGGAAAATGCAGCTGCAGCTAATGAAATTTGGGAAGCGATATTCTAGAAACGTGGTCAACTTGCTGAAGGTACGTCACCCGAGCAAGTACCGACAGACCACAGAGTAATCCAGCAGGTGCAGCTCTGAACGCTGCCCGCCTCTGAGCAGCGTGAGATGCGCAGGAACGTCCGGTGCGTGGCAGGGCGGCCTCCTACCGCGGCTCGCCCGAGAAGGCCCGGCTGCCCGTCTCTCCCCAGAGCGTGGGTCTCAGCGATCATTCACCCGCCGCGCTCTCCCCCGGACCCGAAGGGTTTTCTGGGCGGGACTAGGGCTGGGGACACAACGACCCGTTCAAACGGCCCTGCTGATGCTGAGCCCGAGACAGCGAAGAACAACAGGGAAGCAGATGCGGAGGCCTCTGGCTGCTGGGGCTGGCCTGCAAGACGGGACCACGTGGGGGGCGATGGCCACCCTCCTCCCGTGACCCCGGGGCCGCCCGCACCTGAGCCCCCAAGGCTGCGGGAGGCAGTGCTGACTACCTGACAGACGTTACTAAAAGCCCCAAATATTTTACCTCACAGTCACGAAAACATAATTCCCATCGGGGCCCCAAGCTCTAACGGGGAACAGTTTTTCAGAGAATGGGGCATCCTGAGAACAGAAAGTGCCAGGCTAGCTCTTATGTTCTGAGCCGAGACAGTGGGTGCCTTCCCCTCCTCGAAGACCCGGGATTCACCAGGGGTCGGGGCAGGGTGAGGACGCGGCTCAGCCCCCCAGCGCGTCCCGTCCTGTCACTCTAAACTCAAGATCTCCAGGTCTGTTTGCCGAAAATCACCCCCAATCTGCCAGCTGAACTATGGGAGTGGGTTTTATGATCTTAACCACCCCTAAGATTCACTTGGGGTAAGGAGCTGTACTTACTCATTTGTGTTTGTTCTAGGAAAACAAATTTGGTTATCAACTTTTTATGTAACATTTAATCTACCAACTGTGATCTGTTATGGCTCCCAGACCCAACTCTGGAATGGGGGGTGGGATCCTCCCTCCAACATCAAGCAATGCTTTTTTTTTTTTTTTTTCAATTTTTGTTTTAACACCAAGCAATTCTCAGATACCAGCAAGAATTCAACTGACTTCTGGCACCTTCTTCCCAAGGCAGCGTCAGACCCCGCAGGTGACGGCCTTGGGTCCCCCCACACTTCAGGCCCCAGCCGTGAGCCCCAGGCTGTCCCCTCTGCTTCTGACCTACCCACCACTACGATGGCAGGTTCCAACACTCTCCTCCTTGGGAGGAAGCCCACAGTCACCTTCACCTGGAAGGGATGTGATAAAGGATGCGAGTCTAGGGCCAGACGGGAGGGAGCGGCACCTGGAGCTCCCAAGCCCCACGGGGCCCACCAACCCCAGTCTGCACGTGAGCACCTGCCCCGGGAGCTCTGAGGTCGGTTCCCCTGGCAACCAGCGCCCCCAGCCCTGGGAAGAGGTCCAAAGTCTCCATAACAAAACATAACAAAAGACACTCCCTGGCCCTTTACTGCCGGCAAGTCCTAGGGTCCCCAGAGCTGTGCGCCACTAGCCCTGGACCATGACTGCACCCACGTGGGAAGTTCAGCGTGGGCGTCCCCACGACCAAACAACCAAACGTGCATTTCTTCTAAATCCCAACGTGGCAGGTGACTTTTACCAAATGGGGTGTAGTCGGCTCCACCGGCCTATCCTCCTCAAGTCAGGCCTGCCCTCCTTCCCGGGCAGCAAAAGCATTTTACAAAACGAAGAGTCTGGAGTTTGCCCAACGCAATACTACGCAAACGCCTCCTCATCGAAGCCGCCAGGGCCCTGGTTTGCAGCCCCAGGTGGCCATGAGGGGGCGGGGGGGCTCCAGGGAGCAGGGCCCTGGGGGGCGGCAGGAGGTCCAAGGCCTCGGGGACGCGCGAGGCTGAATACACACCCTCCGCCTGTGCAGACCACAGAGCCCCCCGGGGAGGCTGGGTCACCGAGCAGGTGCCGATGGGGTGGGCAGCCCACAGCCCCAGGGCAGCAGGGGTCTGGGAATGCAGCCTCACGTGAACCCCTGGCCACCCCTGCTCCCAGATCATCACAAGGGCACCTTGGTGACAGCCTTTCTCGTTAACCTGGAAACCCCCCCAACTTGGAACTTTCCTAAAGTGGCGCGTGAGCCTTGAAGAGCTCCCGACAGGAGCAGGCTGGACAGTGAGATCCCGTTAATCCTCAGACACAAATGCCCTGAGGTACTGTGTGCACAACTGGGGACGTCTGTGGGGAATATGGGAACACCTGTGAGGAGTACTGGGGACCCCCGTGACAAGTACTATGGACCCCTATGAGGAAGGAGTACTGAGGACCCATGAGGAGTACTGGGAATCCCATGAGGAGTACTGAGGACCCATGAGGAGTACTGGGAATCCCATGAGGAGTACTGAGGACCCCATGAGGAGTACTGAGGAACCCCATGAGTACTGAGGACCCCATGAAGAGTACTGGGGATCCCATGAGGAGTACTGAGGACCCCATGAGGAGTACTGAGGACCCCATGAGAGTACTGGGGACCCCATGAGGAGTACTGGGGATCCCATGAGGAGTACTGAGGACCCCATGAGTAGTACTGGGGATCCCATGAGGAGTACTGGGGATCCCATGAGGAGTACTGAGGACCCCATGAGTAGTACTGGGGATCCCATGAGGAGTACTGGGGACCCCATGAGGAGTACTGGGGAGCCCATGAGGAGTACTGAGGACCCCATGAGGAGTACTGAGGACCCCCATGAGGAGTACTGGGGATCCCATGAGGAGTACTGAGGACCCCCATGAGGAGTCCTGGGGATCCCATGAGGAGTACTGAGGACCCCATGAGGAGTACTGAGAACCCCACGGGGAGTACTGGGGAGTACTGAGGACCCCCACAAGTACTGGAAGTTGAGCTGCAGGATAATTTCTTCCAGGGGTGGAGAGGTTCCAGAAGCCTCCACAGGACTGGCTCCTTCGTATCAGGACCAGGACGCACTATCTGGCCTGACCACACTTGTGCACGCGGAGTCGGAGCTCTTCCTTCGCAGCAGTGTCACACGCAGGCAGCTCTGTTCTTGGGACCCTGACCCCGATTACCCCTGCAGCTCGCTAACACTCTGCCTTGCTCCTCGAGCCACCGAGACACCTGTCCCCACCCCTCGATCCCCCCGCTGTCGGCCGTTCTGATGGCCACACACAGACGCCTTTGCTCCGACGCCCAGCAGTCCAGTCTTATTAACCAAGGCCTTCCAAGAGCTCCTCGACACCCCAAAATAGGATTTCCGTTCCCTGGGCCGCCGGAAGCCTTGCCGGCGTGGGAGCCCCCGGGGTGCAGGCTGCCCGCACTCATGCCTCTGGTCTGCACCCCGGCTTCCCACAGCAGATTCGGGCTTTGCAAGTGAACCGGGCCTCAGGGACGCAGCACCAGGCTGAAAGCAAGTGTGATCCGCTCCTGCCGGACCAGGCAGGCTTTCCCGGGCTGCACGGGCCACGCGTGCGTCTTCTGGAAGCAAAGCTCGAGCTCCCCAGACACGTGGGGGTGGCTGCTCTCAGGACGTACCTGGTCCCAGGACGCCAGCGGGGGCGGGTTCTCCAGAACCTGGGCTTCTTCCCCAAATGTCAGTGCACCTGGAGGATGGCTCACCTTCGCGGGGCTCGTAAAAGGCACAGGATTAGTGTGGAGCTCTAGGGGAAAAGGGAAAAACAAGGCCTGAAGACCAGGAGAGAGGGGATCCCAGGAGCCGTGAGCAGAAGTCCACCCAGGTGAACACCCCTCCCGGGCGGGTCACGGCACCGGTGCCCGTGGGACCCGCCTCTGAGTGGGCCGTGTCTGCGCCTGGTGTGGCTTCTGACTCACTAGTGAGGTGTCTCGGAGGTAAGTCCGCGCTAGGCGACGCCGGGAGCCCCGAGGCCGGAGCCCACGCTCCCACCCGGCCTGGAGGGCTGTTCTCCCTCCTCCGGGGCTTCTCCATCAGGAACATGGGACACAAAGCGGGGGAGCCCCAGCCCTAAAGTCTGGGCGGGGATTTGCTGGGCAAACGTGAAGACCAATAAGATGCACCAAAGTCTCAAAGCCAGGACGCTCCCACACAAAGCCTCCCTCCGGAGGCCCCCGCCCCGCCCCCGGCGCGGCCAGGCCAGCTTCCACCTGCCTCGGCTGACAGGGGTTAGACGGAACATGCATCCGAAGGAAAGCCACGGGCCGCAAAGGGGACCCTCCGCACGTCGGCAAACCAGGGCTCCGCACGTAACCTGACCGGCTTCCAGCCTCGCCCAGAAACCCCCAGTGAGGAATTTCTGGGTGAGCATCAGTGACGGACTCTGTTTCCCCCGAAAGGGAGGTGGGGAGACCCACTAGTGAGACCTCTGCCCTTCCCCTCAGGGAAGGTGACCTTGCCTGGAACAAGCCTTTCTTTTCTCTTCCTAGTAATTTCCTTGTCCTCCCTTCCTGTAAAAATCTTCCATTTTGCGCAACTCCCGAGAGCGTAACTCTACCTGCCGAAGCATGAATTGAACTTACTCAGTGGATTTTTTTTTTAAGTGATCTCTACGCCCAACATAGGGCTCGAACTCACAACCCGATACCAAGAGTCGCCGCTCCACTGACCGAGCCAGCCAGGCGCCCTGGAAGTTTGATTTTTTTTTTTTTTAAGATTTTATTTATTTATTCCTGAGAGGCAGAAACACAGGCAGAGGGAGAAGCAGGTTCCCTGCGGGGAGCCCGACGCGGGACTCGATCCCGGGACCCCGGGGTCACGCCCTGCGCCTAAGGCAGCCGCTCAACAACCAAGCCACCCAGGAGTCCCTGGAAGTTTGATTTTTAAGAATTGCACGTGTTTTAAAGCCGTACAAGCTGGTGCCGGTTCAAGGGTGTTTGCGATGCCCTTTTCTCTAGTCCTGGAGATGCTGGCAAAGGTGCGGCCCCTGGGCAGGTCCCCAGGGCGGTGCCCAGATGCACAGGTAGGAAGAGGCGGTGCTCTAGTTGGATTCCCTCAGGCTCCTCCCACACCCAGCTCTGCTCCAGGGGTGCCGCAGCCTCGCCTGGAGGCCAGAAGCCAGGATCCCCAGGACCAGCCGTCCCCAGCACCGCCCAGCCCGTGACACTGGCCTCCGCCTCCCCCAACCTTCCAGGACAACGTCCAGCCTGATTTAAATGTTTTGAGTCAACACCACTGGATTCGAATCATGCCAATAAAAGGCGACCCAAATTAACCCACAACCATGTTCCCGAGGGTCCTTTAAAATAATGCTGTGAGTGTGGCGACCTGCCACCCACGGAGCAATATGCCAACCTGGGTACGAGGTGACTCCCCAACTAATATGTCCCCGGAAATGTCTGCGAATGAGCTAGGGTGATAAAGCGACTTCTGTTCTCTGAAAGCAAGCGAGTCCCAGAGTTGCCGCGCTCAGGCTATGAGAAGGAAACGCAGTGGAAATGCCCCGGGCAGCAAAAATTGTATGAAAAAATCTTGAAGACACGTGGTCACAGAATCACATCAACAGAAATCGCTAGAGGAGAAATGGGCTGGATGAGGGACATCATTCCCCACAACCTTCACAGAGGAATGGGAGCGCTGCTTTGGCCTTGGGTTCAGTCCACATGCGGAACCCACCCCACACGTGCGCCTCCTGGCGTCTGCAGGCTGGGTGCACCGGGTGGGTGGGAGCCGGGTGGGAGCGCAGATATGCCTCCCCTGCAAAGGAACACTGGAAATTAAGCAACCATTTGGGATTTCTATTTTCTAGGATCAATAATGGACGTCCCGTCCTGCGTTGGTGCAAGGAAACCTCAGCCCTGTGGCCGTGAAGCAGCCCCCATAACCTGGGCACCCCGTCTCGTGGCTCCGGGGTGGCCCCCAGACTCGGGGGTTCTCAAGGTGCAGCCCCTGCACAAGCAGCAGCCCCCAGGGCCCCTGAGGCATAATGGCTGGGGCAGCCCGGGATCTCAGTGAGCCCTCGGGGGGCCGATGCCCTGGAGTGAGGAGACTCCAGGAGGGGTGGTGGGAAGGCTCTGGGCCACACGGGGCTTCCAAAGCCCAAAGCCTCGCTGACGGGCAAGCCCGGGGCCAGCTGCCGAGTGTTTTCGCTCCCTGCCCTCACCTGGCCACAGGGTTAGGATGGCCCCTCTGGAGGTGGCGCCACCGGGCCTGTCGGGGGCCAGCCGTCTTCCCAGGCCCTCAAGGAGCACCCCGCCCGAGGCCGAAGCCCCCGCGCCCCTGGCTCCTGTCGGGTGGGAGTCGGCCACGGGTGCCGCAGGAAGTCCCACGGTTTTAGTCACAGCCACCCTAGGCCCACTCTTCCCTCCGGGTCCGTGCGCCCCGCATCCAGTAGACAAGCATGTCGGGGCCACACACGGACGTAAGTGCGGGGCCAGTTCTCAAATCATGACTTGAAACGGATTCCTCGTCTGACTGTTAAGTAAGCCTCTCTGGCTTCAGCTCGGGGAGCAGAGCAGGTCAGGCTCGCGCCCCCCTCCCCGTCATGCCCCCGTCCCCCAGCCACGTTCACCTCTCCGGGGACCTGACCCACGGGGAAGGGAAGGGCCGGACCAGCAGCGACGCGGTGCCAGGGGTCTTTCCCGTGTGCCCCCACCGCGGAGCAGGGTGGGGGGCAGTGCAGCTACGCCCCAGGCCAGGTCAGGGAGACGGGGGAGAACAAGCAGCTTGGCCTGGCTTGACCTTGAAGGTGATGCTTCCAGCGCCAACCGTCCACGGCGCCTTCCCACGTTCCCCGAGGGCGCCCACCGAGCTCAGGACGCGGCTCCAGGGCCCTGCGTACAGCGGCGGTACGTGCCCCTCGGGGCTCCCTGGGCCCACCGACCTCTGCTCTGCTGCCCAGCGGGGGCTGGGGGAGGCACTGGTCACCCCCCTACACGCTCTGGCCTCTCGGGACCAGGGGCACCCATGCCTGTGTCCAGGGGCCGCCAGCCACCCAGAAAGATCCATGTGCAGTGAATCAAATAGGCCTGAACCGAGGTGTGGAGTCTGGGTCTTGAGCAGACGAGGGGCACCCTTTGGGGTACCGGGCTGCGGTGTGTCCGGCGGGTGTGAACCCCGCCCCGAGGCTGGGCTCGCCTCCCCGCGAGGATGCACGCACACACGCAGGGTCACCAGCGGGTCTCCTACCTCCGGGTGTGCCTGTGAGGCCGGGCAGCCTCCTGCTGAGAGAGACGCGGTCTTCTCAAAACTGGCTTCTGGAGGCGACGGTGCAGCCGAGGCCACCCGGGGCCGCCGAGCACCCTCTGCAGACCGGGGGCTGACGGGGGGACGGTCTGGGCTGGGGCCTCTGCCAGCCGCCCCGCGAGCCATCCCGGCGTCTCCCTCCCAGCCTCAGCCTCACCGGCTCCCACAGGCCAGGGCCATGAGGAGTGAAAGAACAGGCAAGAGACCAGCTGGAATCGCACACATCACAGGGCACAGCTACAGGCGTTTCTGCAGGGCCAGGGGCAGGTCACATGGGCAAGGCCCCTGGGACCCCAGGCCTGTCCCCACCCGAGGCCAGAGCCAAGGGCTGCGCCTGGACGACGTGTGACGGCAGCAGCCCCCCTGAGCAGTGCTCTCAGGGTGCAGACCACGCAGGTGCAGGTGCCCCGACGAGGCAAAAACCCTTTCTACTACAAACAATGGGATGGGGTGTAGAGAGGAGGATGTAAACCTGGGAGAGACTCACCCGGCCCGGGGGGCCCCCACCCGGCTCTGGCCACGCTCCCAGAGGGTGTGTTCCTGAAGCTGCCCCCCACTCCCCGTGGGACGGCACTGCTCACACTCCAGGGAGGGACAGGGCTCCTGTGCACCCAGGGGTGCCGACGGGCACCTCAGTATTTCCAGCACCAAGAACGAGACTTTCCTCTCCATGGCCAGGTGGGCCCGGCTGAGCCCAGGAAGGACCCCAATGCTCCCCCACACCTGCCGGCACCTTCTTCTTTCCCTGAGACTGGGGGACGCAGAGCACTGGAGGGACTCAGGACACCCTCCTCAGGGCCACGGCTTCACGGTAGGTGGTATGGGGAGCACTACCTGGGGCTCAGCTCCATCAAGGGAAACCTGCACCTAAGTCGCTAAGACCCCCATGTGAACAGACCCATCAGGGGGAGGGCGGGGACCCCCATGTGAACAGACCACCAGGGGGAGGGCGGGGACCCCCATGTGAACAGACCACCAGGGGGAGGGCGGGGACCCCCATGTGAACAGACCCAGCAGGGGGATGGTGGGGACCTGCCATGTGAACAGACCCACCAGGGGAGGGCAGGAACCGACCCCCCATGTGAACAGACCCACCAGGGGGAGGGCAGGGACCCCCATGTGAACAGATGCATCAGGGGGAGGCAGGGACCCCCCATGTGAACAGACCCACCAGGGGGAGGGCGGGGACCCGCATGTGAACAGATCCAGCAGGGGGAGGGTGGGGACCTGCCATGTGAACAGACCCAGCAGGGGGATGGTGGGGACCTGCCATGTGAACAGACCCACCAGGGGAGGGCAGGAACTGACCCCCCATGTGAACAGACCCACCAGGGGGAGGGCAGGGACCCCCATGTGAACAGATGCATCAGGGGGAGGCAGGGACCCCCCATGTGAACAGACCCAGCAGGGAGGGCGGGAACCAACCCCCTATGTGAACAGACCCACCAGGGAGAGGGCGGGGACCCCCCCATGTGAACAGATGCATCAGGGGGAGGTAGGGAC